TGCAGCGGTGGGAAGCGGCACAGTTTTATTCCGTCTGTTACAAAAGGTACCCTTGAAAACAGGCAGGGGAAGGCAGACTGCGGCGCAGCCGCCCGCGTGGCAGGGGATGCCACGTGAGCACAGCCCCCACCTTTAGCTCTGGGGTGCTAAGGGGCTCATCCGTCGTGGTTTTATAGCCATCACAGCGTCTGCTTGGCAAAACCTACCCCGTGGTGGTCTCCTCCAACCCAGTGCCACAATGGCCAGGGGCTCCTCCAGCTCGGAGAGGGGCTGTGGGAAGGCCGGCCACTCCCACCACCACAAAGCATGCTTCAGACGCCGGTGTTTCTCCTTGGAGCGGCTCCAGCCTGATCAGCCTCTCCCTTACTGAGTTGTCATCTCTTGGGTGATGGCCAAAGCATCGCTGAGGGGTGTCAGACAGGGGGACCCCGGACAGACCTCGAGCTGCCCAGCGCTTCTCAGAGCTTGTTCTTGGAAAAGGAGGAGAAGGGGGTTACTGTTGCTGCTCTGAATTAGCACACCTGATGCAGCAGTTCCCAGAGAGTGAATCAGTTAAATTAATGAATCCTCCCTAATGCCAGAATTCAAGGAGCTTCCTAATACGTGTCAGTCGACATGGCATTAATACTCTCTTCTGTGACCTTTACATCACCATCTAAGTCCAGGTTCCCCTTTTTGCCCTTTGCTATTCCCTTTCATATTTAATATTAAATCTGATTTATCTGCAAGAGGGCTTTATCATGCACTTAGACAAATCAAAAGGATTTCACAATCCCTCCCCAGGGCAGAGCCACGGGTGGGAAAAGCATTGGCCTGAGGGTAAAAGGCATCCCATTCAGCCCCAGGCAGAGCTCTCTGCTGCTGCTCTGCTGCCGCTCGTCACCATTCCAGCATCCGATTTTCACCCGCATCACTTGCGGTACTTGCCGCGGGGCTCCCTGCTGACCCAGCCATTTTCTTCAAGGTCAGCACTCAGCAAACTCCGGGGGCTGCCCGGGGCAGGCAGCCACTGCTCTCCACTCCTCTTGATTTATGTGCTATTGAGCACGGAGAGACTCTAATGGACCATCTCGCAGGGGAAAGCCTGGCGCAGCCGGGTCTCTGAAGGGCTTCCTTGCATGTAGGACTCCTTTGTGCCTCCCACGGGATCCTATTACACCTCCTTCGCTGCTTTTTCTTTATTCGCTGCAGATTATTTTTTTCACACAGCACAAACCGACTGCCAGAGCCAGCGACACATGCTGATGGAGAGGCAGGAGGGTGGCTGGAGGCAGTGATGGATGGCACAGGAGATGCCGGCTGAAGATCTCAGGGACATGCACAGCACTTTAATTGGTTGGCCTGCACAGATTCCCTCACAAACAGCATTTTTTAATCTAAAAGAAAGCAAGAAACTGGAACATGTCTTGCTTCTTTCATGGCTTCCCTGGAGGCAGCAGCAGCACATTAAGAAAAAAGAGAAGGAGGAGGAAAAAATAGTCAGAAGCACCAGGTGGCTGAATATCTTGCAGCCTAATTGATTCCTCTTTAATTAGTACAAAACCTGTTGCTCTCAACAAACATTCAGTGCCAGCTTTGGAGCAAGCAGCATCCTCCCCAGCCCTGTGCCAGCACGGCTTGGTGTGGCAGAGGGAGGAGAGGAGCGACAGGGAACGGTGCGGGGTTGACGGTTCCCCTTCCGTACCTGGGAACTGGGGCCACCTCCAGCTCCTACGATGTTGTTCAAGGCAGCGAGAGCAGGAAGGAGGAGATCAGGCCGTGTCGGTGCCTGCTGCACACCGAGTCACAGCAAGGGCCTTGGATGGGACCGTCCAGAGTAACTGAGACTTCACGGGGAATTCTGTGCCTGTGCCTGGCCTCCCTTGGGAGCCACACACCGGTTCTCACCCAAATCCTTATTTTTCAAATGGAAAAGAGCTCACCTTCATTTTCAGTGAAATTACTTCTCCGCTTTTTGACTCCTGAAAGGATGTCTAAGCCTTTGCATTGGTTTGAAACCAGGCTCTGCACTGGCAAGGGCTGCTCTGGGTTAGGTGGTGACTTTGCCAAGCACATCAAAACTCACGTCCTGCAGCAGCCGGCCACATCTCTAGTGCTTCTGGAAGTGCCCCTTTATGGTTTTAATTCTTTGGTCCTTCTGACCTGCACAGGGCGGCAGTGGGGGCTCTCCTGTTGGACTCTGCTCCTGGCCCTGGGTCCCCAGCTCAGCTGAAATATCATCATGGGTGAGGTGATAACTTGTCTGCAGGTTTTGCAGCAAAACCCCTGCCACCGGCCAGCTCGCGACAGTTGCTGTTGCTCCAGCACAGTGGCTGCTCCCCAGCAGGAAACTCAGAAATATCCATTTAGGTAGAAAAGTGTCATTTACCATTGCATTTTATAGCTGATCCCTGCTGAGAAACCCTTCTTGCTGTGAGAGCAGCAGGCCAGCAGGCTCTGGGAAACAGAGATGACTTCTACCATGCCGACAACCACACAAAAGCACACAAATGCCTTTAATGTGAGCCTGGCGTCTTTTCGTGCAGATGCATCCTCCGTGGGTGCTCGCGGGAATTGCAAGCTCGTCTGGGAGCAAAGAGGAAGCCAATGTGCAAATGCTGGGGCCTGAGCAGGAAGCTCAGGAGCTAAATACACCCCTGCCAGCCCTTGCACGCAGATCCAGCCCTGCGTGTCACCACCGAGCAGGGGGACCGTGCAAAGTGGCACCGTCACAGGCTCCGGTGACTAACAAATCCCAGAGGCACGGCCCCGGAGCAGGAGTCAGAGCATCTCTCCCCAGGCTCAGGAGCAGTTTTCGTGGTGCCGAGCTGTTTGGTTGATGTTGCACAGAGCTCTCCAAAGGCGTGATCTGGCCTGCAGACCTCACACCGCCGTGCGGATAATTAACAGTAACAAACGACCCCGTCAGTGCCTGGAATCCCAAGGCTGGGATGATGAATTAACATCTGAGCAGCCTCGATTTTACCTTGGAGAAGGAGCCCATCCAAGGTGGAAATAGGTGCAGGACAGGCCCCCAGCTCATTTTATTTCTGCAGCGAGCACAGGAGGGTGTTTACAGGACATTCTTCTGCCTGGGCTCGGGAGCTGTGGACCACATCTGGATTGCCCAGCTGGAAACTGTGGCTCTCCCTCACTCACTGCCCACCCCATCCCCTTGGGAGCAAAAGCTGCTTCGCAGGGAGGGAGGCTCACAGCTCACGAGCTGGGGAAATGCCGGCGTGCAGAAGCCGTAGCTCACGCTAGAGCCATTTTCCTGCCTGTGTACAAACACAGAGCCTCATCCAAAGACCCCAGTCCCCTCCTGCCCCTCCTTGTCCCTGGGAGCTGCCTCCCACGTCCTGCTCGCTCCCAGCAGGCAGGTGCCAATTCAAACCAGTGCCTTACAGAGCCGTTTACTTGTGGTTTTCCAATCCCTAGAGTGGAAGGCCAGCGGTTCCCCGCTATTTATAAAAAGCTCTATATCTGTAAAGAACTGCTGAGCAAAACAATAGCTTTTTCTTTTTTTCCTTTTTTCCTCCAAAGTGCACTTTCCATCCTGTCACCGCACAGCCTAGTGCTGTTGCAGGCGTGTCGAACTGGAATGGGTGAAGATGCCCAGACCCTCACACCGACAGCAGCATCCTCCCTCCCTTCCCCCTCGGGTTGGGAAAGCGAAGGGCAAACGGCTACAGGGAGGCAGAGATCTGCATTATGGACATGATTCTCTTTCTCCTTGGAGAAGCATTAATCCCAAGCCATTAACAAAAACAGATTTCATGCCGCACGCAAAGATTAAACGCATTTTGCCTTGTCTCCGTGGGCAGTATCAGAAATACAGCTGCCTTCATACATTAGGGCTCTGCTGTGCTAAGCCACTAATACTGGAAATGAAGCTCAAGGCTTTTAATCACCTATCAAAGAGTCCCCCAGATTGTTGGAGGTATTTTTAGGATTTACAGGTATTAGCTCAAAAAAAAAAAAATCCAATTTATCAATTCATCACAGTTTAACTACTGCACATCATCCCACTCCTCCTCCACTGGCCCTGCAACACCCCTAGCTGGGTTAGTCGGGAGGCATGTGCCTGTTGGCACCCTCCTGGCCCCTACATGGGGCTGCATTTTGGGGCAGCCAGTCCCCCAGGCTGCTGTCTTAGTGCCCGCTCGCTGACAGAGCGAGCCAAAGCTCGCAGCTCAGCGTTGCCAGGCTCTGAGCAAGGCTTTTGACTCGTCGCCTGGATTTAGCGGCGCTCAATGGGAAAGGATCCAGCTTCCCTTTCTCTCTACCAACATGTTCCCTCTGTGAAAGTTGTTTTCGTGCCCTTTGCACCCCAGCCAGCTTTTATCCTTGCTTCTTTAGAGGTGAGGGACGAACCGAGCTGTTAGTGGAACTGGAGGGAGCAGCCCAGCTCTGATGTTCAGGCAGAGCTGGGGTGAGCGGGAGGGAAATCCTTGGGGAGCTTTGGCACACAGATGGAGAAAAGAGCATCCACCATGCTGTCGGGCTCCTCTGGTTTCTCCCTGAGCCACAGCCGGAGCACACAGGAACCCCAATCCCCTTCAAAAAAGCACTTTTGGGAGCAAGTGGCTAGAAAACACCTCGCTGCTCACATAAAGCTGCCCGGGGAGCTGGGGCGTCCTGAGGGGCAGCAATTAGTGCACGGGGTTTTACAAAGTGCCCAGCAGCTCCTGGGCATGGGGGGCTCTTGAGATGGTACCCCTGTGTCAGCATCCTCCTGCACAAGGGAACAGAGGTGCCTCCCCCTCGCTGGGGTCTCCCCAAAGGGCACAGATGGACCCCCGAGAGGGACAAAGCTGCTTTCTGGGGAGGCACGGGAGAGCTCAGCACCACTGGGGGAACCACCGCACCGAGCAGAACCCTCACGGTGTGAGGCTGTCCTGTGGTGAGGTGTATCCACAGCAGAAATGCCTCCAACATCACTCCACAGCTGGACCCCAACCCCAGCGGCAGAAAGAAGAGAGCTCCCAAGACCAGCAGAACAGAGGGGTCTGAAGCATTTATAGATGTACGTATATATCATATATTTGTGTGTGTAACTATACATAGATAGCTGCATACTTACACACCCGCACAGGTAAATATTTATAGATACTGACCTCTTCAGATTAAAGTCCAAGGCACTTTTTACAGTGAACAGGTTAAAGCCATAGTTTAAAACATGCCTGTTTCTGGGTACAGCTTGGGTTTATGGCAATGTTGTGGGGACGGGCCAGTGCCCGCTCCCTTCCCCCTGGCCAAGAGATCGGACCAGAAGGAGGGATGTAAGCCCGGGGCCAGATCCTGACCACGGAGACACGCAAATGGCTCCTGCTGGGAGGTGCGTCGGCGGGTCAGGGTGTGCCGAGACCTCAGCGAGGGGAAGAACACTTTGGGCAGAAGGAGGAGCGGAGCTGGGCGCGCGTCTTGCAGTGCCCGGAGCACCAGTCTCCAGCCCCATCGAGCAGGCGGTGCCGGAGCCCTGCCCTGTGGCCCACGGGGCTCCAAGGTGGCTCATCCAACAGGGAAATAAGTAATCCCATGGAGAGGCTTTTCCTCTCCCCTGCAAAAGCCCCTCTCTGCCACCTGGGTGCCTTCTGGGAGGGAGCTCAGAGCTGAGAGAGGAGAAGCTGGGACCAGTACTGAGCCTTGCAGCAGCATCTTCCCCTTCTCAAACTGCTGAGAAATCACCTTCCCCCCCATTAAACCTACCTGGTGTCCATCACACGGGGTTCTGAGCTGGCTGGGAGATGCTGGGCAGGAGGAGCCCAAGGGAGAGTGGTGCAGGGGGGCCAAGCACCCTAGAAATCCCCAGGCACCCCCAGACCCAGGTGGCAGCAGGGGGGGGCTCAGCCCTGCCCTCCCAGGGGAACCAGCCCCTCTCCTCTGGCAGAGCTCTAAATGCCTGAGCTGGTCCTGACCGTGTCCCAAAGCGGGGGACAAGTGGGGGCAAATGTGTGGGGGCAGGAACAGCCCCAGCCGGGCAATCCCAGGCAGCCACCATCTGCCAGCTGGTTTCTGCGGGGGGATTTTGGGTTTAGGGCCCAGCAAGGAGCCACCAGAGCTGGTGGCAGCTCATTGCTGCTGGGACCTGACCCTACTGGGCTTGACTGGTCTGGGAGGGTCAGACCAGCACAATTGTGACAGTAATTACGGTGATAACTATGACAGCACGGCAGTGACGACAACTCTGATGGGGAAGAGCCGGTGTAGGGGGTTTTAGGCTTTCACTGGACAAAAGCAGCAAGAATTGGTCCCGTAGGCGCTGGCTTGTTCCCGGACATGGTCACGCTCCATGTGGGAAGACTGGCCAGGAAGGAGCATCAGGGCTGCAAAAGAACATTTTAAGACTTATTTGCCCACAGATCTCGATCCAGTGGGAATCAGGTCCAGCAGCTCAGGGGCTGGAGGTAAGGAAGAGATACTCTCTAAGGCTCAAGGAGTACATCAGCTAGCTGGAAGGCTGAGACGGAGCAGTCTCTGCAACCTCATCGTGTTTCTCTCGTGCTCAAGGCTTCGTCCCCCTACACCATCACAGCCTGAGGTTGAAGCGAGCAAAAGGCGCAGCTCCCCGGGGCAGGTCACCTCCTGGGCACCGTGGCTGCGTTCCCTCAAAGCAATTCACCCCGAGAGAGCGAAATCGCTCCCAGGAACGCAGCCCTTGCCTGTGGCAGCGCAGATCACCCGGGCAGGGCTGCCCTTACCCCCATCCCAGAAATTAGGTGTTGACCTGAGAAGAAAAAGTGAGCACGCTCTTGCCGCCTGCCTCCTTCTGAGCAAACCCCACACAGCCCGGCTCCAGGTCTAAGGGAGCCAAAGCGGGCAGGAACGGTCCTGCCTGCCTGCCGGTCCCCAGACCAAATGCAGAGCAGCGTGTTTCAGCGACCAGCTTTTCCGCGGAGGAGGATGTTTGCACCCTCACCCTTTCCTAGGCACGAGTGATTCCCTGTTTCAAACCCTGCCTGGATCCTGCCCACGCTGAGCCAAAATGTGCCGAAAGTCCGGCTGGAGGAGGGAAGCAGCGCGCCCCCCGACCACTTCTTCCACGAGAGCCTCTATCCTGGGGGAAAGGGGGAATTTTGGCTCCTGCACAGCTCATGCCCAGGGAGCTGAGTCCCTCCTTCAGCTGGAGACAACCAAGGGGGGGGAAATGGCTTTCCAGAAACTGCTGAGACCCTGGGAGAAAAGGAGGGGGGGGGTGCAGACTTTTCCCTAAGGAGAAACAAAGTTCTGGTGCTGTTGGGCAACGTGGATCTGGACCTGCTAAAGGCCAGCTTCCAGGTAATGGGAATAAATACCTGGGGGTAAAGGATAGGGAGCGTGTGGAGCCTTTCTGGTTGGGGTTCTGCACACCTCCTCTGCCAGCCCTGGCCTCCGTCCTCACCGGGAGCAGCGGCTGTACTCAGAAACAGACATTTTGTGGCAGCAGGCTGGCGTCGCTGCCTGCTGACAACCGGGTTGGGTACAAAACCATAATTGAAAGTTACAATAACCTTTATAATATAGCAATATATTTCATAGTTAAAATAAACTATTATGCTTTCCCCTATTGTTAAAAAAGAAGCGAGCAGTACAGAGGCAAGATGCAAACCCAGGTCGAAGCTCCTTAAGTCTAGACAGAAACGTCTGTGAGTTTGCAGAGGACGTGGTATTTTTCTGGCGTTTCTAGGACGTTTCCTCGCAGGCAGCGCAGGGAGGAGGTTCAAGGAGCAAAAAAAACCCGAGGCTGTGCCGAAAATGAGACTGGCTGTGGCTAGGTGGGTCCTGGAGGGGCTTCGGGGTTCAGCCCCATCGGCGTGGGGGGTCGGATGCTTCCCAGCTGTGGGAGGTCGGCATCTCTTTGGGATTATAACTCTGCATCGCAGTTTTGTTCTTGTGCTTTTCCTCCGCCTCGGTCGCTGGTCCCAGCTCTTCTCTCCGCTTGTCCCGATGCCTTTCGGGGGCCGCAGGCTCCAAAATAACATTCTCAGGTTTGTAGACAGCACCGGCTGGGGAGCATTTACCGGAGCAATTTACCGGAGCCCTGCCAGCCGCCACAAGGAAGGGACATTCCAGCTCGAATCTGCTCAACTGCTGGTGACCGAGAGCCACTTGCAAGGAGCAGGGTGGCAGCTCCAGGCAGACACCCCAGGCCCAGAGCCCCCCAACACCAGGGGATGCCGTGGGCTGGGCAATGCTGGGGTGCTGGGGGCTCCCCCCCATGCCTGCCCTCACCGTGGCCTCGGGGCGGCTCCCCGGTCCCGGCAGCAGGGCTGGGTGGGGGGGTTAGTCTTTGTGTTGGCTTCGGTGGGGTGCGGTGAGCTGGGTGCTCAGGGCAATGGGTCAGGGCTACTGGCACCAGTGTTGAAGCACTGGCAGGGGTGTGGGTGCAATAGGGGGGGTGCAGGGTGTATGGGATGCAGGGTGGGGGCTGAGGGGGTGCAGGGGTGGAAAGGATGCAGGGTGAAAGGTGCAGAGTAGGGTGCAGACCCAGGGCTGCAAGGTTTCAGGCCGAGGGGTTCCTTTGGGGTGCAGGTTGTGCAGGGGTGAGGCTGGAGGATACAGGGTGTGGGCTGCGAGGTGTGGACATCACACTGCCCCAGCCCAGCTCCTGTCAGCCCTGGTGAAATCCCGCTGAAGCGGCGGCTCTGCCCCATCTTGTGCACCAGTTGCGATCCTGAAGCTCTCACCACTGGTCCTTCATGCCCCTTCAGCGTCTCCAGTCCCAGCAAGCTGACAGTGCCTGGTCTTGACTTACTCGGTTTGATTTCCCAGACTTGATCATTAGCCCATAAGGAGGTTCCCGCTGGCAGTATCAATTCCCGAGCATCAATACTTCCTCCAGCTCTCTGATGCTCTAGGACACATCCCTGCACCTCGCCCCGTGCACAGCCCCATTGCACGTGGCAGTTTGTTCCTGCCCAAATCCCAGGAGAGGCGTGGAAGTGTTTTTCTCTGCTGGCTGCCTGCAGACCAGCAGAGACACTGCGTTTCAGGCTCATTCTCCAAATTTGCAACCTTTTCTCCATTGCCATGCTGGAAGGCTCCTTATGGAGACGGGCAGAAGCTTTTCCCGCTGGGGAGGTAGGGCTGAGGGTCACCTGGAGGCACACAGGGAGCAGCAGCAGGGCTAAGAATAGACCTTCGGGGGCTGCCAAGGCAGCGACACTCTCTCAGCCGTCCTGCCCACCCTGCAATTACACTAATGACAAGAGCTTGGAAGAGGGGAAGAGCAGCTCATTCCCAGAAGCCGAGTATCTCCAGCCGGCCGCGGACCAGAAAAGGCTGGCAGCGATCGCCGTGCGTTCTCCTTCCCTCCCTGAATGTGATGGGAACGACCGTGGCTCGCTACCCTGCTACCAACGGGCTCAACGCAACCACCTCTGCAGCACCGGGAGCTCATTTTGCAGCACTCCTGCTGTTACCTTGCAGCCTTCCTCCTCCTCCTCCTCCTTCTCCTCCTGCCGCTGGCTGGGGCCGGCGGGGGAGAGGGCTCCTCGCTAACTACTGCTTGTTTTCTACGTAACTTTAATTGCAGGGCACAAGGAGTAAACCACCTACCACCAGCAGCAAGTGGAGTTTTGCACAGAAATTCCTCGGCATTGGGCTGAGACGTCCCTGCCTACGTGCGCACAAAATCCAGCGTTATTTATGGAAGGGAAAGAGTTACAAAGGAGATTACAGGCCGAGTATACCTGGAGTAACACAGTGACTTTGATTACAATTACTGACACTGCTGGGTGAGGTGTAATTAATATCGTGGAGTAATTACATGGTTACTTCATCTGTTTAAAAATATATAAATAGCCTCTGCTGAGTTTTCATTGAAAGCAGCAAACAGCAGCCCCAAAGCCGGAGCCCAGCAGCAGCAGGCAGGGCTCCATGCAAGGAGCCAGCAGACCCTGAACACGACCCCGGGGCAGAACTGGGGAGGAAAAAGGGTGAAATGGTGAAAGCAGAATAGAAAATAGCTGGTTCCAGAAGTAGCCAGGTGATGCAAGGGTACCTCAGAAAGCTGAATGCCAGCATAAAAAAAAAAAAAAAAAAAAAGATAAAGCATGAGGGGCTGTGCTTTGGCAGGCACAGGTGGCAGCTGTGCCATTGCCGAGACGGCGCCGGACGGTGCTGCTGATCCCCACCAAACCCAGCAGAAGCGGCACGAAGGCGATGGGCTTTGTTTTAAACAGATGAAGTGCCTGCCCCCCGCTACGACAGCACTTGCTCCTGCTCGACCCCGGCGGATTCGGCGCTGCCGGCTGGGCTCGAGCGTGGACGTTCCCGGTGTGAGCGGAGGCGGTTGTAGCCGATGGTTTGTTTTTTTTTTTTTTTTTCATCCGGCAGTTTTGAGGCCGCTGCAAAGAGCCTGCTGGCTTCCCAAAATGCTGGGGGGGGGTGGGGTGGGGTAGGGGTGGTGTCTCGGGCGGGTGGCGATGTGAACATCTGGAGACCCCCCCCCCGGCACCCGGGCTGGCCCGCCAGCCCTGTCATTAGCCATCGCTGCACTGGCTGGGGGCAGCCCTGCCCGGCCCCGCGGCCCCGCACGCTTTAGGCACTGCTTTCCTGGCTCCGGCACGTGTCTCCAGGCAGAATATGACAGCGAGGACCAAAAAGAAGAAGAGTCCTTTGTTCTGCCTGGGCAGAAAACACTCACGGCTCCCGGAGAACTCCCCAGGCAGGTTACAGCCAGACACTGTCACCCCACTGGCAATGCGAGGTGGGGGGTTCGTGCGAGTCCTGGTAAGGAGATGGGATGGAGCGTGGGCAGTGTAGGTCAGAGCCTGTGCAAGAAACCACCACGTTGGCATCTGCCCGGCGGGGCTTTGCGATGCTGAGAGGGGCGGGGGGCGAGGGGAGCGCCCCGGCCCCCGGCAGGGTCCACGCAGGGGAGGAAACCTCTCCCTTCTGGTGTCTCCGTTGCTTCAGTGCTTCTGACTTGTTGGTTTGTTTTCAAATGTGAAGACCTGAGATTGAGCGTGGGTTTTCCGTCCGCCACCGGACGCCACGGCGCAGGCTCGCCCGAGGCGTCGCCTCCCGTCCCCTTCCTTCACCACGAGTAGAGGCACCTGAATGGGGATGCGATTCCCGATACCAAGGCGTTGGCAAAGCTCCGAGCATCGCTCGGCACTGCTGGTCCCACCGGCTCCGGCCGAAGGGTCCTGCGGCGGTTCGAGGACCAGAAGAAAGTCCATGGAGACCTCGGGACCTACGTGGAAACGCTTCCCCTGTCCGTGGGGGGGGCTGAGGGGGGGCTGCGTTTTAGCAGCTGCTTGAGCTCGTGTAAGGGGTGGGGAAGGAGGTGGAGCTGACCCCGATGGGGCTCTCGGAGAGAGGGGTTTGGGGGGTGCCCACCGGCACACCGACCCCCCGCGCCTCCAGGACGGCGGCGAGCAGGCGCTGCTGCTGCTGGCGCAGCATGTCGGCCATCAGCAGGGGCAGGGAGTTGAAGCTGGCGCTCAGCTGCTCCAGCTTGGACTCCAGGCTGCTGATCTGCTTCTCCAGGTCCTCGCTGCGGTCGTTGAGCTCGGTGATGAGGTCGTACATCACGTTCTGCATCTGAGGAGGGAACAGAGCGGGGCAGCGGCGGGGTTAGTGCCGCTGTCCCTGGCAGAGCAGAGCCCTTTAACCCTTTTCTGTGAGCAGAGCCCCGAGAGCCGCCCTGTCTCAACCCGCTCCAGGAGCTTGCGGGGCACTGTGACCACAGCTTAGCTCGCCTGAAGACATTAAAATGTGGAAAACCTGCCTCCGTGCAGCTGGAGGGGAAAGGGGCGGCTGGCCCTGTGCTGCCAAGCAATGGTACCCCCAGCTGGGGCTGCAAAAGGGGGTGCAGGGGGCAAAGATCTTTCCTGGAAGCTTAGTGACCCCCCCCCCTCCCCAGCCCCTGGCTCGTGTCTGTGTTTCTCTCCCTGCCTTGCGAGGGCAGCCATCCCACAGCAGCTATTCCCGGCTGACATCCACCGAGCTGGAGCATTTTGCGGTCAGCCAGGTCCACTTTAGTTTTTCCAAGTGAAGAGAAACACTCGGGCAGCCTGGCCGAGCCAAGAGGTCACTGCGAGGACTTGCCTTCGAGAGGTCGACCAGGGTGTTGGCTTGGTCGCTCAGCTTCCTCTGCTCCATCTTCACACTCCTCAACCTGGGGAGAAGGAAAGAGCAATGTGGCTGCACCCCCTCCCCAATTGCAAACCGCAGCCAGAGACCTGCCTGCGTCCCAGGCAATGGGAAATTGTCCCCACGTCCCTGCCAGGGGCTGGACCACGATTCCGCTGGGGCTCAGCATCCCCCCCCAGCACCCCTGCCCAGTGCGCAGCCCCTTACTGGTGAATGGCTTGTAGGAACTTCCTCTGATGCTTCCTGACTTTAGCGTGGTCGATCTTCTTCAGCAGCTTGGTGTGCTTATAGATGAGCCACGTTTCCCGCAGGACGTTGGCTGCCGCGTTCTTGATCTGCAGGAGGAGAGGTGGCTGCAGGTCACCGGCCCCGGCCACGCCGGCACACGGGATTTCACGGAGACACCGGCCTGGCTCTGCCATGAGCTGACGGTTCGTGAGCCGACGCTGTGAGAGCACTTGGCTCACCCCGGCTGGAGCGAGGTGCTCGGCTCCACTCCCGCACCGTTGCACAGGATCACAGGCAGCTGGGACGGGAGGAAGGGCAGGCAGAGCTGCCCGCACCGAGCGGCAGGTCTCAGCCCCCCCCGTGCGCCCGCATCCCCCCCATCCTGGGTTCCTCACCCACGCACAAAGCTCTACCCTAAGCCTCGCAAAAAAGCGAAAAATCCCAAAGTTTTTCTCAATTCCTGCATCCATCTGCCGCTCTTGGCAGGTCCCGGCTGGGCTGCCGGCATGAGGACGTGGTTTCCGCAGGCTCCCCGGCTAAACCGCAGCTCTGCTGCTCACTCCAAGATGAATTGGCCGCTGCCTGCCTGGCACGGAGCCCACGGATCCATATCCATGGCCAGGGGAGTGGGACCGACCGGCTGTTTGCTTTCCCAGCCTGGCCATGCCAAGGTCCCCGACAATTCCCGGGGTGTCAGGGCTCCTGCTGGCACGCGGCTCTCCCCGGGGCTCTGCTCTCCAGGGCGAAGCGGGGTGCCCCAGCCACATCCCAGCACTGGGAGGTCACCTTTCCAAGGGCTGCACTGATGCTCGCTGTGCCACCATCCCCTATATAAAATATCACTCCTGCTGCCGGTGCGCGGAGCCCGTTCTATCACGCGGCACTACCGGGTTGCCAACGCTTTGCTGCGACGAGGCTGCTGAGACCAGAGACCTCCTGCAGCCCCCGCGTGACACCAGGATGTGACACCAGACCCCGGCACCACCAGCGACCTCGTGGACCCCCACTACAGCCACGGCCTCCGGGTCCCTCCTCGGGGATGGAAACTGCAGGAGCCTCGTGGTGCGGCTCTCGCTTGCAGCAGGCGAGGCACTGAATCACCGAAATCCAGTTGTCTTCCTGACACTGAGCTAAGTGAGATCATGCTCTGCAAAATGAGGGAGTCTGTATCCTCCCAGGGAAAAAGAAAAAAAAAAAAAAACAAAACAAACAGCTTTTCCTCCTGCTCCTGGGGGTGCAGCCAAGCATCCTGCATCACCTAAATCCCTGATACAGAGCTGGTGGTGTTTGCTTTTCCCGTAACACTTGTGCCTGCTCTGCATCCAAGGCACTCGGATGCCTTCCTCCACTGTGGGACCCGTGGGACCCGCACCCAGAGGTGCTGACACCTTCCTCCCACCCTGGTACCCTGCACCCCCCAGCTCCCGCCATGCAGCACGGCCCCCTACTCCTGCTGACCCCCACAACACCTTACCCGCTTCGTCAGCTGCGTGTCCATCATGAAGTTGTGGACATGCTTCTCAGCTTTGGTGAGCTCCAGCTTCCTGGCCACCACAGCCACCACCAGCGCCGTGCAGCCGGCGCCCTGCGCGGGGACGTCAGGCAGGGAAACAGTTTGTCATCCTCCAGCAACCTCGTGCAACAGCAGCACTCCCACCCTCACCGCTGCAACCCCCCACAAACATTATCCTAAGGAGGAGATATCACAAACCCTGGGTGTTGAGCGGCTGACCGTGTGCTGGCTAATTAACAGGATGATTTATGCTGTCGCTGGTGATCAGTGCTGAGCCCTCACCTCCCTGGCACCCATTAGAAATGACCAGGCTAAGCCACCACAGGCTGGGGACCTGCCCCATGCTGTAGGATGGGGAGCACCCGAGGTGGGGTTCCGGGGTGGGAGAGCGGTGGGGAAGCACCAGCTGACCTGGGGGAGAGCGGGGAAGGGGACCCCCGAATCGGAACCCTTTGAATCACCACGTCTCCCAACAGCGACAGCTGGGAGCTTGCTTATCCCAGCGATTAGGGCCGGATCCACGCCGTAGCCATCATCTCCGGCGCCTGTTTGTCTTTGGAAAGCAAAGGTGCCAAGCCTCCGCTCTCGGTGGTGCTCCAGCACTCTGCCTGCTGCTGCCCGTACCAGATGAGCCGCTCCCCCCCCCGAGCACTCTGGCAGAGGCCCACGATCCTGGCAAACACTCCTTAATTTATTAAAGAGTCATTAATTAACATCATGCTCTGAGCTGAATCCTTTAGCATCCCTGAAGGTCCCGCTGTGTGTGCTCTCGACTCTGATCGCTTTTCTCTTCCCGGTGGGGCGGCCACCCCTGGTGCTGTGGGGCTCAGGGAGCCCTGGGGATCCCCCCGCCATCATGGGGGGGTCCCCATCCCCCAGCTGTGCTGCCAGATGGGTGCTGGGAGCGGGGCACGCTTTGCTGGATGGTGTCTCAGTTCAAAGGAACTGCTGGCTGGGGGGGAGCTCTGGGAGCCCACAGCACTGGGACCCCCGCGGCCGAGCTGGCGGCTGCTCCCTTGCACTGCGCTGCTGGGAAACACCGCGTGTCCCCCCACTCAAGAGGGATTTTCTCCTTCATTTGGCTCCTACCAGCAGCATCACCCTCGCTGGCGCCCAGCCTCATACGAGACAGATCAAAGGCTTGCAGATAATATAAAATTAACACCCGCCGGCGGAGCCGCCTCGTCTGACGGCTCTCGCGGGGCGCAGAGCGGAGCCCGGATGGTGCTGGGCGCCAGCTCGGGCTGCCCCAGTTCCACAGGGGGATGGCTCCATCCCCTCCCCTGGAGCTGAGGGGAGTAGAACTGGGGTGCTGGGGAGGATCTGCGGGGGAGCCGTGACCGCAGGGCCCCCGGCCGCTCCTTTGGCCGCCCCGGATGGAGAGCCCCGCAAGCTGGGACATCTCATGGGCGCCTTGGAGCAGGTACGCCGGAGGCCCCGGGGGACGGTGACCTTTTGGCCACGAGGAAATGAAGCCACAGCAGAGCCGTGATGCTGGCAGGAGCGTGGAGGGGGTGGAGGGCTCCCAGCTGCTCTCGGCAGGAGCCGGCAGCATTTGGGATTACTCCGGGCGATGGAAACCAGGTGGTGCGAACGGGGATGGCCAAGGGATGCTCGGGGGCCCTTCTCCTCCCTGGGGACATCCCGAACCCTGCTGCGGTCCAGCTCCCAACTCCCTTGCCAAACACGAGTCCAAATGCACCCCGAATTCACCAGGGCAGGGACTGCAGCACCCACCAGGCACACACCCAGCCTGCACCATCACCTCCTGAACCAAACCGCCATGACCTGCTAATTACTCCGCTTCCAGTAACTGCAGCGGCAGCTCTATCAGCTTCGCAGGCTGCGAGACCTCGGGGCTGAAGCTATTACACCTCGTGCACAGGAGCAGGTTCCCATAAATCCAGGAAGCCAGCCAGGAAGCGGGTTCCCATAAAATCTGGTGGCCCTGCTGCCGCGACGGGGACACCAGAGCCCACGGGACAGGCGACCGGCTCAGCACGGCCCTTACCATGATGCCGGTGAGCAGGCAGACGCCTTTCCCGCAGTAGGTGTGCGGGACCATGTCGCCGTAGCCGATGGAGAGGAAGGTGATGGAGATGAGCCACATGGCACCCAGGAAGTTGCTGGTTACGTCCTGCTGGTCGTGGTACCTGCCAAGGGGACACGGGCATCAGTGTCATGGCAGGGGACGGGGGCGGCTGTGGGGAGCAGTGGGGGCATCCCTGGCACGAGGCTGTGCTGTGCAACAGGGAATAGGGATTAAAAACGCAGCAGGACGCCCCATAGCAGCAGCGGTTGAGCGATTTCTGGCGCAGGAAAACCCACACAGACAAAATCAGAGCGAAAACTCAATGGAAAGGGCTTCTGCTTTCAGTCAGACCTGTCACCACATCCCGGTCCCGCCGCCTGTGTCGCCGGTGCCACGTGGCACGGCGGTGCGAGCCGGCTGATGGGAGAAACAGCTGCGGCTCTGCAAAGCCCCCGACCGCTCCAGCTCGCCACCGGCATCCTCCTCCGCATCCCCCCCCCCCCCACCGCTGCCTCCACGCGGGCTGAGCCCGCTCCCCGCTGCGCCGCCCCGGGGGACGGATCCTGCCAAGCCTCCGGCATGCGCTTGGCTCTCGGACAGCGCGGGGGAACGGCTCACACGCTCGAGATGAAGCACACGTGGAGCGGCCGCCGCTTCAAGGGGGGGTGCTGCGAAGTTTCCACCGTGTCCCTGCTGAGCTGCGAGGTCAGTGACCGCTCCTGGCCGGCCCGGCAGCCGGCTGCGGCTCTTCCGGCAAACACGCAACCGGGGGCCCCAGGGCCGGCGCGAGCCCAGCCGAGCCACGCAGGGATGCTTCCCGTGGGATGCAGCACTGGCTCCCAGTGATGGAGCAGGGGCTGGCCCAGCCCGCAGCGGGACTCAGCCCTGGGGTGGGCAAAGGGCAGGCAGCACCTTCGCCCCACAACAGGCAGGATGGTCACGCTCCTGCCTGCACGCATCCCGCTCCCCGGCAGGCTTCTCCCAGCCTCCTCACGAAATCATTAAAGGGAAACCAGATGGAGCTTTTTGGCAATTTCCCCCCGGTTCATCTCAGCTCCCCCACTCCCGGAGCAGTTGGGTTTTTTTCCTCTTCCGAAATGTTTTTCCCCCCCGCCCCCCCCAAGTAATTGGAGCCTCGAATGAGATCCCGGTGCACTCAGCCGCGGCAAGAGCTGTTGCCGCGCTCTGGGCAGCACTGGCCAGGGGAGCCAGAGCCCATCACCGCGGCCACGGTGGGGGTCCCCAAAATCCCGGCAGTGGCATGCACCCCCCAATCCCAGCCAGTGTGTTCCCCTGGGAAAGGCTGAGCCCAGCCCATCCACAGGATGTGAGCTCTCAAGCTGCGGGGATGACCCTGGGAGTATCGTGCTAGGCACGGGGGTTACAGCACAGCCGGACAGCCGGATGTTTTCTATTCCGAGAATCTCTTTGAGGAGAAGGAGCTGATAAACAGGAGGGGCTGGCATGTGCCACAGCTGGCGCGGGCGGGAAGCGGGGCTCCCTGCTCGGGGCTGTGGCAAGCAGTTAGACCCCAGGGCCGCTTTCCATCGCCCCCTCGTCCGCCTGCCCCCGTGAAGGGTGGCCAGCGGGGCTGCCACGAGCATCGCCCCAGTCCCACGCCCCGGCCGAGCGGAGCATCGCCACGCCGGGATGCCAACCCGACCCCCCCCCCCCGTGGGTGCGGGCAGCACCGGGCTGGCTGCACCCTCACCCCGGGGGAGCAGGGCTGGCTGCACGTGCACGCACACGTGCGAGCGCACGTGTGTGCCGTCGGCGGGCAAGGCCGGCAGCACTGCCGGCACCGCAGGCAGCTCTGCGTGGCGGCCAGGCGAGGTTGCTAAGCGACTCGCTGCCTTCGGGGAGAGCTGAGCCCCCCCACCCCCACCCCCCGGCATGCACGGGAGGATGCCTGGCAGCAACGCTGCGCCCACGGGGACGTGCCACGGCCGTGCCACCCCAGCCCCGGGGACCACATCTTGGAGCAGCACAGCCATCTCCAAGCCGCCCGGCCCCAGCAGATGCTGGTTGGGGATGCTTCTACAAGCCACAGCAAACCGGTTTCCAGCGCCAGTGCAGCAACCGCAACCCGCCATCGGTGGGGACACAGGGACAGGACCTGGGTGCCCCTTGCAGGAGCTGTGCAGCACCCAAGGCCGGTGCATCCCTTGGGGATGGAGCATGTCCCAAGGGTCGTGCGTACCCCCGGGTCGGTGCATCCCCAGCCCGGCTGGGAGCCCGCCCAGGTTCACTCTGTAGACAGAGGGAGGTGGCGGCAGCTGCGGGTGACGGTGATCTGCAGCGCCTCGTCTGCGTCATTTCTATTTTTTTTTTTTTTTTTGGTCGCTAATGGTTCTTTATTTACATTGTGTTTTCCAGCCTAAGCCCCCCAGGTACGGAATCAAGCCCCTGCACATCCCCTGGGAGCCTGTCCGCCCGCTCCCTGTTTAGGAGGCACAAATAAAAATCTCCCAAACACAATTAAGCAGCGCACGACTATCCAGCACATCCTGAGAGCATCATTAAGGGAGGCAGGAAGGCAAATGCAGCCTGTAAAAGCTCATAAAATCTCAGCGTGCTGTTCTGCTCTGCCACGGCACTTAAAGCTGCTCTAATGCCCCTTCACTGGGTGACCAGCGCGACAGGTCCCACCCTGGGGAAGAGGAGGGGTGGTCTTCCTCCTGCCTTGCAAGCACCCAGAAGGAAACTGGGTGTCTCGGGGGACCTTGGGGAGTCAGCAGGCGCAACCCCTCGCACCTCAGTTCTGAGGATGGCACGAAGCTGCCACAACTTAAAGGGATTTCACGCGATTTCACTGACAGACAGACACCAAACGGTGTCTCAGGCACTTTCCTGCTGACCAGCCCAGGCTCCAAGAGCCCTCTGGGACAATTAGCCATGCTTTGATGGCAGCACGGTGTCGAGCTCAGCCTCCTGGGGACAGGGATGGCCCCGCGCTGGCACAGGACACCCCATGGGGACCTGCCCTCCCTGCCCCAGGATGGATGGGTGCTGCCAGCACCTTGCACCCTGATTGGGGAGAAACCCCTCCAGCACAGTGCTGGGGTGGGCTGGGGGTGCTCTGTCACAGCCCCCCCCCCGATTCCCCTCGGGGGACAAAGGGGTGCCGGCACGTCCCTGAGAAATGAAGGTGCAGCGGTACCCACCGGGGCCGGTCGCCACAGCAACCCCCGTGCCAAGCACACCGATGCCGGCGTGATGCCATCCGGCAGTGGGTTTGTCACCGCGGTGTTGTCATGGCAGTCGCTCGCAGCGACGCCAGAGCCCAAGCCAAGCACTGCCACTCGCCAGCCTCTCCCCATGGACAGCCTCCCCGCAGCTTCCGCTGCTCCCCGTGTCCCCCACCACCCCCCCACACCCTCCTGGGGCTCCCGCGCCAGCTGGCACCACACACCGTCCCCTCACCCGGGGCCCCTGCCTGTCCCCAGGCACTGCGAGTACAGGGCTGTCCTTGCCTCTGCCTCCTGCACGGGACAGGGACTCGTTGGGGTGGGAACCTGCTGCTCCCAATCTCCACATCCCTCCCCCGGTGTGCTGGGCCATCGCGGCTCCGTGGAGCACCCCAAACCGCCGCCCCAGCCCCTCTCACCTCTCGCACACCCGGACCGTCCACGCAGCGATGATCCAGAGGGAAATGCTGAAGACCAGCAGCACCGTCCCGGGGCAGATGGTCATGAGGGTCTTCATGACAAAGCGGGTGTTGAAGTTGATCTTGTTGAGCGCCCCAATGCTGCGCGAGGAGGCGTCGGTGAAGAGCTTGCTGTGCAGCAGCATCACCCGAGCGATCAGGTAGAGGCGCAGGAACATGGGGATGGACAGGATGATGTCCACATCCGCCTCTGCCCGAGAAGGCGTGTAGGAGAAAGCCAGGCGGGCTGTCCAGAAAAATTTGTACTCCCCAGGGATGGGGTGTATGGCACAAACCAGCATCTCCAGGCTGATGTAGAGGATGCGTTCATACGTCATCGCTATCCGCCAGTCGTCGGCTCCGTTGTCGATCACAAAGAGCTAGCAGGATGCAAAACCACAGAGTTACTGGTGGCCCCAACCAACCCTGCTCCACCAGCAGCCCACCACAGGCAGTGGGGGGGACCAACATCAGAGCCCCACGGAGCCAGGGATGGCTTCAGCCAGGAGAGCTGGATGGATGGGGAAGGAAAAGGTGGGAACGAGCCTTTGCCATCCCCTCTGCTGCTCTGCCTGTGTGTTCAGGGGATGGTTACGGCGCTGGGGCCACCCCAGAAAGCTTTAGGGTGCCTGGCCTCGAGCACACGCCGAGGCAGGGCATGAGGACAGCTCGCCCCGACCCACTCCCGCACGGCGGCTGGCAGGAGCTCACCTCCCGGCACAGGCTCCTCGCCCAGGGCACAGAGACGGGCAAGCCATGGTGCCGCAGAGCCCCGGCACGAGCCACCTCCTCTCCCACCAGTGCCATCAGCAGCCGCCACGCCCCGAGTGCCAGCACAACTTTTGGTGAGGGAACGCCGCAGCCAGAGCACTGGGCCGCTGGCGGCGATGGGATCCGGTTGTCATAGTAACCGCCAGTTCACCCTGGGTACCAGCTCCTCTCCCACCACCGGTGACGGAGTCGGGGTCTCTGCAGGAGCTGGGGGGGACGGCAGCTCGGGCTGGTCCCTCTGCCACGCAGACAGACCCCTGGGGGGTCCCCCACCCCGTCCTGCCTCGACAGGTCCACCCCGAGGCTGCCATCGCCCCGGCAACAGGGACACTGGTGTCACCTACAGCAGCGGGGACGCGCTCAGGGCCTCTCCGCAAGCAGCGCTTGGCAAAGACACCGCTGGGAAGGGATCCAAGGGGGACGTGGCAGCTGGCACTAATGTCACCGGCGTGTCCTCGACCCTGCAAAGCGCAGAGTGACACCGGCTTGTCCGGGGGGCCGGGAGCTCCTGGGGCAGCTCCAACCCGGGCGGTGGGTGGGAGCACGGCCCCGGCTGGCACCGCGCCTGGGAACAACCCTCCCGCCCTGTCGGAGGCCCCGGTGCACCTGCGGCAGCCGCCTCGCCGGCACGGCACGGCACACAGGGCTCCCCCCAGGGACGGCAAGAGCCGCCGGGACTGACTCACGGAGCGGCCGTCCCCGGCCACCTCCCTTTCTGTTTGGAAAGCTCCGCTCCTTTTAGCTGCTTTGTTTGAGAAATTGTTTATAAAAATGCTCCAAGCTGTCAAGGGAGATCCTCAGGCATTTAGCAAGCTGACAGCCCATTCCTTCCTGGAAAAGGGTGTTAAAAATAAACAAATTAGCAAGAGGAAAAAGGCAGGGAGCCTTTTGACTGCGTGTGGGGTGTTTGCAACAGGCCAGTTCAGGGAAGGGAAGGAGGGAGGGGGGGGATTCGGGCAGGTTCCCCCTGCGCCAGCCCCTCTCAGCCCTGCACCTGCAGTGCATTGCTGCGGGTTTCCATGGAAACCCCAGCGCAGTCCAGCGGTACCCGACAGGGCATCCCCAGCATCCCCAGCACCGGCTCCGGCAGCGGAAGGAGCAAGCGTGTTGGCCACCCCAGCTCCGGGCAAGCAAAGGACAAGGAAAACCGCCAAAGAAGCTGCGTGGGGGGAAAAACCTTCATCGGATTAAATGAACCAAGAGACTTGGGCACCCCAAGGGCAGGGACGAGGGAGGCTGTGCCCCCCCCCCCCCCCCCCCCAAACCTCTGTCTGGAGCTGGCAGCGTCCTCAGCACTGTGCTCCGTCACACACCGTGGTGATAAATGTGGCGCTGGCAGGGGACAGCACACCCTGCACCACCCCGGGACATGGATCAGAGCCACCGAGCCCAGGGCAGCCCCTCGCCATGGGAGGGCGAGGACCTAGGCTCAGCCTAACGAAGAGCACGCAATTAGCAGCCACTCATGGCCTCGCAGCAGAAAGCAGAGCTGGGAGGCCGGGGTGGGGGGATGGGAGGATCTTGCTCACCTGCAGCCCTGGCTGGTGGGCGACGGGCACAGTGAGACCCCAGGAACACCCCAGGGACACTCCAGGGACACCCCAGGGACACTGGGTGACAGTGGGTGCAGGCAGCTGGGGAGGGGACAGGCAGGACCCCAGGCACAGTGATGCTCCAGCCCCGGAGAAACCAAGGCACAGGGAGAGCTGCAAATGCCCTGAAGGACTCGACAATTAATGCAATTAACACTGACAGAAGAGGCTGAAGCCACTGTCGAGTCTTTCCTGGAGGCTGGGGACATCTGGCAGTGCCATGGCAGGGTGAGTGCAGCCCCCCCTTAGGTGAGAGGGACGAGAGGCTGAGGATTTACAGCTCTGTCAGCCCTGCTTCCATCCCCGGCCAGATTATCAGCAATCCCTTTATAAGCACCTAGGAGATAATAGGGCGATCAGCGGCCAGAATGGCTTTGTCTGAAGCAAATCAAGTCAAACCAATCTCATTTTCTTCCCTGCCAGTGTAACCAGCCCAGTGGAGCAGCTGGGGCCGCACGACCGGGTCGTGGCGAGGTTTGGTGCCTGAACTGGCACCGCAAATGCGCTCAGGGACCGGGACCAGCGGAGGGACAGCAGTGGGGATTTTGGGGGGAGAGGCGAAAAGCCCCACGCCTCTTGGGTGGACGCTGTGTTTGTACAACCCGCTCCCAAGAACAACAAGCGGAGGAAGCCGGCGAGTGTCGGGGCACGGCCCGCCCAGCTGACCCCAACCGCTGCTACCCCAGGGTAAATATTATTCTAGCAAAAAACAGAGCTCTCAAATATTTGCTTTGAGCAACCCACCGCTGGGCTCGGTCCCCATGCAGGCAGGCTGAGCCGGAGCGGTGGCTCCCGGGAAGGTCCCTTGCAGGCAGGAGGCAGGCAGGGAGTGGGGTGCCTTCCTCCAGCCCCTCCAGCCAGCAAAGCTGCCCCAGCCTTGACTGGGACCAGGTGGGATCTTTGGTGCACCAAAACACCCGGCATTCAGGGCTGGGGGCTTTGGCATCCCATCCTGAGATGCTCCTTCTCCTGCCCAGTGATTCATTCCTCCCATCCCCAAAATACGCTGGCGTCGTGCCGAAGCCGGATCCCGCGGGGAAGCGCAGTCTTCCTGGAGCAAACTGGGAGCCCTTTCATTTCCCAGCAACGCCGGGGCAGGCAAGGAGGAAGAGAGTGGGCAGACCTGATTAGGAAAGGATTTCGCAGCTTTCCTTGGCACCTCAGCTGGTCCAAGCCCTTCCTGGTTGAGCCTCCCCCAGCCGCTGGCAGCTCTGCCGGGCACCCTGCGCCCGGGCAGACCACTCAGTGCCCAGCCCCGCTGCCCCCCGAGACCCTTTGCTGCCCCCCAAGAGCCTGGCGAGGAGGGAGAAGGCTCCACGCAGGCTGCGAGTTCGGGTACTGCATCCCACCGGGGTGGCTGGCAAACCCTGCAGCCCACCCCAGCCACCTGCCCTGGCAGCCCCGAGCTCGGTGCCGGTGACACCAGGGACCTACCTGCACCTCCCGCGTGTGGTAGGCGATGATGAGGCCCAGGAGGATGACGGTGGAGAGGCTGATAAGGCATTTCAGGGCCAGGGAGAACATGGAGTCCTGCAAGGCGAGAGCAGGGCGGGCGTTAGTGGGGATGTGGCCACGGGATGCCGCTGGGCTCCGTGCCCCTGGGGAGATGTTGTGCCCCCCCTTCCCCCCCAGCGCTTCGGCCACCCCAGCTCCGAGGGCACCGCCAGCACCCTGGGCAAGAGCGGCCCTTTCTCCAAAACACTTTTTAAATCTGATTCTGCCAAGTGTAATTACCAGCCTGCCGTCTCTGGGACATGCGATGCCAGCGCCCTGGCTGCATCCGGCGTGAGCCCAATATTATGGCAGCCTAATGGATGGTGTAATTAGTTCCTCCTGCTAATTAGTTGTATATAAATTAAACCAGCCAGTGATTCGCTGGGGGCTGAAGCGGCTGCTCCCCGGGACCCTGCCAGCAAGAGCAGGATTCACCGTCCCCTCCCGCGGCTCCCCTCGGGGCCCCACTTCTGCCGCCAGCAAATTCGTGCTGCTGCCGGCCACGATCCAGCCCCGCCGGTGCCAGCGGCACCCACCGAGCACTCGCAGCCCCTCACCGAGGTGTCATCTCCAAACCAACCCGCCCTGCCACCACACCCGTCCCACACCTCCACCCCATCCTCAGCATGCCGAGATCTGCCACGCTCACAGCGTGCTGAGACCTAGCGTGCTCATGACATGCTAAGAGAGGCCCCGCGTGCTCACGGCACACCAAGACCTGGCCTGCTCATGGCACGCTGTGCTCCTCAGCACCCCGGGATGCCTTCAGCCTCGCTCCTCTCCCTCTCCCCGGTGTCCCTCATCCCCACGGGGTATTTAAATGTGGAGAAGGGACTATTTGCTGCGGAGGCAGTGGCGCATTGTTAACGACTTGGCTCCGGCCACGCAATTGTGTGAATATAATGGCTGGTGCTGAGAGAAGTGCCGGGGACCAAACAACGGCTATTAATAGGCAAACTCCGGTGCAGCGCTCATGCCAAGGCTGTTCTGGCCAGACCCTTCCCGGGGGCACTAATCCTGCCTGCCCAAAGCACGGGGAACCCCATGGTGCCACTGGGACTCCAGGGACCCACCGGCTCTCCGGGCAAGCACTACTGGCACAGGCTGCCGCACGCTCACCGCGTTTACCGATACCCCCTGCCACTGCTGGGTCCGGAGGGACCCGGCAGGAAAAGCTGCTGCTGGATCCCACGCTCACGGCAAACAACGGGAGCCGGGGCGGGGGGGGGGGGGGGGGGGGGTGTTGGCTGAAGCGCGGCGACGCCGCGTCCCCCCCCGGCACACACCCTCCCCACGCTTCACCCCGGCCGTGCCGCGCAGGCTGCTGGTGGCTCTGGGAAGCAGCCGTGCCATCCCCGAGGGGCAGGAGGGGGGTCCCATCCTGCCTTTACTCAAGGGACGGGCATCGAGCCAGCAAAATCCAGCCACCGCATCCTCGTGTTCTGGCTCAGCCCCGGCGCCCTCCGGCCTGGGGAGCACGTGGTGGCACGGCTGCTGGCCGCGGGGGCCGAGCTGGAGCCGGGCCAGGGCCGGCAGCACCGACATCCCCAACCGCACAACAGCTGCCGGCCCCGGCCCCAGGCGCTCCTTCGGTCACGGCCGCGTTCCTGCCGGCAAGCTCCGGTTTCCCACCGAGGGCTGCCGGGGAGGGGGGGGGGGGTTGGATTTATAAACCGTCGCCCACTGCCGCAGCTCCAGCCAAAGGCCGGGGGCAGCCGGGAGCCAGGGAGTTCCCCCCCCCCTGCACCCTGCAGTTGTCGGCACGAGCATCGCGGTGAGCGGCAGGCGCCGGGGCGGGGGTCGGGGCGGCTGCACAACGGCAGCGCTGACTCACAGGGTCTTCCCCGGTTGAGGCGGCAGCTCGGCGTGGCGGGGTCAGCAAGCGTGGCAGCGGGGCCGCCGGCCGTGCGGTGAGGGCCACCGGGTTCCCCCCCACCCCCACCAGGCACACGGGCAACCCGGTGAGGGCAACTGCAGCTCAACAGGTAGCGGGTGCAGGTGGGGGACGGCGGTTTGGCCTTGCTCCTGCCGAAGGGGAGTGGGAACTGCCAGGGAAGAGGCTCCGGCAGCGAAGCGAAGCGTCTTCCTCCCTCGGTGGGGGAGCCAGGGATGTGGCTCGGCACTGAAGTACGCCTCGGCCGGAGCAGAGGGAACCGCTGCCGGCGGCCCCTGTGCTCCAACTGATGCCGGCAGCTGTGGGCAGCCAGGGCTCGGGAACCCCCCACTGCCAACCAGGCACCTCCGTGGGGAGGCGGTGGGGTCCCCTGCACCCACGGGACCCCCCAGCCACATCCCTCCCTCCCTCCCTCCCTCCACCTGCTCCAGCTCCATCGCCTCCTCCACCCGCGCCGCCCTCCTCACCGCCTGCGCCGGATAATGGCAGGAAGCGGCGAGCAGCCCCTTCCCACCCCGCTCCTTCCCCTCTGCCAGCGGCACCACGGCACGGGGACCCCGCCGGCCGCCCCCCCAGCCCCCTCGGCAGCGCTGTCCCGCTGACGCCCATGGGTGCCACGCACGCCCTGCCGGCGCGGGTGCCGATGCCTTCCCCTCTCTGGATATGTATAAATAACATGACAGATGTCTATACAAAGAGTTATTCATATCGCTGCCAACCAGCGCAGCCCAGGAGCAGGAGCTGGAAGGGGCGTGGGGGGAGAATTATAAATAAAAGACACCGTCCTGCAAAAAAAATAAAAAAAAAAAAATTAAAAAAAAAAAAAGACAAAAAATGGAAGAAAGGGGTGTGGAGGAGGAGGAGGACGGAGTGGAGACTCCGCCACACCGCTGAGGGCACGGCACCTGGAGGAGTGCCCGGCCGGGCTGGCAACGGGCACCGCAGACCCCGGCAGGTCAGTCCCTGGCGCTGCCAGCACCCGGGGCAGCTCCGCCAGGCCCGGGCGCAGCACCCGCCCCAGCACGCAGCCCCGGCGGCCCCCAGCCTGGAGCTCGCCCTGCCCGACACCTGCGGCCGCAGTGTCGCTGTAAGGCCCCAGCGCTGGCCCGGTGATCCCCAGCCGGCCCGTACGGCCCCATCCCACAGAAGATGGGGCCACCGGCTCCATGCTTATCCCACGGGATGCCATATGGGGCCAACAGCTCCGTGCTCACCCCACCGGGCACCATCCAGCGCTGGTGGCCTCACGCCCACCCCCGAGACCCATCGGTACCTTGGAGTAGAGCCCCCAGGAGAGCTCGGTCTCGATGACCATGACGACGATGCCGAACATGCCGAAGATGAGCGCGTAGTCGCTGAGGCGCTTCCTCTTCTCGAAGAGCGCCCGGCGGTGCCCCAGCCGGTAGCCGATGTTCTGCGCTTTGCGCTTGGGCCCCTTGGCGAAGGTGGCGGGGGCCGGGCGGGCAGGCGGGCGGTCGGGGCGGCGGGCGGCGGGCGCGTGGTTGTCCTCCCGGGAGACGACGATCTCCGGGGGTCCGCCGGCACCGAAAAGCTGCAAGGGCTGAGCCTCCGGCTCAGCCTCGATGAGGTTCCTGCGGGATGCGCTGAGCCGGCTGAGGGGCTTCATTACCCCCCCGCTGTACTTGCAGGAGCTCATGGCGATCTCGGTGAAGGGGTTGCTGTCCCGCCGGTGCACCAACGGGCTGGGCTGCCGGTGTTTGCCGCTCCCCGCCCCGGAGCCCGCCGGGTGGTCGCCGAGGTTGAGCTGGCTGCCGTGGCGGGAGGAAGGGTGGAGGGCGGCGGGGGCGGCGGGAGGAGGAGGAGGGGCCCGTAACGACCCGGGCGAGGAGTGCAACAGGCTGTGCTGGAGCGGCGGCAGCGCGGCGGGAGGCGGCGGCGGTGACCGTTCATCCCCCGGTAAGGGGCAGGGACACCGACCGTCCTCCTCCAGGTCCCCCACGCCCGAATCGTGGAGATGCCCCGATGTCTCCATACCGGCGGTACCGGCGCCGCTTTCCCGGGCACCGGCTCCGCTTTCCCGGGCACCGGCCCCGCGCGCTGGATCATGAATGGGGCGCCGCGCGCTCGCCGCTGCCGCGCGCTCGCCGCCGCCGCCGCCGCCGCCGCCGCCGCCGCCCCCGCCGCCGCCGCCGCCGCCGCCGCCGCCGCCGCTGGCCCGGCCCCGCCGCGCCATTGGCCGCGCCGGGGCTCCCCGCAGGCTGACATCATCCCCGCCCGCTCCCCGCTTCGTATCCCCCCCCCACCCCCCCCAAAACCCTCCCGCCCCGCGCCCCCGGTTCCTGCGTCTCTGCGGGGTCGTTCGGGACTTGTAGTCCTCCGGGAGGGGGACACACACACACACACACACACACACACACACCCCCCCCGGTACCGGCGCCGGTGAGTCCCGGCGGACTACAAATCCCGAACGACCCTGCACTGGTTCCACCTCCCCTGGTGACCCCCCCACACAGACGCCCACCGGGCTCCCCCCTCGACGGCACAGGCTGCGGGTCCCCGGAGGGAGGAAGCCACCCCACGGGGGGACCCTGGAGCCCCCCCCGAGGGGTCGCCTCCCCTTATATAAAGCCCCCGTAATCCCCTTACGGAGACCGGAGGTTACCGGCAGCAGCTGGAGCCGGTGCTCCTACGCTGGGGATGGGTCACCCCACGCGTGTGCGTGTCCCTCCCCCCAGCCCGAGGGATGTCCCCAAGGGGGATCAGGGCAATGCTGGACCCGGGGCTCGCTGCTACAACAATGGGATGTGGGGGACAGGGCCCTAACCCCCCTCCCCAAGCCCCCAAAACCCCCCCCAAAACCCCCCTGGCTGTGCTGGGGGTGAGGAGCGGGTATTAGGGCAGGAGCCGTCTGCTCGAGAAGCGGATAATCCGTGGGGAATTGGGTGCTGGAAGCCTATTAAAATACACCACGAAGCACCCAGCTGGCGACACCCCCCCACCCAGGCAGCGGGAATTAAACTGCACCTCTGTCCCCTCCCCCCCTAAATCTGGGGAGCACGCACAGGCGTAGAGGGACAGTGCTCGTGTCCCCCAGCCTCATGTGAAGGTGTGTGCGTGTGTCCCCAGGAAATGAGACACAGACCCGGGGTGGCAGTGGTTCTCCGTGTCAGAGCTTTATTTGCAGGGCAGGGAGGGGGGATGCCGGGGGGGGGGACACACACAACACACACAGAGTCCCCAAGAGGGTCACCGAGCTACAGCCGCCCACGGAGCGACTGCAGCAGCGTCTCCAGCTGCTCGTCCAGCGCTGCCTCGTCCCCGTTGTTGGTGATCACCCAGTCAAAGGCCACTCCCTGGTCCAGGCCGCACTCGGACTCGGCGTCATCCACCCCTGGGTGAGACCCTGGGTGGGTCAGGATCCATCCGCCCGTCCCCCACCCCACGGAGCTGGGGGGGCTTTAGCTAAAATCTCCAGCTCCCACGGCCAGGGGACGGTGGTGGAGGCAGCAAAACCATGCCTGGGGAGCAGCCGCAGGGCCAGTGCAGCCCCGGGTTTGGCACCGTCCTCAGGGGAAGCCGCACTCGCTTGCTTACCGGCGACGAAGACCCAGTTCCTCCTCTTCCTCATCTCCTCGGTGGCCACCACCCGCACGGTCTGCACCACGTCCCCGTAGACATCCCGGAACCACTCCACGTCCGAGAGGCGCCGCGTGTCGCTCACCACCTGCGCGGGGGCTCCGTCAGCGCCCTCCCTGTGCCCCCCGCACTCCCTGTGTCCCCCCCCTCTGCCGCTCACCCACACCGGCTGCGCCGCACCCTGCACCGCCGTCCTGCAGAAGAACCCAGGGTCGGCGCGGCGCTTCTCCTCGCCCCAGCGGATCATGTCCTGCCGGTACGTCTCCTTGTAGGCACTGGCGTCCAGCAGCCTCTGGAAGTCAAGGCCGTGCTCCTGCGGGGAGAGGGGGTCAGCGGGCACAGCCTGTGCCATGGCACAGTGGAGCGTGGTGTGGCACAGCTCAGTATGGCGCAGCACGGCATGTCATGGCACAGCATGGTATGGCACAGTGTGGCACAGCACGGCACAGCTCAGCACGGTGTGGCACAACTCGGCACAGTGTGGCACAGCACAGCACAGTGTGGCACGGTATGGCACAGCACAGCGCAGCTTAGGATGGTGTGGCACAGTGTGGCACAGCTTGGCACAGCACAGCACAGCCTGGGATGGTGCGGCACAGCATGGAACAGCGTGGCATGTCACACCACGGCACAGCGTGGCACAGTACAATGCGGCAGAGTGTGGCACAGCCCAGCATGGCATGGCACAGCACAGCACAGTGTGGCACAGCACAGCTCGGGATGGTGTGGCACAGCGTGGAACAGTGTGGCACAGCGTGGCATGGCACAGCACAGCTCAGGATGGCGTGGCACAGCGTGGAACAGTGTGGCACAGCGTGGCATGGCACAGCACAGCACAGCACAGCTCAGGATGGCGTGGCACAGCGTGGAACAGTGTGGCACAGCGTGGCATGGCACAGCACAGCACAGCACAGCTCAGGATGGTGTGGCACAGCGTGGAACAGTGTGGCACAGCGTGGCATGGCACAGCACAGCTCAGGATGGCGTGGCACAGCATGGAACAGTGTGGCACAACACGGCACAGCCTGGCACGGCGTGGCACAGCACAGCACAGCTCGGGATGGTGTGGCACAGCATGGCATGGCATGGCACAGCGCGGTGTGACATGGCACAGCACAGCATGCCCTGGCACGGCTCGGCGCGGCACAGCAGGGCGTGGCAGGGCGTGGCAGGGCGTGGCAGGGCCGGCGGTACCTTGGCATACTGCTCCTTGAGGGGCCCGGAGAGGCGCAGGACCGTGCACACGTCGGGGCCCAGCCTGCGGGAGACGAGTCAGCAGCACCGGCACCGGTACCGGCACCGGCACCGGGCGCGACCTCCCCACCCCCCAGGCCCGACCCCGCCCCCTGGGTACCGGCTCCGGAGCTCCTCGGCCACGAAATCTTTCCCCGACTTCCTCTTCCCGCTCAGCAGCAGCACCGCGCTCGGTACCGCCATCCGCCCGCCCGGCCACGCCCCCCTCTCCCCCCCCCCCCCCCCGGAGAGCCCAATGGTACGGCCCGAGGAGGGGCGGGGCGCGGCGCCTCTGGCTCCGCCCCTCGAGGCGCCCCCTGCAGGGCGGGGCCGGCGCAGCGCACCCCAAAACCTCGCCGGAACACCCCAGCACCCCCCCACACCCCGATCTTCCTCCGAACCCACTTCCCCCCCCCCAGCACCCCCCATTTCCCCCCAGCACCCCCTCTTCTCTCCCAGCACTCCCCCTTCTTTACCCCCCGTTCCCTCCCTGCACCCCCTTTCCCCACCCAGCACCCCCTTTTCCCCCGCACCCGGAACAGCTCTGCCCAGCGGTGACTTTATTGTGCCGTGGCTGCGCAGAATCACACGGTGCATCTGGTCAGGGACCCGGCGCTACCCAGCCCTGGGCTGGGGTGGAGGGGGTGGGGGGACGGGGGCAACAGCAGCCCCTGACCCCCCCAAAACGACCCACGGGGAGAGCCCGAGGGGTTCCAGGGATTGTGGTGGCGCTGCCCCCCGGTTCTACCCCCCCGTGCCGTGCTGCCGCGCAGCCTTCCGGCCCTGCGGCTTCCCGCCGGCGCTGCAAGAGAAGGGGGGGGGGGGGGCTGTGATAACGGGGTGCGGGGGCTCGGCCCCCCCCCAAACCGCTCCCCCCCACCCCCCCCCGGCACCGCCCGCCCCGGCTCACCCGCCGTAGTGCCGCAGCACGTATTCCTCGAAGCCGTCGGCCGCCTCCTCGTCGCCCCGCTCCCGCCACGCCACCTCCTCCAGCAGCTCCTCCACGTCGTCCACGAAGTCGACGAAGCGCAGGCGGTCGTGGGCGAAGGCGCCGTCGGCCCCGAAGGCGCCGTCCAGCTGCGCCGCCAGCCCCCCAAAATGCCCCCCCCAGCCCAGCCGCCCCATGAAACCCTCCAGCAGCTGCAGGAATTGCTCTTTCTGCACCGGCTCCAGCGCGGCCCCCAGCACCTCCCGCCCCTCCTTGCGGGCGCAGTCGGCCACCCCTGAGCAGCCCTGGGGTGCCCGGTACCGGCTGAGTGGGGGAAGTTCACGGGGGCCATGCTCGGGGGGACCGTGAGACGACTTCCTCCAGGCTTTGCCTGGTTTGTGCTCCCGGGGGGGGCGGGGGTCCTTCCCGTGCCCGTGGGGTTTGCCCTGCTCCCTCTTGTGGGGGGCCCCCCCAGAGTTGTGCCGCTTTTGCCGCTTGCTCTCTTTCTTCTCTGCCTTGAACGTTTTTTTCCAGGTCTCAGGGAAGGGCTTGGCCCCCTCTGCCTCCAGAGCTTGGCCCAGACGCTGCTCCAGGGCGCTCAGCTCCTCCATGAGCCCCTTGAGACCCCCAGGACCCCGCGCCCGCTCCAGGGCACCCGCCAGCTCCTGTCGCACTGAAGCCAGCCAGCCGTGCCACCGGCCACCCTTCTGCCGTGCCGTGTCCTCACCACAGGCTGGGGTACTCATGCCGGGGGGCTGCTCTGCCCCCGGCTCCCCGGCCCCGGGGCCGCCCGGTGCTCCCGCAGCCCGCAGGCGCTGCAGCTCGGCCCAGGCGTCGCGGAGGGCAGCGGCCTCCCGCTCCAACGCCGCACGTAGCCGCGCGTTCTCGGTGGCCAGGCTCTGCTGCTGCGCCCCGGCCGCCGTCTCACCTTCGCTCTTCTGCAGCAGGGCGTGAAGCTCTTCCTTGTGGGCCTGGGGCAGGGGGAGGGTGCGGGGGGGGCCGTGAGAGAGGTGGGAGGGGGAGGATGGCACCGGGACGCGGCAGCCCCGGGCACGGCCGCGCTCACCCACCTGCAGCTCTGCCTGCATGAGCCGGATCTCCTGGTTCTCCTTGGCCAGCTTGTCCAGGAGGAGGCTCACGGACTGCACGCTCTGGGGGTCCCTGGCATCTGACTGGGGGGGGGTTTGCTGCAAGTCCTGGGGGAAAAAGAAGGATGGGGAGCCCTGGCGGGGCTGGGGATGCCGCCAGCTCCGAGGGGCTGAGCCCCACTGCAGCCCCCTCCTTACAGTGCTGGCAGCGGGCAGCAGTGACTCCGGCTTGCCAGCCGCCGTGTCCCGGCTCACCACGCTCTCCACAGGGTCTGGGGAGGAACCGGACGGGGATGTCCAACCGCAGCCGAACATCCGGGCTGCCTGGGCAAGACAGTCCCAACGTACTCACCATCTGCCAGGTCGTAGATGCCACCTGGGGAGAGGAAGGGACAATGATGGGGAGACCAGGACCCCCCGCCCACCCTGCCCCTGGGACCCCCACTCACCAGAGATGATCAGCAGCCCCACGGCCAGCAGTGCCAAGATGCCCAGCAGGTACTTGCTCACGCTGGGCCTGTACTCGTCACCGGTGCCCGGTGTCCCCTGGTGTGGGGCAGATGTGGGGGGAAGAGGCCCGGAATGGGGCTCATGGCCCTGCTGTTGCCGCAGCCTCTCTGCCTCGTCGTCACTGCTGGTGCAGCTCTCCTCCTCTGTTGATGGCTCTGCGGAGGGATGGGGGGGATCTCCAGGGAGGGGCTGCACCCCAGCATGGACCCCTCCCCCTGGACTGCTCCCCTGGGAGGGCCTGACCTGCTTTGGGGGTGTCAGGGCAGGGTCCCAGCTTGTCCTCGGGCTCCTCCTCCTCCTCCTCCTCGTCGCCATCCGGCACGCCGGGCTCTGTGGAGCCATCTGGGGCAGGCACTGCCCCAGCCCCTGGGCCCCAATGTTCCTCCGGGTCCTGCGGACACAGGCACCGAGGTGTCACAGGTCCCCACGGGGCAAGCAGGACCCCAGCCCCCCCCAGTTCCCCCCCCCCCTCCCAGCTTACCCCCAGCCCGCTGCCCTCGGGGTGCTGGGCCTGGCCGGGGAAGGTGGCTGCACCGTTGGTGGCCACGGCTGGGGAGAGGCAGAGAGCGGCAGTGAGCCGGTGACACAGGGGGGACACCGGGGTCTGCCCTATCCCTGCACCTGCCGCCTGCCTGTGACAGCGTCCTGGGTGCCTTCCTCCTCCTCCACTTCCTCATCCTCGGTGCTGCGAGAGGCCGAATCCTGCTCCGGACCCACCGTGTCAATGGGCAGACCCTGGGAGAAAAGGGGGGATGTCAGAGGGGGTCCCAACCGCCGCCTGCCTCCCTCTGCCCGCAGCCCTGGGCAGGCTGTGGGGTGCTCCCGGGGGGGAGGGGTGGGGGGGTCCCCAGCCCTCACCTCACTGCCCGCCAGCACCCAGCTGCTGTCCGAGTCCCGGGAGGCTGATTTCTCCGCCATGGGGATGGCCCAGAACCACCTGCAAAGAGACAGACAGACAGACAGACGGACAGACGTGAACCAGCTCCCACCACCACCCGGGTTGGACCGGGTGGGCCAAGGTCGCCGTGACGGTTGGTCCCCCAAACTCTGCCCGTGGAGTGGCCCCGGGCACAGCACCGGCAGCCACGGAAAGACCGAGCCTCCCCGCCCCCCGGGACACACCAGCTGCTGCCGCGGGGTATTTTTAGCCCGGTGATGCCGCCGGGCAGGTGGACGGGGGCCGCGGGGCCCAACCGGGGGACACCGGAGCCCCGCAGCAAGGCGCCGGTACCCGGATCTTCGAGCAGCCCCCGCCGCCCCCCCAAGGACACACAACCGTTCCGGGAGGGGCGATGACCCCGCCGGTGTCACACACACACACACCGGCATCCCGGCAGCCGCGGTACCGGGCGATGGCCGCCGCTCTTGCTGCGCAGCCCCCCCCCCCGGTACCGCGGCGCTCCCCAGGGCCGGGTGGTACCTGGTGCCGCCGCCGGGCGCGGCCGCGGTCCCTCCGGTAACTTTTCCCCGGTGCCTCCGGTAACTTTTTTCCCCGGTGCCGGTCACCGCCCTCGGGAAGGGGCGCGCACGTGATGCGAACAGCCAATGAGGTGGGCGGCGGCCGCGACGGACCAATGGGGTGGCCCGGGGCGGGACCTCCCGGTACCGGACACCACACACCCTCTTCCCCCCCCCCCCCCCCCCCCCCCCAAATCCCCGGTGGGAGCGTAGTAAGACACAGAAACTTGGATTTCAGAGTTTTATAGCGACGGTACAAAAGTTTCCATTAACGATCGGCTAAAACCGGGAGAGGGGGTGGGTGGGATGAACGGGGACTGTCCCGAGCACCGGGGAGGGGGGGGGGGGGACAGGACGGGGGGGGGCGTGAGGAGCACCGGGACTGCCCCGTGTGTATGGAGGGGGGCACCGGGCTCACTGCCCAGCCCCGGGGAGGGGAGTCACAGGTGGTAGTGAGGACCAGATCGCTCCCCCCTGCGAGGTTGTTGACCCCCCCCCCTCAAGCTGAGCTGGGAGATGAGCGGGCACCGGGGTGCCTCAGCCTCCGTGGGCCAGTGCACCGGGGCTGGAGTCTCCCCCCAACTTCAGCAAAAAGCTGGCCAGCACCGGGTCCCAGCAGCAGTCCCCAGAGAGGAGCCGCAACCGGTGCCCAGCACTCTCTCTGACCAGCTTGGGGAGGGGCGGGGGGAGGAAAACAGCTACAAAAAAAGGGGGTTTGGTCCTAAATCGTCAGGGGAAGCCGTACGCAGCGGCAGGAGGGCGGCTCAGCCATCGTTAGCTGCCACCAGCTGTCCCATGCCCTCGCGGACGTAGACCGACTGGATCTCCTTGGTCTTCAGGCAGAAGTCACAGGCCCAGACGGCGGAGGCCTCGGTGGTGAGCAGCCCGTAGGCGTTCTCCGTCATCCCCGTGCACTCCCGGTGGAACCACTTCTGGCAGGAAGCCTCGCATAAAATAGCATCCTGGTCGTCGTTCACCTCGTTGCGGCAAGCCCCACAGGGGTACACCAACCCCGGGGGCGGCTGGTGACCCGAGCCCCCCGCCGCTTTGCCCGGGGGGGGCGGCGGGAGGCTGTTGGTTTCGGGGGTGCCGGTCCCGCGGCCGGCGCTGTTGGGGGCGAAAGTGGGTTGCGCCCCGTTGACGGCGGCGGGGGAACCCGAATGTTGCTCCTGGGCGAAGGTGCTGGGCGGGGGGTTGAGGTTCTTGCCCCCCTCCTCGCCGCCAGTGGGGAAGCCGGGGTCAGCCCCGGGGAAGGGGCTGGCGGTGGGGGGCAGGGGGGGGATGTTTTGCCCGGGGCGCTGCATGGGCGACTGTCCAAAGAGATTGCCGGGTTGGTTGAAGCGTTGAGCCACCGCCGGTCCCCCGGGGGGGTTGAGGGCCGGCCCAGCACCCATGTCCCCCCGAGGGGGTTGCCCCATGGTGGGGGAGATCATGGGCCCGAAGCCCCCAACCGGCCCCTGCATGAGCTGCCCCGTTGGGGGGCTGAAGTTCTGTCCGAGGGGCTGGCTGAAGGGCTGCCCGGGGAAGCTCATCCCCCCGGGCTGGACGTAATTGGGGTTCTGGGGGGGCATGCTGAAAGCCGGGGCCATCTGCCCCGGGGCGAAGGGGGGGGGCTGCCTCCGCAGGGGCTGGGGCCCCCCGCCATAACCGGGGGGCACCTGCGGTGACATCCCCCCCTGGACGCGGAAACCGCCGAAGGGCACCGGGCTGCCGAGGAAGGGGGCCGGGGCCGCCCCCACTTTGGGGGCCCCGAAATCATCCTCGAAGGGGTTGGAGGCCACCAGGTGATCCACCATGGGGGTGGGCGGCGGGGCGAACTCCGAGAGGTGGGAGTACGCGGGGCCCTGCGGGAAGAAGGCGGCGGTCAGGGCTGTGGCCGTCCCGGTGCCGGTCCCGGTGCCGGTGCCGCCCGGCCCTACCTGCGTGTTGGATTTGCGCCGCTTCTTCTCGGGGCTCTTCATCTGCAGCCCTGCGGGGACAACCGGGGCCGCGTCAGACGGGACCGGGGCCGCGTCAGACGGGACCGGGGCCGCTTCCCCGCCCGCCCGCGCTCACCTGCCTTCCCCTGCTTCCGGCCGGGCCCGCCGGCGGCCGCGCTGCCCGCGGGCCCCGGCGGGGGCGGTGGGGCCGGAACGCCTCCCTCCAGCTTCTCAGCGTGCGGGGCCGCCATGGCCCCTCACAGCCGGCGCGCCGCCGCCATGGCCCCGCCGCTCCTCCGCGCGGCGTCCACCGACCGGAACCGGAACCTGCGCGGGGCCAATCACCGAGCGAGGAGGGCGGGGGCGGACCAAGTGTATGTGTGTGCGGGGGGGGGAGAGGATGTGTGTGATGGGATGAGCCATGTGCAACGTCCCCGGGAGGGGGGTGGGGGGGGAATGGAACAGACCAACTCCAGGGCGCTGAGGGGCGGACGCTGTGCAGCGGCCGTAGGGGAGAGCGGGACGGACCATGTGCGAGGCCCGTGCGGGGGGAGGCGAAGGAACCATGTGCAACACTGCCGCCCCAGGGGCGGGAGGGGCCGTAAGCCGGGTGCTTCCCCTCCACCCCCCCCCCCACCTCCGTCTCCCCCCCCCCCCCTCACACCAGCCAGGGCCTAGAGAAATACCAACTTTAATACCAACCGCCAGTTCCTTTGGTATAGCGGGGCCCACGGTGGGGCCAGGGCTGCACTTTGGCTTGGAAGGGGGTGGGGGGGAGTAACACCGTGCATGCAAGGCAGGGGGGTGACAGGGGTGACACCTTCCCACTGCCCCCCCCCCCCCCCCCCCTCCGGGCTGCTAGAGCCAGCTGTGCCCAGCTGTGCCCCCGGGGGGGGGGGGTGCAGGGAGGGTGGGGGGTGCAGAGGAGCATGTCCCAGGAAGGAGCACAGTGGGGACTGGGAGCATGGAAAGAGGGGGGGGCTCTGCCCCCGGCCCCCCCCACCCCACAGCATTGCATAAGTGTGGGACCTGCGGGGTCAAGGCACAGAGTTAACACATAAAGTGATCGGGTACGGTGGGTGCGGGGCTGGCCAGGCCTTGTGCCTGGGGGAGCAGAGCCCCCCCGCAGTCCCCCCCTCCATGGCCCAGGGGCAGGGGACTAGGCTGGCCTGCCCCCCCACAACTCGTGGAGTGGGGTGGGGGGCTCAGCTCCACCAGCCCTGAGCCCGTGCCCACACTGGTGAGCACGAGAGCGGCCAGGGCCCGGGGTTTGGTAGGAGCTGAGCTGCTGTGCAAAGGCTGGAGCTGGGAGGAGGCAGGGGCTTTGGCAAAAACGGGCCCCCCCACCCTGCAGGCAGCTCACCCCACGCTGCCCGTGCCCCCCACAGCCACCAGCTCCATGTGGCAGAGGGGGACAGAGCCCATCTCCGGCCAAGTCCACACTCAGTCCTGGGCAGAGCACCCAGCTGAGAGTCCGAGGGCTCCCTGGGGCAGGGAGCGGGGCCGGTGGGGAGGGGGGGGGGGGGTCTGCACACCGGGGCCCCCCGGGCGCTCAGAGTCTCCTCTCCACCGGCTGCTGCAGGCACATCTCACTGCCGGCTGAGATGATGGGCAGGTGATTGTCCATGTGGTAGCTGATGAGGTGGCTGACGCTCTCGAAGCGGTGGTCTTTCGTCCGCACCTGGGGGGGGGGGGGGGGGAGGTGGCCAGGGGAGGAGCACTCAGGACCTGAGGGGAGCAGCCCTCACACTCTACACACCCTCTCAATCCCCCAACTCAGCCCAGAGGTGTCCCCCCAAGGAGTAAAGGGGATGCCCGGTGCCCAGGTGGCTCTTGCAACCCCCCAGGGCACCCCCCCAACTGTGCCAAGCTCCATCCCCGAGGTGTTAAACGTGGACTCACCACTCCCTCGGGATCGACGAGCAGTAGATGCTTGGGCTGCCCGCCCTGCAAGCCGGTCAGCACGTACTGGCCCGGGGTGGTGGTGCTCTCCCGCACCAGGAAGTCTCCGTTCACCTTCAGCAGCTTCTCAGCCTCCTTACGGTTCATCTTCCCGTGGTACCAGGGCTCCCGTCTCAGCTGCTCCTCCATGGAAGCCACCACCTGGGCAGGGGGCAGCCCCACGGGCACGGACGGGGGGACACGCAGGGCATCTTCAAAGGGTTCTGCAGGGAGAGAGGAGTGGGGTCGACAACTGACCTTCACGGCCGCCCACCCCCAGCCCAGGCACGGCTGCAGCCGCCGTCCCACTCACTCATGTCAAAGAGGTCTCTCTGGGCGCTGCCGTTGGCTGTAGCGGGGGTGCCGGTGGCTGACACTTGGCGTGTCTTGTCCATGTTCTGCACGTTGACGTAAGATGGGTCATCAAACAAGTCTGTGCGGCCGGATGCACCCATCGGAGCCGGGTATTTCTCTCTCCCTGCTATCAAGAGCACCGTGGTGAGCAGAGCTCCAGCCTGCCTCAGCCCCAGCGCCTGCTGTCAGAGCACTTGGGGTCTAGGAAAAGAAACAGGGACGGGCCACATCCATCACGTTACCTTGAGCAGGAGTGTGCTGCTTCCGGGGGTCATAGTCCCCGCCAGACGTCTGGCCGACGGGCTGCAGGGAGAGGTGGGTGGTGAGCCCCGCTATGCTCCCCCCCCACTTCCCACTCCCCACCCCCTGGGCTGCCAGAGGTGTCGGGGAGACACGTGCTGCAGGTTTTGTGGTGAAATGACCCTGAGTGAAGAGCTCGTGGTCCGGTGGGGGTCTCTGCATCTCTCTTATAACATGGAGCCTCCCAATAAGGATGTGCCCAGAGCCTTACCAGCGTGGCCCCCAAGTGATTGGGGGTCTGAGCAGCCCCGTCCCGCAGCCGCATGTCCACGACTCCCCCAATGGGAGGCTCCTTGCCGGGGAAGTCATTGTAGTACTGGTGATCCAGTGCTGGTTCCTCCTCTTCCTCATCCCAGGCAGAGCCATCAAACCCTGCCATCCTGGGAGGGCATGGCACATATGAGCAGCTGACAGTGGCCAGGGTTGCATCCCCCTCTCCAAAACCAAATGATCTCAGACACCCTCCCATCTTCCTCCTTCCCACACAGCCCTGCCCTTACCTGTCGTGGGGTGTTACCAGCTTTGGGGGGTTCTTCAGGTACTGCTTGAAGCGCAGCTCAAAGGCCTGCCCAATGGTGCTGATCACGTCCTGCGCCAAGCCCTCCGGACACTCCAGGATGTGGCAGGCTGTGGAGGAAATGGTGAGATGGGAGTGTGGAATCCTTAACATTAAACTCTCCTCCCTCTCGAGCCTGCCAGATGCACCCCAGAGCTTCCCTCCGGGGGACCCAGTGCCTCCCTACCACAGAGCTGTGCCTGAACATCCACAAAACGGGGCTCTGGCATTTAGGCCCCTCAGCAGCAGCCTCACCTCTCTGATTGACGGGGTCTTTGGCAACATAGGCGACGTACTCGGCTGTGTCCTGTGGGCGAGAGACCAGCAGTGAGACAGGGCTGCCAGGGAACACGGCACCTGAGACTTTGGGGAGAGGGCAGGAGAGGCAGCGATCCCTATCCTGGGGCAGGGCACGCAGATGGGGACCCTGTGTACTCACCGGGTCTCCCCCAGAGGCGAAGGAGATGGACTGCATGTGGTGGTTGGCAATGATCTGCAAGGCAGAGAGTTTGTCAGAGGCAGCCAGGAGCTCCTCTGCACCCAGATGGAAATGGCACCTCCTGCCTGCCACGCTCCTCCTGGAGTTGGACTGGCACGGGGGCTTGCAAGCCTCTGGAAGCTTGGTTATGAGCCCCAGGCCATGAGGAAAAGGACTGGGATACCAACAAGGCAACTGGGAGTGGGGTCAAAACCTGGCCCCAGGCCAGGGGACTTGGTTCCCAAGAGTCTCCAGGACAGATCCTGCAAAGCATGTGGAGCATCACTCCAACCTCTTCACTCCCAGGGACTGGGGGGAGATGGGCACTCAGCAGGTCACACAGCCCACCCAGACATCCCTTAGGGAGGCTGGGGACATCCCCTCCCCCAGTGGGGCCCAGGGTGGGGGACACGAGGGTTTCTGCTCACCTAAAGCCAGCCACCCGGGGCCCCAGCACCTCCCCACTCTCACCTGCTTGCAGTCAGAAGCCATGAGGTTGAGGCTGCTGGTGGAGATGGTCAGGGTGATGGGCATGCCGGCGAACTTCAGGTTGCTCTTGCCCAGGATGGAGTTGAGGGAGCGGCCGCAAGGCTGAGGGGAAACAGCAACGTGGGGATGGGGCTCCTCAGGCCACACACAGCCCAGCTGCGGGGGGACGGGGCACATCCTGCTGTCCACAGTGGAGACAGGCACCTCGTCCTTACCACCACTCCTGCTGAGCTCCACTGGCCCGAGCCGTGGTGGGAGATCAGGGCCCCAGGCTGTGCAACCCGGGCACGGCCAGCTGGGCTGGGATCCAGCCCTCAGAACACGCTGAACACGCTCCCCCCCGGCAGCTGCCCAGCCCGGCCTCACCTTTCTCCTCCTCACAGCTCCCTTGGCACCGGGCACAGCCTCGCACACCAGCCCAATGGCCTCCCTGAGGGGAGCACAGCGGGATGTCAGTCCCCCCAGTGCCTGTCCTCCCCCTTCCCCTGTAACCCCGCAACCATAGGACCGAGGACATGGGGAGCAGCGCAGAAAGGACAGGGTGACAAAGAGGAAGCCCTTGGGCAGTGCTGTCCAGGCTTTTCAAATGGGGGAATGGACACTGGAATTAATATTTGACGGGGCGGCAGGCAACCTGGCCCCCACCAAAAGCCCCGCATGTCACCAGGGGCTTGTGTGGGGCTCAGACCCACCCCCCCAAAAGCACCAGCCCCTGGGGAGAGACAGAGCTCACCTGGTGACTTGCGTCCTGGTGTTGAAATCCAAAGCCCTCATGGACTGGAGGACTTCCACACAGCCCATGTACTGGGGGAAGAGAGCAAGGTCAGCCCAGCCAGCCTTGGGGTTTGCCCCCCACGCAGGCAGGGAGGGGGCCGGGACCCTGAGCCCCCTGGCTCCACAGCAGTAACGTCTCCGTGAATCCCACTGCCCACCTGCCACCCCCAAGAAGCACACCAGGAGGTCCACAAATGCCCGTTATGACCCTTCCCATGACCCACCCAGTCCCCAGCACTTACCCGGACATGGTAGGAGACCCCAGGGCCCATGACCTTGTCATCCGGGTGCAGCCAGCCTCGGGTGGGCTTATTGACGAAGCTGCCGTGGCGGGTCCATTCGTCACCCCCCAGCTGGCCGCCTTCCACCCGCGTCTTCTTCCCGCAGCTCAACTTGTTCATATCCTGGGAACAGACAGGGACAGGTCCCGCTGAGTCGGGTCCAGCAGCCCCTGCTGGTGCCGGTGCCAGTGTCCCGGCAGGGCCAGGCTCCCCGGGGCTGCCGCCGGCCGAGGAGCCCCGCAGGCTGAGCAGGTTGGCGGGGTTTGAGAGCTTCAGGTTGGCCATTTTGGGGAAGAAGGAGCAGAGGGTGGTGGGGCTGTCCTCCGACTCGGGTGTGAGCTCCCCGAGAGGCGTCGCGGGGCCGAGGGAGGAGGAGGACAGGGAGCCAGGCAGAGACCGTGTGCCTGCGAGGGATTCCACGGGAGAGGCCGGGACCCCCAGGCCCCCCATGGCCTCCTCCAGAGAGGAGACAGACTCGTTCCGCAGGTGGCTGTATTTGCTCTTCTGCAGGAGATCCATGCCGGAGAGAGGCAAGAAGGGCCGGGGCTGACCCGTCCCGCGTGGCAGCGGGGTGGAGGCAGCCGGCTGGGTCTCACGGAGGCCCCATAGAGAGTCCGAGCGCCTGCAGTCACTGGGAAGCCACCCCCAAGCAGAAGCCTCAGCCGAGCTCCGTGCCGGGTCCACACCAGCCCGGCATGGCTGGCAGGGAGAGCTGGCCCCGGGACGCCAGGCAGCGGGACCGGGGGCTGCCTGGCTCCGTGCCGTCGCAGCTGATCGATCGCGATCGGCGTCAGCAAGGATGTGCGGATCCGGACAGACAGAGAGCGACCCCACACTCCCACCGTGGCGGGTTGAAAACGGGGTCGCGGCGACACTCCAGAGAGCCGCTGGCACAGGGAGGGGGACTCAGCACACTTGGCCCCCAGCCCGGAGGTCCTCAAGCCCCACAGCCCCACGCTGCTCCTACACCGGGACGGCAACAAATCCCATTGTCTTCAGCCGGGGTCGGAGCCAGCCCCCTCTGCCCCGCTGCTGGGTCCAGCACAGCTTCCCTCCCCTCCAGCCCCTGCGCTGCCCCACAGCCGCCAGCCGCTAAGAGGAAATCAAAAGCATGAATATTTAAAGCCCTGAGACAAGGCAGCCACAGAGCGCATCCAAGCCCAGCCCAGCCCCATTCCCAGCACCATCCAGGAGCGAACAAGGTCCTTCTGTGGCGGCCGGCGCTACGCAACCCACGTGCCAGCGGCGGGCAGCCGCTGTTGGCTCCCCGGGCTCTGCCGGGAGGAACAGCGCCCGAACCCGGGGGGGGCCGCGATGCTGAAATGCCGCCGGTGCTCGCAGCTGCCTGGGATACAGGGACATCCAGTCCTTTGAGAGCGCGGCTCCGGGCACGGATCTGGTGGAAGAGGAGGATGCCCAGGAGCAGGATATACAGGTGGGCTGTCCGCCGGGCGAGGCAGGGTTCAGCACGGGTCCCCAGCCGTGGCAGGGAGCCGGCAGGAGAGGTGGCTGCTCTTAATTGCTGCTGCTTCCCACATCCCGGCCAGCACTGAGTGGCGGCTCCTCCCGGGAGAGGAGAAGAAGGGGCTGCCGCTAATCGGAAGGGCTGTGCTGACTCACGGGCGACGGGGCAGGCTCTGCCCGCAGCGGGGGCTGCGCGCGGGCTGGGGCGCAGCGCAGGAGGGGCTCCCAGCGAGGGGTGGGGACCCAGTGCCTATCTGGAGCAGAAAAATCAAGGTCACAGGCGGAGCTAGAGGGAACGGGTGGGTGGCGAGAGCATGCCGGGGGGCAAACCTCAGCCCCTTCTGCCATGGGGAGCCGGGCAGAGTCCCCAGCTGCAGGCAGGGAGCGTCAGGGGCAAGTTTCCCCTGCTCCCCCGTCCTCGACGCACCGGCAGGACCTCGGGCCAGCCCGACTGCACCGCTGGTGCCGCTCTCCACGGCCTCATCCGCACCAGCCTCCCCGGGGGGCAAAAGCTCTCCCCCCTTCCTCCTGTGGGGTAAAGCAGGGATTTCAGCTAGCCCTGCGGCACCCAACCCCTCTGACCCACCATGGGCCAGGGTCTTCCTGGGCACCAGGCGTTCTGCAAAACTGGCCACGGAGCCAAAACCTGGTAAATCCAGCCCAAGGGAAAGGCTCTGCTTGGACCTGCTGCCAGGCACTGCTCGGCACCGGCAGCTGCCTGCCCCGCTTCCCAAACACTGGCACGCTGCCACAGGGGCAGGGAAATGGAAGCCAGGACGGAGCTGGAAATAGCCTCCCGCCCGGCGTGAGGGGCTGCGGCTCACGCCAGCGGGTCCGTCATCCGCCTCCTCCCGGCGCCAGAGCATCGCCTCGGCCATGCACGCCGCCCCCGCGAGCGCCAGCCCCCACCTCAGCCGCTGCCGGCGGTGGTCCCACAGGCGCAGGCGAGCCTGCGCCAGCCGTCCCACGAAGTTCTGGTCCCTGCCGGGGGCCCCCTGGCCGCTCGGCGCTGTGACCTTCCCGTGGCCAGCAGCGCCGCTGCTCTAAAGAAAAGCAGGAAGCCCCGGGCCAGGGAGCCAGGAAGTCGCCAGCCCTGCGAGGGGCCAGCCACAGCCCCCAGCTGCCGGGGGGGAGCCCGGCTGGGCGGTGGCAAACGGGTGTGAGGCAGTGGGGTTTGCCCAGGAGGGCCCAGCCACTGGGGGATGTGGGGCTGGGGTCCCCTCGGTACGGCAGCATGGGCTCCGTGAGCCCCAACACCTCCCTAGGGACCTGCCAGGATATGAGCGGGAGGGAATCGTGCGGGGGCAGAGGGGGTCTCCTCAGCCCCTTCCCACCACACCAGGGCCCAGACAGGCGACAGGGCTTGGAGCAGCCGTCCCCAACACGCACCGAGGGGCTGGCACACCCCAGGAGCTGCAACCCCCTGCTCAGACAGGCCTCTGCTTTTATAAGATGGAAAAATTTTTGATTTTATCAGACCCTCCTGAGGCCAGCCAGCCCACGTCACTCTGCCAGCCAGCACTGGCTGGTGACAAGACATATTGCTGCTCCCAGCCCTCAGAGACTGGAGTTGCTACCGCCACAGGCCCCCCAGCTCCAGAGCCCACCCCAGGGAATCAGAGACCCCTTCCCAGCGGGCTCAGAGCACAGAAGGCAAACCAAGATGTGTATAGAGCCAAGGAACAACAACCCTGCCTGAACAGGCAGCCCTTGAGCCCCATCCAGCAGGCAGCAGCCCTTCCCCTTGCCAGAGGAGCCGGCAGCGAGCTCCAGCAGTGGAGCAGCCAGAACAACCGCCCCCGAGCTCCGGGGACACATCCCAGCCCAGCCGCTCCTCGGGCCCCAGCAGCAAGGAGAGGTGCCAGATCCCCCCGACGTGTGGGAGGAGCGGAGGGATGTGGGAGAAGCAGAGGGATGTGGGCTGCTTTTGGGCACCTGGGGCTGGAACTTCACACACAGCCTGGGGTGAAGAAGAGGAGCAGAGAGGGGACGCTCGGGGCCCCGCTACTGGGCCAGTGCCTGACATCCTCCCAGGAAACACAAACTGGGAGCTGAGTCAGAGACCTGGAACACGCTAGTGGTTTGGCAAGAAATCACAGCAAGGAGCAGGCAACCGTGCACTGGCCACTGCTGCACGTACGCACCTCGTCTGGGGCAGGAGACCCCCTTGGTCCAACAGTGGCTGCAGTGGAGTCATCCCCAAGTCTCCGGGGCAAAAGGGAAGCAAAAAAACCCACTCAAATCCAGCCCCCGGCTGTTTTTTCCCCCTAAACATCGTGACAGCATCAATGCGCTCCTGCGCAGAACCTCTCTGCTGTTCAGAAGAGGGGCTGGGAGATGCCAGTGGAGATGTGGGGAGGCTGAGGCCCTGCCAGCAGGGAGAGAGGGGAGGCAGGATCCATCACCGAAGCCACCTAGCCCTCCACCGAAGTCCTTACCACGTACTCCATCGCTGGCGGAGGGCAGGGCAGGCCCCGGGCAGGGAACAGAAACACACAGCCCCTCTCGTCTGGCACTCCGACCTGCGGTTCGGGGACAAACAGGGAGTTAGCCAGCCCTGCCCCGGACCGCCGAGGCGGTGGCCCTGATGCCAAGGGGCAGACCCTGCTCCTCCTCACTGACCACAGGCAGACAGGGCCATAGCACCAGCCGTGCAACACGCTGCTGACACGGAGAGGGGGAGAGCCAGGGAAGCCTCCTGCTTCCTATCTGATGGAGAACGGAGCTGGGATGTGCCAGGGCAGGAGCATGAGGTTGAGCCTGACTCTGCTCAGGCTTTGCCCACATCAGCAAATGGTGTCAGGAGCTGAGAGTCACTCCCGTGACCCAAGACAAGTGTCGGAGCCGATCCCCGCCCAGCCCAAAACCAGTGCCCAGAGGCCACACGCAAGGGGAGAGAATGAAGGCAGCCCAGAGGGGCAGAGTTGCCCCCTCCTGCCAACCACCCTGCCACAAAAGGACGTGCAGAGCCCTCAGGGCTGCAGCCCCCTCCCTTCCTAGGAGACCAAGGAAGAGAAGGGAGTCATGGAAAGAGGCTATAAGGCGGGAGCCAGGAAGGGCAGGAAGCTCTGCAAGGGGAAAACAAGGCTAGCAAAGCAGGAGTAGCTTCGGAGCCGTTGCCTTTCCCACTCCCACCCCCACCCGATGCGGTCAGGGCCAGGCCAGCCGAGCAGCACAGGGCAGCAAACACGATTTACTTCCTTGCAGCAATCATGCCCTTATCTGGGGCCTGCAGAGGCTATGTCTGAGCCCAGGCGGGTGCTAACGTGATTAGCTCGGGAGGCAGTGAGATAAAGAGAGCCCCGCTTGGCAGGCGCAGTGGCGCAGGTCAGCCCGGGTGTGAGACTGTGCCAGGTCACTCACTGCTGGGCAAAGGTGGTGACGAGGCTCTTTGAATGCTGGGGCCTGAGATGGGTGGCAGGGAAGGAGGATTGAGACCCCAACCTGGGGGGCTCAGCCTCACTGAAGCCTCCTTGGGACCCAGGTGTGTGTCCTTTGAGAAGGGGACAGTGTCTCACGCAGCTCCCGGGGTCAAAGGTGGCCCAGCCACAGTGTTACCCCACCAAAGGGCTGTGGATGGATGCTTGGCAGGGAAGAGATGGCACCTGCAACACCTTCGGAAAAGGCTGAGGCCAGGGCGGCCTTGGGGAGCGCTGCTGAAAGCTGCTCTTTGCCCACAGGCTTCCATGGCACCAACCCAGCAGGCAGGGTGCATGTCACGTTTCCTCTGAACCCACATTTGGGGTGTCCCTGGGCCAGCACAGCGTGTAGGTGACCCCATCGAAAAGATGCAACCGGAGAAGCTGGGACAGCCTGCAACAGAGGGACGCAACACACTGCCGGGGAAGGGGAGGCAAAGGCCTGCAAGGGCATGGACCCACATCCACAACAGCCAGGACTGGTCTGGATACTCATCCTCTGCCTTTGAGGCATCAAAGAGCAAGAAGGGCTGAAAGCAGGAGGGGACATCCAGGCACTACAGCACTCGAGGATCCCTCCAAACCCAGCTGGTGCCCCAGCCCTGCTGAGGGTCACACCAGTCTGGGGGGGGGGGGTGGGTTCCCCCAGCGTCCCCCGAGCCGGCCTCCCCACCGTGTACTGCACCAACACGCATTTCTAAGCGTCCGGGAAGGGCTGACGCGAGCTGGTGTCCAGAGAGCGGCCCCCACACCGCGGGGGTCCGGGGCACCAGGCTCACCCCGAGACCTGGAGGCAACCGAGCGGCTGGCACAGGCCGCCCCCGAGCCCCCCGCTCCCCGTTCCGCCGCGCCGGGCACGCAGAGGCAGCGGGGAAGGGCGGCTGCGGCGGGACACCCCGCTTAAGGGAGCGGTGCGGAGAGAGAAGGGGGATACTCGGCCCACGGCGGGGGGGTCCCCGGGACACGGGCCCGGCACCGCGGGGCCTCGCCCGCCCTGAGGCCTGCGAGGCCGCTGGGGGCTCCCGCACGGCCCAGCCGCTCCTGCGGGGCTGCAGAGGCCGCACCGACCCCCCCCGCCCCGCCCGGGCCGGCCCGCGCGCTCACCGGGGCACCATGGGTCTACGCGCCGGTCTCCTCCGGTCCCGGCAGCCGCCCTCCCCCCGCCGCGCCGCCACTCACTTCCGGCCCACGCCCCTCCAGCGCGGCCTCACTGCGCCCCCGCCACGTGACGGAGCAGACCAATAACGAGCCGCCCGCGGCCCGCGAGGAAGAGGCGCCGCGGTCCCTCCCCGCCCAGCCGGCGCGGACCAATGGGCTCCCGCCCCGCCCCGTGACGCTCAGCCCGCTGGGCGGCACGGACCAATGGGCTCGCGGGGCGGTGGCGTTTGAAAGTGGGGGGGGTGGGCGGGGCCAACGGCTCGGCGGGGCGCTGAGGCGAGACGGGGGCTGCCGGGAAGGGGGCGGCCCGGCGGCATGGCGCACAAGCAGATCTACTACTCGGATAAATACGACGATGAGGAGTTCGAATACCGGTGAGGCGGGGGAGGGGGAGCTGGTAACGCCTCCTGGGTGGGGGCTGGTAACGGTAACGGTTCCCCGGGGGGGCGGGGTGTCCCGGTAGCGGCTCCTTGGTAAGGGGAGAGATGTCCCGGTAACGGCTCCCTGGGGGTGTGTGTGGGGGGGTGGCCGGTAGCGGTTCCCCGGGGGGGCGGGGTGTCCCGGTAGCGGCTGCTTAGTAAACGGAGGGATGTCCCGGTAACGGTTCCCCGGGGAGGGGGCAAGAGGGGAGTTACCGCGGTAATGGTTCCCCGGTGGATGGGGACGGAGCGGGGAGGTGTCCCCGTAACCGCTCCGTATCAGGGTTGGGGGGTGGTCCCGTTAACAGCTCCCCGTTGGGGGGGGGGGGGGTGCCCCGGTGACCGGCTGTGGGGGCGCAGGCACGTGATGCTGCCCAAGGACATCGCCAAGCTGGTGCCCAAAACCCATTTGCTGTCGGAGTCGGAGTGGCGGAACCTGGGGGTGCAGCAGAGCCAGGGCTGGGTCCACTACATGATCCACGAGCCAGGTGAGCCCCGCGGGGGGCCGGGGGGCGGCCGGGAGAGCCCGGACTGACCCCACCTCCCGTCCTGTTCCCCAGAGCCCCACATCCTGCTCTTCCGCCGGCCGCTGCCTAAGAAACCGGAGAAGTGAGCAGCCCCCTCACCCGCCGAAGCCCCCACCGCCCGAGCTGAGACAGCAGCACCTTCCTCCTACTACTCCTCGACATTCCCGGGGGGCTTCGTCCCACGCCGCGCCGGCGGGTGCCCGTGACCCCCCGGTGCCGTCTGGGCGCCGGTGCCGGGGGGGACCCTGCCCGGTGCGAGGCCTGAGCGTGTTTCGAAGCTTCAATAAATGGATGTTTGGGAACTCCCGTCTGCCGTGCCGGGGTGGGGGGCGAGGGGGAGATGTGAGGGGTCTCGGTCCCTCGGCATCCTGCCTGGGCGGTGCAGGCACCGTTCCGGTGACCGGCGGAGTAGGGGAGGGCTTGGCGGTGGGGGGGGGGGGGGGGTGGGGTGTGTTCCTGGTGCCCAGGGTAGACGCACGTGCCGCCGCCCTCTGCCTGCTGGGCCGACCCACGGCCACAGGTTGGGGGGGGGGGGCGGGCTTTGTTCCCCGCTCCGCTGCGATGGTTCCGTCCCCGCGGTGTCCCGCCTCCCCGCCCATCCGTGCTCGGCAGCGCCCCGTTGTGACGGGCACGCCGCGCTGCCAATGAGAGCGCGGGGCGGTGATACGGCCTGGAGCGGGCGGGGGTGAGCGGCCGGGTCCATGTGGGGCGCGCTGCGGGGGGCGCTGCGCGCCGCCGCCTCCCGCCCCATGGCGGCATCAACCCCCACGACTTCGCGGGGCTCCGCTGCCACCGCCGGCATCATCGTCATCGGCGACGAGATCCTCAAGGTGCGTCCGGGAGCGAGCCGGGACCTGCTCCCGGGCTGGGGCCTGGCATCCCCGAGGTGACCCCGCCATCACGCGTGTCTCCGTCACGCAGGGCCACACGCAAGACACGAATTCCTTCTTCATGTGCCGGCGGCTGCGCGCTCTGGGCGTGAGGGTGGCGCGGATCACGGTGGTGCCCGATGAGGTGGACGCCATCGCCAGCGAGGTGTCCGCCTTCGCCTCCCGTTTCACCTACGTGCTGACCTCGGGGGGCATTGGCCCCACGCACGACGACGTGACCTTCGAGGCCGTGGCCAGGGCTTTCGGGGAGCGGGTCACCCTCCACCCCGAGCTGGTGGCCCTGGTGCACAAGTTCTTCGGCAAAACAGACACACAGTGCCCCGAGATGAAGCTGGCTCGCGTCCCCGAGTCCTCCCGCCTCAATTATGGCAGGGACGGGCGCACGGGCAGCGCCTTCAAGTACCCGCTGGTCAGCGTGCGCAACGTCTACATCTTCCCCGGCATCCCGGCGCTGATGGAGCGTGCGCTGGACGGTCTCGCCCACCTTTTCCGCAGCGAGCAGACCCGTTTCCACTCCCGTGCCATCTACGTGGCGGCTGACGAGATCCTCATCGCGCCCACGCTGGACCAGGCTGATGCCACCTTCCAGGGCCGTGTCAGCTTGGGTTCCTACCCAGACTGGGCCAACAACTACTATCGCGTGAAGCTGACGCTGGACTCGGAGTCGGAGCAGGACCTGGAGGAAGCGTATCGCTTCTTGATGGAGAAGCTGCCGCCGGGCGTTGTCGTGCCGTCGGTGGTGGACTGTGTCTCACCGGCAGCCGCGGAGGTTTATGGCCTGGCTGAGTCAGGTACAGGGAAGTGCAGCACAGCTCGGCGCCTCCACGCTGCTCCTGTGCAGACCCAGAAGGGCTGGAGCAGTGGGAAGACCGGTCTGGGAGCAGAGCTGGTGTGCTGGGAGGGGGGCTTGAGGGATACTGAGGCTGCAGGAGGCTTGGTCCCACACAGGTGGGACCCATAACCCCAGTTAGGGCTGGCTTGTGCCAGTCGCTGAGAGCACAGTGGTGCTGCAGTTCCCCCACGCAGGCAGGATCCTTGTCACACAGCTTGGGGTTGCACAAGCCCTTGGCTCCAGGCTCCAGTGCCAGCGGTGGCTCCGCAGTGTGTCTGGAGACAAGGACATGCGTGGAGGGTGAGGTGCCGCGGACCCAGGGGCAGCACCGAGGCAGCACGGCCCCAGGGTGGGCACCCACCATCCCCTCTCAGCAGGCTCGGCCCTGGGGCAGAAGGTGGCAGCGGCACTGCGGACCATCGAGGTGGCTTTGGACCGGTACAGCCTGGCCCAGCTCTGCGTGGGATTCAACGGGGGCAAGGACTGCACAGCCCTGCTGCACCTCGTCCATGCTGCCCTGGAGAGGTACCCGTGGGGGTGAGGGGGTCCCATGGACCCCAGCTGGGGCTCCAGGGCTCTCCCCTGCCCTGCGCTGGGGAACGAGCAGATACCTGGAGCCTGGTTTGTGGGAATTTGGCAGCTGCCCTGCCTCCGGTCTCTCCCCAGGCAGTACCCGGCGAGGCAGGAGAAGCTACAAGTGCTCTACATCCGCATCGTGTCCCCTTTCCCTGAAATGGAGCAGTTCATCCAAGCAACCGTCCAGAGGTACGGGGCAGAGAGGGGTGGGCTGCCAAGGCAGGGGGTCAGCAGCGCCTCACAGCCCACCCTGCCTGCGCAGGTACAAGATCCAGCTCTGCACCGTGGAGGGCTCCATCCGGGAGGCCCTGGCTCACCTGAAGGAGCAGCAACCGCAGCTGGAGGCCGTCCTGATGGGAACGCGGCGCACGGACCCCTACTCGCGCACCCTGACGCCCATGTGCATGACAGACCCCGACTGGCCCCCGTACATGCGTGTGAACCCCTTGCTGGTATGTGGCCTCCACCTGAGCTGGGGACAGGGCTGTCCCTGCTCCGCGGGAGAGTGAGCCTGGCGAGTTAAAATGACGGGGCTGGAAGCCAGCACTAATCCACACCCATCCCAAGGGCTTCCCTCTCAATTCCCCTTCTCCCCAGAGCATCTCCTGCCCCACTGCGCGGCTGTGGGTGCCCCTCGCTGCAGCCAAGCTGCCTGGTGCTGTCAGGCAGGGCTCATTCCTGCCTGCCAGGGTCTTTTCCTATGTTTGGGGAGGTGCTGGGAGGGATGGGGGTGCTCTGGGGGCCAGCTGACTCCCCTGCGTCTTCTTGTGGGGGGGCTGGCTCGTTTCCCCAAGGGCGAGGGGGCAACCTGCTTGCCTCTGTGACAATCTCTGCCTAATTCTGTCCACAGGACTGGACCTACCGGGACATCTGGGAGTTTCTGCGCAAGCTCTTTGTCCCCTACTGCATCCTCTATGACAAGGGGTGAGTGTCTGGTGCTGCCCTCCCTGCTCGGCACGGCCGCTGCCCCTGGGCGTAGCCTTGTAGCCGCCTTCTCCTTCTACAGCTACACCTCCCTGGGGAGCATGGCCAACACACTGAAGAACCCGTCCCTGCGCTACACTGACGCCCGGGGCCGGGAGAGCTACCGGCCTGCCTACGAGCTGGAAAACGAAGAAGACGAGCGTACTTCCCGCCAGTGAAGGCCCGTGGGCCGTGCTCGGGGAGGCTCTGCTGGGACACCGCCGGCGGCTGGCTCCCCCGCAGATGTTACTGGTACCGCTGGGGATGACACTGAATAAACCCTGCTGCTTGCCAGCACTGAATAAACCTGCTGTGCTCAGCCTGCGGTCTGCACTGCGCTCGCGCTTGGGCGCACTGGTCCCTTCGGGCCCCATGGAGCTCTGGCAGGAGCGGGACGGGGAGGGGGCGAGGCCAGCTTTGTCCAAACAAAAGGATCCCCTGGGCAGTGCCCCCTCCCCGTGCCCGCTATTGTGGAGGCTTTTGAAGCGCAGAGAATGGAGCAGGTTCCAGCGCTTGCCGGGGCCCCGCGTGGCAGCACGGCTGCCTCCCCTTCTCACCCCGTCAGACCCTGCTGATCCCTGCTCAGCCATGCAGCTTCTCCGGACCGCGGCGGCCCGTCCCCCCGGCGCTCCGAGGCGAGCGGCACGGGCAATGGCGCTGCCGGCTCCCACCAACACCTCCCTGGGGCTGCGCCTGGGCTCCTGGCTCCTGCGGCTGCTGCGGGAGTGCGTCTACCTCTTGCTCTGCAGCTGGTGCATCCGCGAGCTGCTGGACTAGGGAACGACACACACCCCCCCTCCCTGTGCACCCCCCCGCCTCGATGCCGCAGGACCCCCAGCATCCCCTGCCTGCCCCTGTGTGATGGGTGAGTGCCCTGCCCTCGGCTGCCCGCTCGGCGTGGTGCTTGGGGAGGGTGACAGGGGTGCTCCTGGGGGGTGGTGGGGGCCCAGCATTTGGGGGGTGAAGGGGTGCAGCTGTGGTGCTGGTAAGGGGGTCCTCACCCCCTCACACACCTGTGCCTCTCTCCCCTCCCCAGGACTGCTTGTTGCCCTGTGTTGATGGCACTGATGGACCCCCCCCCCCAGCGCTGGGACCCCGATCCAGCCTGCGCTCGCCCCGATCACAGAGACCTCAATAAACCTGAGCAGCACCTGACTGGCTGGGTGTGTTTGGGGAATGCGCTGGGGGTGCCGACCCCTTCCAAACCTTCCATCCCTCGCCTTGGGAAGGACCCAGCTACCCCAGCCCACACATCCCCGCTGCTTGGGGCTGAGGGGCAGGAGTGGGGACTCTACCTGCCCCTCCTGCCTGTCCCTCCACAGGGTTTATCCCTGCCCCTTGTTTAAAGAGCGTCTCCGCTTGTCCCTGCTCCAGGCCGTTTCCTGCCCCAGCCCCACACGCCTGGCCGGCACCGGCGCTGCCAAGAGCCAGCGGGAAGTGACCAGAGCAAAATGTCCCCAAAGGGCCCATCCTGGCTGGAGCAGCGGCAAAGGTCACGGCCGGTGGGACGCAGGGGGACACCAGGGTCCTGCCGTGGGGGTGGCGGTGGGTCCCCCTGCGTCCTCAGCCCACCGTGCCCTGGGGCTGGCTCGGGGCCGGATCCCTGTGCGGGGGCTGCCGGCAGCCCTGGCCCCAGCGCAGGGGAAGCTCCGCACGCCCCAGCCTCGGCGGCAGCGCCTGGCGCCAGCGCGGCCTCCCTTATCTCGGCGGGAAGTCGGGAGCAGGAAGCGCGGCCCGGTGCGGGATAAGGGTCCCGTTTACATTAGCTGCTTTGTTGTGGAGCAGGCTCCCCCTCTCACTGAGCACCCGCGGGGGGGTGCCCTGGCCGTGGGGAGGGCTGGGGGGCTGCAGGGACCCCTGCCCGGGGTGCCATGCGGGGATCAGGTAGTCCTTGCAACCCCCACGTGGACGCAGGCAGGGATGGGGGCTGCCAGGGTGATGCCCTGCCACTCCACCCCATGACACCCCCTTGCCCGGTTTGGTTCCTGTGGCCACGCACCGGTGTGGGCCGTGGTGCCGTTGGGGTTCCCGGCTGCCCGTGGAAGCCAGGCCAGCTCCGGCAGCCGCGGTAGCACGGTGCTGGGCATCCCTGGCCGCCGGAGCCCACGCAGCTGGCGCCTGCTCCGCTGCTGTCGCATCCTGGCTCCGGCCCCGGGGCTGGCCGGGATGGGGCGAATCAATGAATTCCCCAAACGGGGAGGTCCGGGGGAGGGGAGAGTGTCCCAGCACAGGAAAAAGTCCTGGCAGCAGCGCACGGCGGGCAGACCAGTGCCGGCCTCCCTGAGAGCACAGCCCCATGCGCAGCCCCGGCTCCTCGCACCGTGAGTGAGACCCCCCACCCTCCCCTTCCCCAGGGACCCCTCGCCCAGCCCCACGCTGTAGGGGCAGCAGGAGGGTGGGTGGGTGCTGCGGGCAGGGGTGCGCGGACCCCTGCCCTCACCGTCTTGGTCCGCGCACGTTCCCCTGCGCTGGGGGTTGGTTTTGGGGTCACGTCCCCCACCTGACCTTGGGGACACCCATCCCCCTGAGAGTAGCACAGTGTCTTCGCGTGTCTGTGGGGACAGGCACTGGTAAACCCGGGCAGGGTGGCCTTGCTGGGGTGGGGAACGGGAGCGTGGCTCTGCCAGTGTGGGAGGATGAACCCAGTCCCCACTGGGGACCCCCCCCTGAGGTCTCAGCACCCTCCTGGTGCAGGGGGTGAGGCCCGTCCCCGTCCCGCAGGTGGTCGCTGAGGCTGCCCCATGTTCCGCTCGCGCCGTGCCGGGCTGGTGAGGCGGCTGTGGCGGCAACGCTGCGCGGCGGCCGGCCCCGAGGACGGCCCCGGCGCCCTCAAACCGGCGGCGCACGCCCTCTTCAAGAAGCTGAAGGACGAGGAGCTGGAGCTGCTGGTGCAGGCAGTGGAGAGCCGGGGAGCCTGGGAGTCCGGCTGCGTCTGGGCGCCGCGGGGGGAGCCACGGGGGGCCAAGCAGGCGCTGGCCCCCCAGGTCCTGCTCTGCCGCCTCTACCGCTGGCCCGACCTGCGCCAGCCCCACGAGCTCAAGCACCTCTGCTACTGCGCTGGGGGCCGGGGGGGCTGCGGGGACGCAGCCACGCTCTGCTGCAACCCCCACCACTTCAGCCGCCTGGCTGCTCCTGGTGAGTGCCGGCGGCTGGACCGGAGCCCCTCACCCACCCACCCACCTCTGGGGCTGGCTCAGAGCTTTGGGGGGCTCTGCGGGGGGGCGCAGGATGTACCTCCCAGCCCCTCAGCCCCATCTCTCCCCCTGCCCAGAGACCCCACCACCCCCCTACTCGAAGGTATCCTGTGGTCCCTCGTGGCCGGACAAGCCCCAGCACCCCAGCACTCAGCTTCTGGAGTTCAGCTACAACGGTGGGGACTGGCGCGGTAAGAGGGTTCTGCCACGCTGGGGGCTACTCGATCCCCCCCACACACACACCTTGCCCAGCAGGCAGAGGGGGCATCAGGCAGCGCTGACTCCCCCGGGCAGCTCTGCTCCCACCCTGCTGCTGGTCAGGGCAGAGCTGAGGGACCCAGAGCCTGAAATTTGGGGAGCGGAGCCGGCAGCCCCTCCCGGCAGGAGGAAAAGCTCTGGCGCAGGACGAGGGGTTCCTGCCAGGGGACTGCCCCCCCCCACCCCCCCCCACCCCCCCCCCCCCACTCCCCACCGCGGCTCCTGTTATTTTTGGCGGCGCCGGGCTCCCCGCCGGAGGAAGCGCTGCCCACGGGGACACACACAATGTGCCTTGACGCACACAGCCGCGGCTCCAGCCTGGCTGCTGGCCACCAGGCCGCTGGCCGCCACCGCCCCACCTTCCCCGAGCCCAGGGACCCCCCCCTCCCTCACCGTGATCCCCAGGGACAGTGGCCGGGGACGGCCCAGCCTTATGTGCCGGTGCGCAGCAGCTCCCACGACTCAAACCCCATGCCAGAGCCTGTGCAGGGAGAGGCGTCCATCCGTCTGTCCACTTCACCAGCCCCTGCATGAAGCGGGGGACATGGACACCCCCCACCCACCCACCCACTCCCTCCCCATCACCTCTCCCCTCAGCCCCTCTGGCTCAGCCACGTCCGCGTGGCAGCGGGTGGCTCTGCCCGGCGGTGACAGCTCTGCTCTCCCCCTCCAGACACCAGCCTCTCACGGAGCACCATTAAGGATGGCTACTGGTGCAAACTGGCTTACTGGGAGCACCGGACACGCGTGGGCCGCCTCTATGCTGTGCACGAGGCGTCGGTGAACGTCTTCTGCGAGCTGCCGCGGGGCAGCGGGTTCTGCCTGGGCCAGCTGCCGGCTGCCCACCGTAGCCGTGCCGTCCGGCGAGCGCGCGGCAAGATTGGCCGGGGGCTGCTGCTCAGCCAGGAGCTGGGCGGCGTGTGGGCTTACAACCGCAGCGAGCACCCCATCTTCGTCAGCTCGCCCACGCTGGGGCCCCCCGGTGCCCGTGGGCTCACTGTCCTCAAGGTGCTGCCCGGCTACTCGGCGAAGGTGTTCGACTACGAGCGGGCGGGGGGCGGGGGGGGGTTGGCGGCTCCCCGGGGAGGGGCCCTGTGACCCCCACAGCGTCCGCATCAGCTTTGCCAAGGGCTGGGGGCCCTGCTACTCCCGGCAGTTCATTACCTCCTGCCCTTGCTGGCTGGAGGTCCTGCTGAACCAGCCACGCTGAGGGGCTGGGGCTGGGGCGGGGGGGGGGGGGAAAGCACCAGGGACACCCAGACAAAGCAAGTGCAAGGGGGGTGTGAGCTGGGGGACCCCTCTGCCACCCCCCAGCCTCTCCCAGGGCTGTGCTGTAGTGAGGCTGTCCTGGCCCAGAGGACCCTCTGTGGGATGCTCTGCCCCAGCCCTGGGAGGGGGGCCGGTGCCCCCCGTGCCTGTCTCACCACCCTGCCAGCACCCACCATTCCTGGCTATGGGTTTCTTGCTGACACAGCGCACTATTTAATCTCTTTCTGTTTTTTTTTGTTTGTTTGTTTGTTTGTTTGTTTTATTTTGTTTATTTTAATGGTTAAATTTATTTTAATTTATCTTATTTTTGTAAAAAACAGAAAAGCACAAAGCAGGAGCCTCCCCGCATCAGAGGCAGCCAGGGCCAGAGCTGGGGAGGGCAGCCAGGACGGGATGTGCAGGAGCCCGGTGGGTCTGGGGGAGGCCGGGGGCCACAGGAGGGGGGGGAGGGGAGGGACAGAGCCCCAGAGCAGTGTGGGGGCCTGAGGGTATGGCAGGTGTGGGGGGGAACTAGAATGAGCTGGGAGAGCTGGGGGTGTGGGGCTGATGAGCACAGCTGGAGCGTGAGGCAGGTTAGAACAGCTGGAGAAGTGTGGGGTGGGTTCTGCAGCAGGTGAGCACAGCTGGATGTGTGGGGCAGGTGAGCACAGCTGGATGGGTGTGATCGGGCAGGTGAGCACAGCTGGATGTGGGAGAGGCAGGTGAGCACAGCTGGATGTGGGACAGGTGAGGACAGCTGGATGGGTGTGTGGGGCAGGCAAACACAGCTGGATGTGGGAGAGGCAGGTGAGCACAGCCGGATGGGTGTGTGGGGCAGGTGAGCACAGCTGGATGTGTGGGGCAGGTGAGCACAGCTGTAGTTGGGGGCAGGTGAGCACAGCTGGATGTGTGGGGCAGGTGAGCACAGCTGGATGTGGGGGGCAGGTGAGCACAGCTGGATGTGGGACAGGTGAGGACAGCTGGATGGGTGTGTGGGGCAGGTGAGCACAGCTGGATGTGGGAGAGGCAGGTGAGCACAGCTGGATGGGTGTGATCGGGCAGGTGAGCACAGCTGTAGTTGGGGGCAGGTGAGCACAGCTGGATGTGTGGGGCAGGTGAGCACCCCTGGGGAGGGTGCCGGCCTGGGCCAGTGCAGCTGGGATGGAGGTGCCGCACGAAAACCGAGCTCTTCCATAGCGGGTCCCTGGGCTGGGGGGACCCACGGGCCCCTCCGGCCACTGTGGCAGCAGGGGGACACCCCCACCCCCCCCGGGTGAGCGTAGCCTCGGGTGTCTCGCGGTGCCCGGGCCGCTCCTGCTATCTGTAACCCCAATAAACGGTGCCACCGGCACCAAAGACGCCCCCGGTGTCCCCACGCGTGTCGATGCCTCGCGGGGACGGCGCGCTCGGCGCCCGCCGGGCTCGGCTCCGGGGGACCGGCAGTGCCCTCTGCAGGCGGCCGCGCCCGGGCCGCGATGACCGCCCGGTCCTTCCTGCCACGCCGCCGGCCCGGCTGAGACGGGCCTGGCGGCTCCGCGGCCACCGCCCGGCCCCACCCGGCCCCGGCCCCGCCGCGGCCCCGCGGGCAGGAGGTGAGTGCGGGACGCGCCGTCGGGGCCGCCCCCGGGGGAACGGGCGGGAGCGGGAGCGCAGCCGCCGGCACCGGCACTGACATAGCGCAGCGGGGCCCCCGGGAGCGGCGGCCCGTGGGGGCGGGCGGGGGCTCCGCGGGGAGCGGCGGGGCCGTGGGAGGACGGTTTCGGGCCGGTGGGCGGCGGGGCCGGGAGCGGGAGTCGGCGGCAGCGGCACGGAGGGGATTTTTCGGCGGATTTCCCCCCCCCTCCCCCCCCCCCCCCCCGCACACCCCCCTCCCCCCACCCGCGACACCCCTCCTCTCCGCTGCCCCCGCCGGAGCCCCGCGTCCGGGGGGTCAGTGCCCGCGGTGTGCCCGCGGGGGGCGGCCGGAGGAAGGGGGCTGCAGGTGCACGGACAGACAGGCGGACGGTGTGCGAAGGGAGGTGGAAGTGCGGCCGGGGGTGGGTGGGGGGAGGCAGGTGGACGGACGGACAGACGGACGGAGATAAGGGAAGCGGAGTTCGAGGCCCGGGGAAAGGAGCGGACGGGCTGGGCGAGGCGCAGCGGCAGGTGCCCGGTACCGCGGCCCGGCGGGCGGGCGGGCGGGCGGGCGGGGGGGGGGGGGCCCAGCGCTGGAGCGGTGCCCCCCGGCGCGGCCCCCCCCGCCCGGCTGACATAACGTCTGCGCGGGGCGGTGTTTGCCTTGGCAGCCCCCGGCGGCGGCGGCGGCGGCAGCGGCGGCGGCGGCTCCTCACACTTTCCGCCAGCGCCGGGCAGCGGCCGGGCTCTGAGTCAGGAGCCGGGGGGGGTGCCGAGGGAGGGGGGGGGGGGGGGGGAACGGGGTGAGGTGAGGTGAACCCCGGGCCGCGCCGCCGCTGCCTCCCGGGGGCCGGCGGCGGCCAAACTGGTTGCGCGGGGTCCCCGCCCAGGCACCTGCGGAGGGGCCGCTCCGGGGGGGGCCGCCGCGCCCTGCCCCAGCGCCGCCGGCAGCGGAGGGGGGGCGGGGGGGGGGGGGGGGGGCTGCCCCGCCGCGCCGCGCCCCTCGGCACCCCCGACTGCCCGGCGCCCGGCTCTCCGTCCTTCACCCCCCCCGGTTCCTCGTTCTCCATCCCCCCTCCGTGCCCGGTTCCCGGGACTCCATCCCCCCCTCCCCCGCAGGTGCCGAGTCTCCCCGTTCTCCATCCCCCCCCCCCCCCCTCCTCCCCCCGGTTCTGCCGTGCCCGGTTCCCCCGCCCCCCCGCGGGGCGGAGCGGGGCGGGCTGGCCTCGGGGCTCGGCGGCCGCAGCGGGCGGGGCGCGCCCGGCGCCTGGCACCGGTCGAGGCGCCGGCGGGGCCGTACCGGGCAGCCCCCCCCCCCCCCACCCCCGGGGTCAGTTCCAGCGCGGCCCCGTTAATCGCCGTCGTCGTCCCGCGCCTCTGACTCAGCTCTTCCCTACCCCCCACCGCACCCCGGTCCCGGGGGGGGCCCCGCATGGCCCCCGCCCTCCCGTGGGGGGGGTGTGGGGGGGGTGTGGCGGAGCTGATGGGCGGGCCCCCCCTCCAATAGGAGGGCGGACCGCCGGCGCGCTGCCCAATGAGCGGAGTGGGGGCGGGCGCTTCCTGGAGCCCCGGCGGCGGCGGCGGCGGCGGCGGCGGTGGCGGGGGGGCGGGGGGGGGGCGGGCGGGGCGCGGCGGCGGCAGGTGAAGGCGGAGGCGGGGCCGCGGCCCCGCGACCGGCCCGTAGCTCGGGCGGGGCGCGCAGGTGAGCGGCGGCGGGTGGGAGCGGACGGACCCACCGACGGGGGCTGCACGGAGGTACCGACCGACCGGTAGCGGTACCGGTGCGGCGACCGCTTTTGCAGCCCGGTTGCGGTGAGTCGCGTGGATCCGGGGGGGCTACCGGGCGGGCGGGCACGGGCGGGGCGCGGAGCAGTGCTGGCTCCCGGCGCTCGGTCCCCCCGCTCCGTGACCGTGCCTGCTCGCCACTGCTCCGCGCTGAAACCGGTGGGCACGTCGCCCGTGGGGTGGGGGGAGGTCACGCGTGGGCCGTTCCCGGTCCCTCCGCAAGGGGCTGCGGGAAACTGGTGCTACTGGCAGGTTCCTGCCGCCTCCCGGGGTAGTCGCCAAGGCTCTGGCTAGGGTCCGGTTGCGGTGCGGCCATGTAGCCGGGGTCCCCTGTGGGCTCACGCCACGGGTGACGGGGTGCTGCTGCCGTTCCACCGCCCTTCCCGGCCCGGTGAGTAGCTCGGCCGCATCCCCGCGTGTGCCGGGCAGGGATGGTACCGTCACAGTGGGAGAGGCAGCTCGGGACCTCCACTCTGCACCAGTGCCAGTAGAGGCAGGAGTGGACGGTGGGTGTCCCCGTGTGCCAGTGACCCGCCAGCCTGGCACGCTGGCAGTGGGTGCCTCGCTGCTTGCCACTGGTGAGGGTCCACCTAGGGGTGCCCACCAGGCCTGGTGGCTCGCTAGCACCCGCCAAACACCGGTGGACTCTGCCCCACGCACACCCAGCCCTGCTGTACCTGTTCCCCCCCCTGGCTGGCTGCCCCCAGCCGGCTGTTTGCCCGGGGTGGGGTGCGGTATTTACCCTCCTGCCGCAGCCCGCGCCGGGGGAGAGCTGCCGTCTTGGGCTGCGGCCGCCCTTGACCCCGGGCTGCTTTTGCCGGGCAAGGGGACGTGGTGCCAGGTTTGGCGTGGGGTGAGTCTCGGTGTGCCTCAGTTTCCCTCGCCTCAGCTGAGCTGGCTGGGCTTGCAGGGAGTGGGCTGGGGTTGCCCGGCGCTGGCAGAGGCACACGGCAGCTGCCGGTGACTCGAGGCCGTGGCGGTGATGCCGGTGCTGGGCGTGGAGGGAGGAGCTGGGTTCAGGAACTTGAAGTGGGTGCGTGAAGAAGGGGAAGCTGTGGGGCAGGGGAGGGTGTGGGGCAGTGGGATTGGGGGGCTAGCTGGGGCTGGTGGTGCCCTTGCTGGGGATCGGGGTGCAGAGCAGGTCAAGTCCCCGGGTGTGGGGAGGTGACAGGCGGATTGAGGGGACGGTGGTGTTGGGTCCTGGGGACCCTCCGAGACCACCCGCCTGGGTGCAGGCTGGCCAAACCCCCCTCGCTGGCAGCGCCGCCTGAGCCCGAGGCCGTGGCAGCGCGGCTCTGCCAGCTGGTGCTGTGCACCCTCGGTGCACACGTGGCACGAGCGCGACAGGCCTGAGTGCGGCGGGGGCGGGCAGTGGGCGCAGTGGGGGGTGCAGGGCCAGCGCAGCCCCCACACCCCAGCTCTCGAGGGGTGGCCGCTGCCCCGCGTGTGGAGCAGGAACTTCTCCTTTGGGGCGGGCGGCGGATGATGAAACCACGGAGAAATCTCTCCTGGCAGCACGCGGGCTGCTGGCGGGAGCCCCCGGGAGCCCGCGCTCCCCCTGCGCCGGCCGCCACTGCCTTTCCATGGTAACCCCACCGCGGGAGCCGGCGGGGTGCTGGCAGGGGAGGCCACGCTGTCTGGGGGGGTTGGCGCCCGCCCGGCTCCCCGCGGCAGCACTGGCGTCCCCGACATGCCCCGGGAGCTGCGTGTCCACACCCCAGCGAGCCCTGGGGCGTCTGGAGGGACCCGCAGAGGGGCTGGGCTGAGACCCGTCAAACTCGCTTCGTGCCAGGGAGGTGACGCTTGGGTGGCCGTGCAGGCAGCGGGGGAGGTGGCCGCGGCTGGTGCCGTGGCCGGTGACCTTCATTCAGTGTGCCCGGTGCCCGGCCGTGCTCCGTGTCTGGGGATGGGTGGCCGGTTCACACGCACACCGGTGCGGTGGGAGCTGCGGGGCCCGGACGCCCGGGGCCCCCGGAGCTGACGGTGTGACTCGGCGGGACTGTGGGCGGGCGGGGGGACCGAGCCATGGCGAGGGAAAATGAAAGCAGGTGATGCGGAAGGAGAAGTAGGTCAGGCGAGCGCTGGCCTCTCCCGGCAGCCTCGGCTGCACTGCGTGCTCCGCTCTGCCCTGGCTGTCCCCGCCGTGTCTCTGGGCCCCATGGGCAGCGGCTGGAGGGGGCGGTGAGTACGGGGTCCTGCTGCTGGGTGCTGGGTCCTGGGCAAGGTGGGTGCCAGACGCTGCCTGACCTGGACACCAGTGGGCTGGGGAGCTCGGCCGGGCTAGCTGGCACGCGACGGGCATGGTGACACCCCGGCAGCTTTGCTTTGCTTCGCCTCCTGTGGGTATCCCCAGGGATATGGGGCTGGGGGCCGCGGTGAGGATGGGCAGGAGGATGTTCCACATCTGTCCCCCTGTGGGGCTGAGCAGGGGAGGGGAAGGGGATTCCCGTCCCACTTGGGCTGTGCTGAGGCGGCCGGCGCGGTGAGGACATCCCGGTGGGGCTCGGGGCTGGGGACAGCTTGGGGACGGCCCCATGTGCCACCGTGGGACTCCGTGGCCAGCTGCCCCCAGCTCAGCTCCACCGTGGGGCTGGGGCTGTAGCCCTTCCCATGGCGTGAGGCCGGCTGGGGTCTCACTCGCAGCACCTGCGTGGGTCAGAGTGACGGCGGCGGGCATGGCCCCGCTGGCAGCGCTATGTGGGCTTGGGGGGGATTAGAGCCGCCTGCCCCCCCCTCCCCTCACCCGGGATCAGCCGTGGGCAGCGGGGAGCTGGCAGCAGGCAGCTGCCGTGGGGGCGGAAGCCGGGCTATTTTGGGGGGTGTGGAGGGGGGGCTGTGGGCTGGCACTGTCCTTGTTGGGTGACCCCCACCGGGACCAGCACTGCCCTGGTCCCCGGATGGAGCATTGGGGCCTGTCCTGTTCTGGCTGGCGGTGCTCAGTCCCCAGGGTGCCATGAGGACAGGGACCCCACGTTGGGAAGGAGATGCCACCAGCCTTGGGGGGGCCCCCTGGGGCCTTGCAGCCCGGCAGGACCTGGGGGGTCTGGCCACCCTCCAAGGGGCTCCCGTGACTGTGCTGCAGGGTGAGTGGCACTGGAGCCGGCTCCCCCCTGGGGCTGGCGAGCAGGACCAGCCACAGGCAAGCCTGCCTGTCCCAGGCTGAGGGTTGGCAGAGCCTCATCCTGCTGCCACCAGCACCCCTGTGCCCAGGACCAGGCTGCCAGGGTGCCCGTGGGCAGCCGAATCTTGCTCCATCCCAGCAGCATCCTGGCCACACTGGGCCATGCAAACTGGGGTGTAGCGGGATGCCCGGCTGTGCTGTGCCCCTCTTGGCACTGCCAGGGGTGGCCTGAGCACCACCTGGGCTCAGAGCCCCTCCAAGCACCACCCGCCTTCACCACAGCGTCGTCCCCCCGGCTGCTGGGGGACCAGCGGGTGGGTTTTGCCCCATGCCAGGGTGATCAAACATAGGGTTTGCTGTTGACCATTTCCTTCCTGTTCCCCCCTCCCCGAGCTCCATTTCGGCAACACCTTCCTTCCTTCCTTCCTACCTTCCTTCCCTCTGCCTGCTCCTGCCTGCACGTGGCCGTGCTGGCAGGGAGCAGCTGGGGACAACCTCTGTTTGGCCTCCCGTGGCCTCTCTCCGGCATTGGGGACGGCAATGTGCGCAGTGGAGAGCCCACGGGTGACCCACAGAGGCCACGCACTCGTGACCACATCTGTCCTGGCCACCCATGGGTGAGGAGGTGGCTGTGGGACCCCCTGTCCTGGCAGGTTGGGGTTCCCCCATGTCGGGACGTGGTACAGGAGATGGGGATGCCCGTCCTGCCATCAGGAGAGGGGCTGGTGCCGTGCGGGAGCGGGGATGCTGCCAGAGTCTGTCCCAGCTGTGTGCGGGATGAGGCTGTGTCCCGTCACTGGTGCCACTGGTCAGGGTGGCACTGGCCATGACAAGGGTGGAGCATGGAGGAGGAGGGATGAAGGTCAGCCCATCCTCCCCAAAGGCCAGCACCTCCACCGCCTGGTCCCCCCTGGGTGGGCACCCTCAGTGCCCCCTAGCCGGGGCAAGCAGCAGTTAGCGGCCGGCGAGTGGGCGGTTGCGACACCCCCAGGGTGGGGGGGACACGGTGACTCACCCCAGTGGGGCCTGGCCACCAGCGGGAACCCTGAGTCAGGGCTGCGTGCCCATGCCGTGCCCCTCCCTGCCCGCCTCGCCCACCTTATCTCCCGCCCTTAGCACCTGGCACACCTGGGCCAGGGGGGGCTGGCGCCGTTCCCCTCCTTTATGGGGAGCAAAGGGCAGGCAGAGGGTTGGCAGGCAGGTGCCGTGTCCCTCCCTCCCTCCTGGGGGTGCTGGCTCTGGGCTGTGCCCCCCGCCAGGGTGGCCGGCCAGCCTGGAGCATCGTGGCGGGCAGAGCTGCCCGCGCTCTGGGCATCGGCCTGTCCCATGGCAGAACAGCCTGGCACACGGTCCCCGGGGATGGCGGGGTGCCGGGATGCCGTGCCAGGGCGCGCTGGCTCGCACGGGCGAGATGCTGGTGCGGCTGTCGCCCCTCTGCCCGCCCGCCATCCCCGCTGCCCGCCCGTGTGGTCGGGGCTCTTGCACAACCCGGCTCTTTCCGCCAACGTTGCTGGGGCTGGAGGCCCCCCTCCCTGCCCGGCTGCGTGGCCGCGCTGGCACAGGGCTCTTCCCCTTTCTGCCCAGCCTCATGCTGCTGGCAGCACCGGCACGGCTGCCCGGAGCCTGGCCGGGGCTGTGCCTGTGTGTGTGTGTGTGTGTGTGTGTGTGTGTCCCACTCCGAGCTGGGGGGCAGCCCTGCCGCGGTGCCCTGGCACGGCCCTGGCCAGGCTGGTGTGGGCGGCCGGGGCGGATGCTGGGTGCCGGCAGTGGGGTGTGGGGAGCGCTCCCCAGGCTGCTAATTGCTGTTTAGCTGGGGACGCAGAAGGTGTAATTACAGGGGGGATTGCGCGAACCTGCAGCCGGCCCCAGGGGGCTGTGGGGGCACGGGGGGCCATGGCCCATGGGTGCCCCTGCCTTGGGAGCAGAGGGGACTGGGCAATATGGTCCATCCAGGGCCGTCCCCAGGTCACAGCATCCCGCATCCCCCTGTGGGACCTCAGGGACCCGCTCCGGGGGGGTGGGGGGGCAGAGCGGGACGTGCATCTGCAGGGTTGGGGGGCGGCTCCGGGGCTGGCCAGGCAGGCCACGGCACGCCACACCGAGCCCAGCCCTGCGGTGGCAACCCCGCTCCCGCCGAGCGCAGGCGCCCGGGCCGGCCGCGGCCAGCGGCGAGCACCCAGCGCCCTGCCTTGGGGCGGCGGGAGGGCGAGGGCCCATCCGACGCCTCGGTACGGTGGGCCGGGGCTGGCGGCGGGGCGGCGATGCCGACGGCGGGGAGGGGATACCTTGCGGCACGGGGCGCCCATCCTGCCGGCGCTGGGAATTTCCTCCTACAAGAGGGGGCCAGGGGGATGCCCCCTTGCCCGGTTCCGGGTTGGCGCCCCGCGGCACGGTGCCGGCCGCGAAGGGTTAATGCCGTGTGTGTTCTGGGAAGCGGGGCTGGGAGGTGCGTGACCCGGGGTGTGGGCGTCGACTCCTTTTGAGGTGGGATCCTGCGCTCAAGTGCAGCGGGGAGCGGGGCCAAGTTCACACAGCACCCTGCCTTCCCCTCCCTGCCGCTCGCGGGCCGCCGACCCGGCCGCGGCGCAGCGCCCAGCCACACCGGGACACGCACCAGGTGAGCCGGGCGCCCACCCCGCTGCCACCGGCTGCCGAGGCGGAGAAGGTGCCCGGGGGGGGGGCGGTGGGGACTTGGCGCGGTGCTGCCGGGGCACGGGGAAGGCCGGGCACAGCTGCTCCGGCACCAGCCGGGATGCTGGTGCCGCCCGAGCCCTGCGCCGCCCTCACTGCCGATGGGATGGGAAGGGACAGGCGGTGAGGTCCGGGTCACCGTGGCCTGGCAGAGCGGGCCCCGCACCCTGCGGCGGCAATGCCAGGCAAGCCGGACGCGCCTCTGCACTGGGTCGGGCGGCGGGGGAGGTTTTGGCAGCGGGAGGGGGTCATGATGCCAGCGTGGGGCAGGGGGCTGGCACAGGGGGCTCGGCTGGGCCGGCGTCTGCTTGTCCCTGCTGCAGGTGCCGGGGTTGGTGCCGGGGTCGCTGCCAGTTCTGCAGCTGCGTGCTCTGCCATGGCAGGGCTGCCCGTGCCCAGCCTCCAGCCTGGCTAGCATGCCGCGCTGGCACCGGGCCCCTCCGGAGCCGCACCGGGCAGCACCAGCTGGGCACGGAGGCAAACCTGAGCCAGGCGGGGCTCGGACCCCCTTCCTCAGTGCCTTGGGCACGGCACACGCTGTGCCCGTGAGACGCTTGAGGTGCTGGGGACTGGGAGCTTCCTGGGTGGCACTGCGGGCACAAGGCGCCAGGCAGCAGCAGGGGGTCGGGGTGGTGGTGGTGGGGGGCCTTGCGTCCCAGCGCCGTGGGGTGGGGGGGCTGTGTTCATCCCCTTCCCTCTTCAAACCATTTCCTTTCGTCTCTGCTCGCTGTTTGTTTCTTTCTTCAAAGAGCGGGACCGCTTCCCCGCAGCCGCCTCCCCTCCAGCACAGGGACCCCTGGCACACCTCCAGTACATGCCCGCTTCAGGGCTACTGGCCCCACTGGACCCCAGCCCACGACCTTCCCCACGAGGTGGGCAGAGGGTCCGTGCAGCCACCTGCCCCACAGCCACGTCACCCCCCTGCACCACAGCGGCCGGTGCTGGGGCCACCACTGCTCCCCACCGGCGATGGGGGGGGGTGGGGGGGTGATGCACAGCCCGGGCACCTGGGTCCCCTTCTCGGCTCCCAAAGGATGAGGGGCCCTGGCGGGGCGAGGGGCTGGGGGCCAGGTCGATGGCTGGTGTCTCACTCCCCTTCCTGGGTGACTCATTCTCCCCAGTGCGGCTGTGAAGTCCCTCGACAGCGTTTGTGACTCTTGTGATCGAAAGCAGCAGCGCTCGGCAGCAGCCCGAGGCGGGGGCTGTGCTCCCTGGGACCCCTGCCCCCCCCCTTCCCCATGGGGGAGCAGGTGGGGGAACCCCCTGGGAACCCCCTCCCACCCCACATCTCCTGCCGTCCCCAAGCCGGGGCCGGTGCCTGGCGCAGGCTGGCACCGTACACACGTGCAGGGTGCCATCCTGGCTGGGTGGCACGGGACGCAGCCAGTCCCCACGGAGGGTGGGTGCTGCAGGGCCAGACCCCCGCTCTGCTGCATGTGGCTGTGCCGGGGTGACCAGACCCCCCCTTCCCCTTACCCCAGACTAGTGGGGGGGGCTGGCAGGTGAATGGGGCCTGGTGGCGGTTGTGCCGGGCGGCGCAGGCCAGCAGCGGGATGTCAGGGTGACCTGGGCAGGCATTGTTCCTGCTGCCGCCTGCCCCGGCATGGGAGCTCGGCTCAACGTGGGGAGCGACCCCCCCCCCTTTCCCCAGCCCCGTGTGGCTGTTGCAGCCGAAACGGGCCCGGCCGCAGGCATTGACGTAACCGAGAAAGCTCTGGTGCGGTGGGGGTGCGAGCATCGCTGCTGGCCCCCTTCCCTGCCCGTGCCCCCTGCACCATCGTCTCCGGCACCGGCCAGGGGACGCTGGGGGTCTGGGGGTGGCTCTGGCACCCTCACACCTCGTGTCCCGTGTCCCCCCCCCCATTTCCTTATCACCGCTGCAATCTCCTCGATGGCAGCACCCGCTCAGCATGTGACTTCGCTCCAGCGGGGAGGATGCGCGGGGGGGGGGTGGGGGGGGGTGGGGGTGTCGGGGAAGAAGCTGTAACGGGTGGTTTGGTGCGATGGAAAATCCCCCTCCTGCCGCCACCTCGCCCCCGCCCTGCCCCAGCCCCGCGGCGTCGTCCGCAGGCATCCGGCCCCGCGACCGCTGACGGGGGTCTCGGCTCCCCCGGCGGGCCGAGCCAGCCCTCCACCAGTGGCACCAGTGCCACCGAGGCTGCTCCCACCCGCACCGCGACGCGGCGAGGTCGGTGGCCATGCCTGTTCCTCGGAGCACCCCGGGGCCTCGGCTGCTGCGCTGGGCCCAGGAGCCCCCCCCCCCCAAACAGCCACGTGCCGGTGGGTGCCAGCCCCAGCGCTGCAGGCAGGAAGAGCCCTGCGAGCACCCCGTGCCCGGGTGTCTCGTGGGGCTGGGGGCTGCTGTGGGGACAGGGAAGGGGTGTCCGTCCTGCTGCCATCAGGGTTTAGCGGGGGGAGGCAGCGATGGAGGATACGGATGCCACCCCATCTCGGGACCACCGCCTGTGACGTCCGCGGGGCGGGCGCCGCGTCGCCATCGTCCCCCTCCAGCCACCCGAGGCGCGGCGTGGGGCACTCGCCTCCCCCCCTTAATCCTGCCCCTGCTGCTAATCCTGCCTAATCCCACCGGGGGCTGTCGCTGCCTGTTGGCTCCCAGGGCCCTGATGGTTTAATCACCCCTAATCCGCTCGCCCCCACCCAGGCGGGCAGCGGGGACCCCGGCCGGCGGCGGGCCAAGGCTCCTGGCACGGTGCGGGGTTGGCGGGGGGGGGGGGGGGGGGGGGTTGGCCATGGGCGCTTGGCGCCGGCGCCGGCATCCCAGGCGGTCGGCACTGCCCGGCTCCCAGTTTCAGGGGCGGCTGCCGCCTGCCATGCCGGTCGGGCCTGCTCGGCAGCGGCTGGGGCGGCTCCGGAGCCGGTTGCTCCGGGGCCGTTCCCAGCCGCCTGCCGAGGCAGCCCCAGCTGGCGGCCGCCCAAGCGCAGGGAGCGGCCGGCACGGGGATGGGCCCCTGTGCCGGGGGCCGCCGGCCGCGCCGCCCCTCCACGGGCAAGAGGGGGCACGTTCCCCCCTCGCGCCCGCCGACGGCACGGCGTGGCTTGGCGCGGCGCGGCGGGGTTCAGTTTGGATGGGCTCGGCCTGGCCTGCTTGCGGGCTCGGCGACGTCCGGCGCCGGCGTGCCGCCGTCCGCCACGGCTCAGCGTGGCACAGCAGGGCCCTGGCAGCGCCGAGAGCCTGGACGTGGCGGTGCTGGGTGCCCACCTCCGCCTTCCCCGGGGAGAAGGCAACCCAGGGACGCCAGGGCTGCGGCAACCCAGACGGGCGTCCCACCCCAGTGTCACCCGGCCCAGCTCTGGTGTCACCCGGCAGCACCGCGCAGCCGGGAGGGCATTACCCGTGGCTGGGCATAGGGTTGCAGCACCGGCGCTGCCACCGCCGGTACCCTGCCTGTGGGTCGGGAGGGTGTCGGGCTCCCTCTTCCCACGGGCTCCATCGCCTGCCCACACCGGCTCCGTGGGGACGCGCTGGTCCCTGGTGCGGCACCACGAGGACCCCGGGTGCCAGTGCCAGGTTTAGGGCTGAGGCCAAGCCCTGCCAGCCGCAGCGTGGGAAAGGCCCGGCTCGCTCAGGCAGGGCTTGGCTGGGCGAGGAGCGGCCCCAGGCTGGGGCAAAGCGGGAGGGGGCCGGGCCCCCACCGGGAGCGGGGGCAGGAACCGGCGGCGCGGGTGCTGATCCTAATCTGCGGTGGCAGGAAGCGTGGCCCCCGTTCCCAGCCCGGCTAGGCTCTGCGGGGCGGCCCCCCGGCCCTCGGGGCCCTCTTCCCGGCACTCGCCCGCCCACCCGTGCCCGCCGCCGGCGAGGCCCGTGTTCCCAGGACGGGGCTGCTGGGAGCCGGCGGCTGCGCCTGGTTGTGCCGGGGGGCCGGGGGGGTGGTGGTGGTGGTTGTGGGGGGGTGGGTGGGCTGGCGCAGGAAGCGCCGCGCCTCAGCACCGTTCAAAGGCGCCGCGCTGAGATTTCCCCCTTTGCTGTGGCGGCGCGGGCGGCTGGGCGCTGGCAGGGGAGGAAGCGCGGGGGGCTGCGGCGGGGGGCCTGCTGCCCACCAACCTCGGCACGGGGGGATGTGGAGGGGGGATGAGGGCAGCCCCCGCGCCCCCAGCCTGCCCCGGTTCGGTGTCCCACCGAAACCCCGGTCTCTGGTTCCACCGCCACTGAGCCCCGCGCGACGGAGGTTTCCTCGCACTCCGGCTTCGCGGCAGAGCCGATGCTTCAGCTGCGGTGTTTCCCCCCAAGCGCCGTCTTTCGGCTGGTTCCCGTGCCGGTCTCGGCGAGCTTCCCGTCCTTCCCGCAGGTGAGGAGGACGATGGCCAGCCCGGAGGACGACCTCATCGGCATCCCCTTCCCCGAGCACAGCAGCGAGCTGCTGAGCTGCCTGAACGAGCAGCGGCAGCTCGGGCTCCTCTGCGACGTCACCATCAAGACGCAGGGGCTGGAGTACCGCACCCACCGCGCCGTCCTGGCCGCTTCCAGCCGGTACTTCAAGAAGCTTTTTGCCGGGCCGGGGCCGGGGCAGGAGGTCTGCGAGCTGGACTTTGTGGGGCCGGAGGCATTGGGCGCGCTGCTGGAGTTCGCCTACACGGCCACACTCACCATCAGCAGCGCCAACATGGGCGAGGTGCTGCGTGCCGCCCGGCTGCTGGAGATCCCCTGCGTGATCGCCGCCTGCGTGGAGATCCTGCAAGGCAGCGGGCTGGAGGCGCCCGGCCCCGACGACGGCGACTGCGAGCGCGCCCGCCGCTACCTGGAGGCTTTCGCCGCCCTCCCCGAGGGCGAAGCGCCCGCCCCGCCGCCCCCCCGCCCCGCCGCCCGCCGCAGCAAGAAGACCCGCAAGTTCCTGCAAGCCCGCGGTGCCCGGCTCAACAACCACGCCGAGGAGCCGCCTGCCGAACCCGAGGGCTGCGGCAGCCCCCCGCCACCCCCCCAGCCGCCCTCGCCCCCGCTGCCCGAGGGGCTGCCCCTGCCCTACGACAGCTTCGAGCTGCCTGAGGAGGAGGAGCTGCCCCCGCACTCCTTCCCCTTCCCCTACCAGCCCCCCCTGTCCCCAGAAGAGGCCGCCTCCGACGAGGATGCCATCGACCCCGACCTGATGGCGTACCTGAGCTCGCTGCACCACGAGTCGCTGGCGCCCGGGCTGGATACGCCCGACAAGCTGGTGCGCAAGCGCCGCTCGCAGATGCCCCAGGAGTGCCCCGTCTGCCACAAGGTCATCCACGGCGCCGGCAAGCTGCCCCGCCACATGCGCACGCACACGGGCGAGAAACCCTTCGCCTGCCAGGTCTGCGGGGTCCGCTTCACACGGTGAGTGCCGCCGGACGGTGACCTGACGGCGTCCCCCCTGTGCCACCTCCCCTGCCAGCCCTGTCCTGGCACGGGTGCGGCGCGGGTCCGTGGGGTCTCTGCGCCCCGTGAGTGCTGTGGAATGGACCCTCCCTGCTGCCACCCGGGGGTGCCCGGGGCAGTGTCCCTCCCCTGCCAGCGCTGCCTGGACCCCTGGTGTGATACAACACAGCCCCATTTCACAGCACCGCCGGTGCTGCGGCGGTCCCCACATACCCCCGGCCAGGCTTTACCCTTGCCACAGACCCCTAAGGGGGGGGGTGGCATTACCCCTTTGAATGCCCAGCAAGGTGCTTATGGGGTTGGGATGGCTCCAACCCCATGGATGCTTCCCCTGGGGGAGCTTACCTGGAGGTGGGCCAGAGCTCCCGGACCCCCGCACCTTGCAGAGCATCCCCGCCGCGGGGCTGCCGTGACCGGGCAGCTTCTTCCCCGAGGATGCCGGCTGCCCCGTGCTGACTCCTGCCTGTCCCGTGTGTGTGTGTGTGTGTGTGTGTGTGTGTCCCCTCCAGGAACGACAAGCTGAAGATCCACATGCGCAAGCACACGGGCGAGCGGCCTTACTCCTGCCAGCACTGCAGCGCCCGGTTCCTGCACAGCTACGACCTGAAGAACCACATGCACCTGCACACGGGCGCCCGGCCCTACGAGTGCTACCTCTGCCACAAGGCCTTCGCCAAGGACGACCACCTCCAGCGGCACCTCAAGGGCCAGAACTGCCTGGAGGTGCGGACCCGCCGCCGTCGCCGCGACGAGCCGCCCCCACCGCCCGCCGGTCCCCCCGGCCTCGACCTCTCCAACGGGCGGCTGGAGGGGCTGCGCCTTTCCATCGCCCGGTACTGGGGGCCGGGACAGCCCGAGGAGGAGGAAGAGGAGCAGGAGGGCGAGGAAGGGCCGCAGCCGGATGACACCGTGCCGGTGGAGACGGCGTAGGGCCACCACGACGGCGGGTGCCGTGCCGAGCCGGGCCGTGCCCACCGGGGTTTCTGTTCCCGTTTTTCCTGTCACGGTTCGTTCCCAGTTATGCAAAGGGGGAAACCCCCCTGGCCGATTTGCACAATGGGGTGGGGGGGGTCCCCGCCACCCCCCGCCGTGCCCGGGCGGCGAAACCCCAGCGGGGGATATTGGGACGCGGGGCGGGGGGGTGCGTAGGGGGAGCGTGTGTGTGTGTGTGCCCTAAACCCCGCCGTGGATGTGTGTTTCCCACCCCCCAGTGGGGCCGGGACCAGGCGGAGGCTCCCACAAACCGACCCCCCCCCACTACCCCCCATCTCCCGCCAACCAGAGAGAGCACGGGGCCCCGCGCTCTCCCCGGTTGGGGGGGGGGGGGGGGGGGCGGCCCAGCCCCGCCCCCCCCCGCGCTGTACATAGCTTGTCCTTCCCCCTCCCCGTCCCGAGCAGCCCCTCCCCGGCGAGCCCCCCTCGCCCCTGCACTCCCGGCTGCTTTCTCTTGGTTGCACTATTCGGGTGAGCCCAACCGGGTGCGGGGCAGCCCCGGCCCCCACCCGACCCCCCCCCCGACCCCCAACCCCACCCCGGCCCTGTGGGACCCCCCCCCCTTCCCCGGGGTGGCCGGGCCCCAGCGGTCACCCCTCTGCCCTTTGCACATGCCCCCCCCAGGGCGCAGCCCCCCCCCCCCGGGGGAGCAGGGGACCGGCACTATTTGCCTAAAATAAGAGTTTATCTATATTTAAAAAGATGATGTAATATATTCCCCCCCCCCCGGCCCCTCCGCTGCTGCCCGCCAGCGCTGCCTGGCCCCCGCGCGTCTGTCCCTTGCCATGGGGTGCCGGGAGGGGTGATGGGGACGAGGGGCTTGGCTCCCGTCATGGCTTTAAAGTGCCTTATGGTGAACTTGAAATTTTCGGCTACTTGAACCTCTCTGGTGTCAGGAACCAAACAAATAATCGGCGGGCGGCCACCCCCCGCCCCGCCGGGTCGCCTCTGTCTGTCTGTCTGTCTGTTTGTGTTTGTTTTTTTTAAACGAAGGCTGCTTGGTAATAAACGGAGAAGCAGGGACCCCCCCCCGTGCCTGGCTGTCTGTCTGCCCTGTACCCCGCTCCCCGGAGCAGCTCTGCTCAGGCCTGGGGGAGTGAGTGGGGCTGAGGGCACTGTGGGGACAGGGACAGGACTAGGGGCACCGTGGGCGTGGAGATGGGGGTACCATGGGGCTGGGGGCACCGCAGGGATGGGGATGGGGGCATGAGGGGCTGGGGAGACCACAGGGACAGGGTTGGGGGCACCATGGGGCTGGGGAGACCACAGGAACAGGGCTGGGGGCACCATGGGAATAGATATGGGGGCACTATGAGGCTGGGGACACCATGGGGGTGGAGATGGGGACACCATGGGGCTGGGGAGCTCACAGGGACAGGGCTGGGGACACCATGGGGGTGGAGATGGGGCACTATGAGGCTGGGGACACCATAGGGGTGGAGATGGGGACACCATGGGGCTGGGGAGCTCACAGGGACAGGGCTGGGGGCACCATGGGGGTGGAGATGGGGGCACTATGGGGCTGGGGACACCATAGGGGTGGAGATGGGGACACCATGGGGCTGAGGAGCTCACAGGGACAGGGCTGGGGGCACAATGGGAATAGGGCCAGGAGTGGGGCGGGGATGGAGCTGGGGACAGCACGGGGCTGGGGGCACCACGAGGTCGGGATCACCATGGGGTGCCAGATGCCAGCTCGGGGCACCGGGATGCTAGTGCCTTGAGGACTGGGTGCTTTATTCACCAGCCCATCCCCACCCACCCCAGCAGCTCCCAGCTTCCACCGCACTGCTCGGGCTCCAGCCACATCCCTAGAGCCTGGCCCCACGTCCTGGCCGCCGCGTGGCACCATCCTGGCGTCACCGGGCACTGCCCTTGCTGCTGGGTGGCTGCAGGGCCATCACCTCCTCCAGCTCACTGCCACTGCTCTCAGGCTGCTCCTGGTAACTGAAGTCCAGGCTGGGGGGGGGGGCCAGAGGGCAGAGAGGTGTTGGGGACCCCCCAGTGCTGGGGGTGCCAGTGACATCGCCACCCCCCATCGCCAGCCCTCACCTGGAGAGCGAGCTGTCCTCGCTGCTGTCCCAGTCACTCTCCCCACTCGCCTCCTCCTTCAGCTGGGCTCGCAGCCAGGCTGCCAGCTTGGGGGGCAGTCGCCGGCTGCCCCTCCGGCCCCCCGCCACCTCCTTGATGCGCTGCCTCAGCAATCGCCCTCGCTCCTGGCCCCGCAGCGCCCGCACAGCACCCAGCCACAGCCCCACCATCTCCTCATCGCTGGAGTCCCTGCAGGGATGGGGGCAAGGGGGTGGGCTGCAGCCCCCTCCTCCCACTGTGGCTCCCCCCCTGTCCCCGGTCTCCAGTGGGGTCCCTGGATCCCCTGCTCACATCTCCTCATCCCCGGTGTCCCCGTAGCTCAGGGGGCCCATGCAGATGGAGCAGATGTTGTTCAGGGTTTTGTAGCACTCACTGCAATACAACCCTGGGGAAAATAGATCTGTGAGAGCGATGGGAGATTTTGGGGGGGGGCAGGAGGGGTTGTCCCCAATCTAAGGGGGCTCCTACCTTTGCAGCCGGGCGTGATGCACGTGATGAAGTCTGGCTGCTCCGCTATCCCACAGGCCAAGCAGCTTTTCTGCTTGATGCCCAAGAGCCGAGCCAGCCGGTCAAAGCCAGGCACCCTGCAGGCAAGGAGCTGATGCTCCATGGCATGGGGCAATGCCACCCCTTGCCGTGGACCCCCGGAGGGGTGGCATTGACCCTTTGAATGCCCAGCAAGGTGCTTATGGGGTCAGGATGGCTCCAAACCCATGCTTGAATCCCCTGGGGGAGCTTACCTGGCAATGAGGAAGAGGAGCAGGTTGCCTTGCCTGGCGTCAGCCGTGCGGTGCATGGCGGCTTGGCGCAGGGCATGTACCAGCCCCGCGCGCCGGGCCAGGATGGTGCTGTGGAGGAAGATCATGCGCTCCTGGCGTGGCAGGGATGGGGGTGAGGGGGGGCAGGCGGTTGCCAAGAGGGGGGTGTGAGTAGGTGGTGGTGGGGGTGCTTCTCACCTGCTCGCGGCCCGGGTAGTAGGCAGCACACACCGCCCGGCGCAGGCGTGCCACGTGGCTGCCGAAGATGGCGATGAAGAGGCAGGTGCCGTAGAGGAGTCCTGGTGGGAAGAGGACAAATCACACAGGGGTGACACCCCCCACCTCCCCTGCACCCCCCACCCACCGTGCACGCTGTGGGTGCGGTGCCCCCAGTCACCCATGCTGATGTAGGTGCCGTAGTCGGGCTCGACGGGCTGGAGGAGGCAGCGCGGGGAGAGCACTGAGATGTTGCCCTGCTGCAGCACTTCAAAAGCAGAGACCAAGTCCCGGAAGATCTCGCTGGTGTAGCCTGTCCCGTTGACGCTGACACCCATCACCGCTGGCGCTGAGGGGCAAATGGCTCAGTTCTGGGGAGCGGGGCACCCACCACCCCAAGGCCCCAGCCAGCAAAGCACCTAAGGGTGCTGCTCTGGCACAGTGGATGCCGCTCACCCCTGCTGATGATCTCCCCTCGCAGCTGGTGCCGGATCAGGTCAAGCAGCCAGAAGAGGCTGTAGTCGGCCAGGATGATGCTGAGCCCCACCAGAACGTGGCGCAGGACCCCCACCAGCTGCAGCCCGTACTGGCGCCGCTCCTGCTGCGACAGCCACAGCGCGGCTGGGCGGGCACGGGAGAGCCGTGAGGCCGTGCCGTGCTGGGACCCCCCCCCGGAACCCCTGAGGCGGGGTTCCCCTGGGGGACACCCCCCGGGTATGGGGCTGACCTGGGGGGATGTAGCGACGCCTCTCCCAGGCTGACAGGGGCAGCACGGTGGGTCTGCCCTGCTCCGCTCGCTGCAGGTCCAGCGCCACGAAGCGCTGTGTGATGTAGATGTTGTCGAAGGTGTCATCCTTCATGTATCGGCGACGGTACCGCAGTGCCCTGGAGACATGGAGGGGGACGCTGGGCACCAGCACACTGAGTCCCCGTCCTTACGAGGGGCCAGAGTGGGACCCCAGCCCACTCACTGGAAATAAATGTAGAGGATGGCACAGAAGGAAACATGCGTGAAGAGCCCCAGGACCTGGCGGGTGGGCTCCAGCTGCGCGCGCACGCTCTCCATCATGTCCAGGGCCACCTCCCCCAGGCTCTTGCTGGCACTGAGGTTGATGTCGAAGCGGTGCACGGCTGAGATATTGAACTCGAACTCCTGGCGGACACGATCCATCGCATTTGTGAGGGCTGCAGGGGTGACAAGGGGTCACACAGTGCTGGGGGTTGGGGCAAGAGCCGGGAGGGGGGCACAGGGGGACCCCCTGACACCCCTGTGGCACCGGGATACTCACGGACTGCAACTTGCCTCCTGATGAATGCCTGGAGGTACCATGGGATGATGCAGAAGACGAGGGCAACTGTGGAAGAAGGGGTATCTCTGCCAGGGTAGGGTCCCCACGGTGGGCAGGGGTCCATCCCGCTGCCCTCCACCCTGCTGCAGAGGGGCAGGAGCCCACGCACTGTTGGCCAGACCACAGAGGGTCTTGAAGGCGACGATGATATAGCAGAGGAAGAAGAGGAAGGGGATGGTGCGCTCGCAGTTGTCCTTGGCTTCGTTGAAGAGGCGCACGCAGCGCTGGTACGGCGTGCCCAGCTCCTTGTTGCACACCCTGCCCACGTTCACCAGCCACCTCCAGACGTTGTACAGGACTCGGGCTGCAGGCAGGGAGAGGGGCATCAGGGGCCGGGCACGGGGAGACAGGGACAGGCCAAAAGCAGCAATGGGGGATGCTGGAGCTGAGGAGACCCTGGGGGAGCCCTGCTCACAGACGTGGCTGACGGAGTCCATGAGGGAGCGGAAGAACTTGCGGACGTGGTCACCCACCACCTTTGCTTTCTGGGATATCTCCTTGAGTTTGGTCAGCATGTCTGCGGAGAAGGGGGGAGCCCTGGCTGTATTCTGAGGGGTGAGGACAGGCCAGGGCTGGCCAGTGCTGCTGGCGCTCCCCTCGGAAGGGACCCTCCCGTCCCACCGCATCCCCCCGGCCCATCCTCTCACTCAGCAATGGCTCCTGGGCACGTTGCAGCCGCTCGGCTGTCTGGTTGAGGGCGAGCTCGGCCCCGCACGACAGCGACTCGGCGGCCTGGGAGAAGTTGTGCAGGATGTTGGTGCAGGGGCCCTGCACAGCCATGCCCAGCGCCAGCAGCAGCATCAGCATCTTCCCCTCCCCTGCAGGGACAGCGCAATCCTGGGGTTCAGCTGGGACCCAGCACCCGCCCCAGGGACTCCCCCAGCTCCTGGGAACGGGACCGACGACTGCTTACTGGTGAAGATGTGGGGCAGCGATAGCAGCACGGTGACCCGCACGTTGCCGGAGAAGGCCATGCCCAGCCCCAGCCCCGCGCCCAGGGAGATGGTGGTGACAAGGCAGTACCAAATGTTGTGGCCCTGCTCCAGCAGCACCATAGCCCCATACGCACTGGCCAGGACTATTCCCAACACGAAGCCACCAACGCTGCAAGCCAATTCCCGCGCCTTGTTCTCCTCCTCCCGACGAGGCTTCTTGCCCCCAGACCGTGGTGCTGGGTTCTTCCGCCGGCCTCTCAGCCCCCGCAGCCACGAGCCCAGCCCCATGCTGGATGGAGCTCTCCCAGGCTCCTGGCGCTCTCCTAGGCTGCAGGCGCAGGGATACGGCGGGCAGAACGAGCGGCTCACAATGTGCCGGTTCCGGGGGAGCAGCGCAGCGTTGTCGGTGCCAGGGGAGCAGCTCACTGTTGCCAGGACAAGGCACGGAGCCATGGAGCCGACGGCAACCCCTGAGCAAGAGGGCTCTGCTGGGACAGAGGCACAGAGAAAGGAGAAACCACCCAACACGAGTGAGATTCCCCTCTCATCCCACTCCCAACCGGGGCTGCCCGTGGGCAGTGGGAGAGGGCAGGGCTGACACCACCCTCCCCACCCAGCCCTGAAGCGAGTGGTGGTCTCACTGCTGCCTGCCCAGTGCAGCCAGTTCCTCTGGAGCCAGCCAGACCAGTACCGCACCAGCAAGTTCTTCCTGGGTGCCAGTGTTGGGACCCTCCTCGGCCTCGGTGAGTGTGCCCCGGTGGTGGGCACGGCGAGGGTCCGGTGGCACCAGGGGCTCAGGGCACATTTGTGGGTGTTTCAGGGCTCTGCCATCTCCTCATCCTCCCCATGAACATCACGAAGACGCGCAAGCTTCAGGTCTCCTGGGGGCTGGCGGGTGAGAATGGGGCCGAGAGGGAACTGGGGTGACAGGGGCCATTGGGGACCCTGGGGTGTTCTCTGTGGAATCATAGGGACAACTCTTCTCTCCCTACAGGGGTGACTGCCTTGGGATGGGCTATGTCCCCCCACTTTCGTTGTGCCAGCCTGCTCGTGGGCCCCAAATTCCTGGGGAAGGAGGGTCGGGTCTACGTTCTCTCCTTTGTCCTCGCCGCCATCTACAACGGTAGGGTCCCCCTGTGTCCCCGTCCTCCTCGGCAGGGTCCTGAGGGGCTGGCGGGGTCTGAGCCACCCCTGCTGGCGCCAGGGCCGGTGACCAACATCTGGCACAACCTGGAGGTGGTGACACGCTCGCTGGGCTGCGTGGCGGAGCTGCAGATCAACCACAGCCGCCAGCTCTGGCATCTGTCGACGGCCCCCATGCGCAGGGTGATGGAGGACATGACAGTGAGGCAGGAGACCCCGGGCGGGGGGCACAGGGGGGTGGGGAGACCGGAGCTGAGCCCGTGTGTGTGTGTGTCCCTGGCAGCGGAGCGGTCAGACGCTGAACACCGAGATGCAGAACATCTCACAAGCCTTCGTCGGGCTGAACGAGGAGGTGGCCAGCGAGGCGGGGTACGACCTGCGGCAGCAGCACAAGAACCCCCACTCGGCCACCAGCACCCAGCAGCTGTATGAGACAAAGACTAAACTGCGCTGCGACTGTGAGCAGAGCAGGCAGGAGGCTGGCAGCCAGGGGATGGGGCTGCTGCAGCCCCCCTACACCCCTTGCAGGGCACCCCAGATGGTGTCTGGGCCAGTGGGGCTGGCGGGGTGCATGGGCAGCTGAGGTCTCCTGTCCCCCCCCACCCAGATGTGATCAAGCTGGGCATGCAGCGCTGCCAGGACTGGTTCAGAGAGAAGCACGATGCTTGCATGGCGCAAGTGGTCGTGCCCATCATCAGCCACTTCCTCTGCCTGCCCATGAAGTTCTCTTTCCTCTGCAGCATTGCCAAGGGTGGGTGGCACGTGGGACTCGCACCCTGTCCTCCCTCAGTGGCTCCAGCTCTGTCCCCTGCAGCCCCTGGGGGGGGAAGCTGAAGCCTGTGCCAGGGCGATGCCCAGGGGTCCCGGCTCTGCCAGCACTGTCCCCGCTCCATCCCCGCAGTCATGAACAGCTGGTGCAGGGAAAACATCCCCGTGGAGGGCAACTTCGGGCAGATGTACGACCTGGTGAACAATTCTGTCAGCAACCTCAGGCAGGAATTCACTGCCAGTGTCGTCATCCAGGTGGGTGCCTGTCCCCTCCACCCAGGGCCAGGCTGGGGGCCAGATCCTGCTCAGCCCCATGGCCCCTCTGCTGCAGGAGGAGCATCGTGAGATGATTCTGGGTGTCAACGTGTCGGCGGAGCAGCTGATGGAGGAGGTGATGTCGCAGGTGCGGCAGCACGGCGCCCGCCTGAACCGGACCTTCTCCTTCTTTCGCCTGCTGCTCTCCTACACCTTCCTCCTCGTCTTCATCTCGTGAGCCCCAGGATGGGGGGGGGGGGGCGGGGGAAGCACCCCCTGTGCCAGCTGCAGCGCGTGGAGGTGTGGGGGCCTCTTTTGTCAGCAGGTCTGGGGGAGGCACGAAGACAAGGGGGGGGTGTTCTGGGGGGTTGTAGCCAGTCCTTTGCCCCTCCCTGGACTCCCCCCCGCCTCTTGCCAGGGCTTTCTCCTACACCAAGCAGTACTGCCAGGACATCTCCTTCGACAACCTCTACATCACCACCTACTTCCACCAAATCGATGCCCGCCGCAGAAAGCAGGTGAGGGGGAAGAAGGGACAAAGGAGGGTGGGGGCCCACTCCCGGTGGGGGTCCTGGGGGGCTGCGCTGAGCTGCCCTGCTTCCCTCTCCCCCAGCACAAGCGGACGCTGCTTCCCCTGCACCCGGCAGAGGTCTCGACCATCATTTTCCCGCGCCGCCTGGCCATGCAGCCACCTGAGCGGCGGAACATGGTGAGGGGCTGGCAGAGGGCCGGGGGGATGTGGGGCTGGGGCTGGGGCTGGGGGAGAGGGGGGCCCAGGCTGTGGCAGATCCCATCTCCCTGCAGGTGATAGAGCTGCTGGAGTGCATCCCACCCCTGCTCCTCCTCATCCTCGCCTGCAGTCTGGACCACGTGCTCTTCACCATGCTCAGCGTTATCGAGCAGCACTCCTTCGTGGAGTACTCCTTCCACAGTGAGCCCCCTGCCCCACGACGCGGGACGGCAGCCCCCAGCCCTGCAGCAATGCAAGGGTCACCCCCTCCCCTCCACCCGCCTCTCCAGCCCCACAGCCCCCCCCCTCCCGCCACGCTCCCATTCTGCAGGCAGCCACCACTTGTCCGTGAAGGTGACAGGCACATCCCTGATGGCTCGGCTCCTGCGGAGCACCGTCGGGGCCCTCAATGCCTCCTCCGACATCCAGTTGGAGACGTCCAACTTCGGTGAGTCCCCTCAGGGGATGGGACCCCCAGCCCCATGGCCTGGCCAACCCTGCCTGCGAGAGGGGGCAGGGCCCTGTCCCGGGGGGCTATCGCAGGGGGCTCAGCACTGCCACTTTGTCCCCAGCCTGCCTGCCACATCCCCGGAGCATGATATGGCAGCAGTACGTGGACAGTTGCCTGCCCTTGGCCGTGCTGGTGCTGGTCTGCCTGGTCCAGGTCTATATGTACCCGCCTGCGCCGTGTCATCGCTGCCTTCTACTTCCCCAAGGTGAGCAGCAGCCCCGGCGCCAGCTGAGGGCCCGGGGGAGACTTTTTGGGGTGGGCTGGTACCCACCCTTTGTGGTTTTCGCCGGCACAGCGGGAAAAGAGCCGTGTGCTCTACCTCTACAACAAGCTGCTGCGACAGAGGCAGAGCTTCGTCTACCGGCAGCGGAAGCTCATCGCCCAGCGTGCACGGCAGCACCCGGGGCTGGTGAGTGGGGACGGGGACGTGGGGCTGGGGGCTTCGCTGCCCCCTCATCCCGGGGTCTGTTCCCCTGTGGGGCGGCCGCTCAGCCCGAGCCCCACACGGCCTTGGTCTCGCCGCAGGGGACGTCGCTGCTGAAGCGGTGCTGCCAGCGCTGGCCGTGCCTGCGCCGCTGGATGCGTCGGCGCTGCACGGTGTGCGGGGCCCCTGAGAGCACCCGGGATCGGGTTTGCCCCGTGCCCGCCTGTGGCGCCCCATTCTGCGGGGTGTGCTGGAGGGATGCGGGAGGCATGTGCCTCGCCTGCACCCCCGGGGACTACGGCCTCTCCCAGGAGAGCAGCGAGGAGGACGTGGGGTACGCGGACTGAGGGCACCCGGGGGGGGGGACGCAGCAATAAAGGCGCTGGCCACCTGTACGCGGCGTGGAGTGGGGTCTGTGGGGTGCGTCTGTGGGGGGTCTCTGGTGTGCAGAGTGGTGAAAGGTGTAAGGGTGTTGAAGGTGGGGGGGTCTTCTGTGTATGGGATGGTGAACACAGGTGCCTCTGATTTCTGGGTTAGGGAAGGCGGGGGTCTCAAGAGTATGGGGTGATGGGGGTCTCCACTGAATGAGGTGATGAAGGTGGGGGTCTCCAATATACGGGAAAGTCAAGGCGGGGGTCTCCGGTGTACGAGGTGGTGAAGGTGAGGGTCTCTGGTGTACAGGGTGATGGAGGCAGGGGTCTCTGCTGAGTGGGGTGGTGAAGGCAGGAGCGTCTGGTCTATGGGGTAATGAGGGTGGGGGTCTGCACTGTATGGGATAACGAAAGCAGGGGTCTGCGGAGCACGGGATGGAGAAGGTGAGGGTCTTCACTGTACTGGGTGATGAAGGCAGGGGTCTCTGCCGCACGGGATGGAGCAGGCGGGGGTCCCGCTCCGCAGCGAAGGCGTCTCCGTCGCAGCGCCCCGGGCAGCAGCAGCCGGTTCCCGGCACCCCCGGAGCCGCCCCCGAGGCCCCCCCGGCACCGGGCGGGCGGGGCGGCGGGCGGGGCCGGGCGGGGGCCGGGCAGGAAGTTCCTCCCCCCGGGCCGGGCCGGGCGGCCGGTAGCGGCGGCGGCAGCGGCGGTGGCGGGGCCATGCGCGGCGGGAGCGGCGGCGGGGGCGGGTCAGCGTGGGGGGAGCCGCCAGCCCGGGGCCGCCGAGCCCCGCTCGGGCTGCGGGACGGCGATGGGGGCGCGGGAGCTCCGGCTGCTCCTCGCCGCGGGGCTGCTCCTCGCCGCCGGTACCGGCACCACCGGGAGCGGCGGAGGTGAGCGGGGACGGCGCGTCCCGGGGTGGGTGGTGTGTGTGGGGGGTCGGTCTGTGTCCCCCAGCCCGTGGGTATCCCTTCCTCCGGGGCATCGAGCGTGGACCGGCAGCAGCTCCGGAGGGCGGCCGTGCTTGCCGTCGGGGGGTCTGGACGGGACCGGACCGGGGGTCGCAGCCCCGGGGGATGCTCGGTGCCCCCCGGGGACCACGGGTTGGGCCAGCTGCGCAGCCGGCTGCGCCGTGGGGACCCGGCGCTCCCCGGGCTGGTGGGGCCGTGGGGAGTGGGCTCTGTGGGGGACCCTTGTCCTTCCAGCATCCTCCGGACCCCAGGAGGGTGGGGGGCGCCTGGAAAGCCGCGGGGAAGGGTGGGCTGCGGGGGGTGAGAGACTATGAGGCAGCCGGGCCGGTCCTCCCAGCCCTGCCCTGGTCCCCGAGCTGGTTGTACTGGGCAGCTGGGCCGGGGCTGACGCAAGCCCTGGCAGGGGACCCCGGGAAGCCCATCCCAAGGCAGGGGCGTGTTCTCCCCGTCCCCCTGCCACCTCCCACCGCGGGGGTCCCCTCCGGGTGTCCCCCAGGCTCTGCGGGGAGCCGGCACCCTGAGTAGCACTTGGGGCTTTGCCTGGGGGGCACCCCGGGAGCTGCTGAGGTGAGCGTGGGAGTCCCCATTCCTGCTCCCTGGCCCTGGGGGGCCCCGCTGTGACGGGTGGCTGTGAGGGACTGGGGTGTGGTGGGTGACGGAGCTGTGATGGAGCCGCTCTGGGCCACTGTGCAGGTGACAGCTCGCACCAGCGCCACGCAGAATGGGGACACTCCTGGCATGTGACCCCCTGGGTCCTGAGGGACAACCGGACACTCAGCCTGGCAGAGGCGACCCAGGTGAGCTCCAGCCTGTGTCCCTGGGGTGCCCACGCCACGCAGGGGTCTGTGACAGTGGGGTGGGGGCTGCCTGCACCCTGTCACTTCCCCCCGCCCTTTCCCAGTGCAGGAAACCCGGCATCCGTGTCCTCTGGCCCCAAGTTCCTGGGGGTCCGAGCACTCTGTGGGCACCCCCCAGAGGCTAGTGGTGGGGGAGAGGGGGCACCAAATCTCCCAACCCTTCCTCTCCTGATGCCGAGGGGGACCTTGCTGGGTCAGGGCACCCACCCTGTGCCCGGCACTCCTCCCGGCTGGGGCGGAAGGGCCCAGCCCGCCCCGCAGCCGTTGGGAGTCTCTCCGGCGTTTCCGCCGCGCTGCACCGGGCAGGAAGCGTGGGGGGCGGTGGGGGGGGGGCGGTGGGGGGACCTGGCTCCATCGGACCCCCCCCCCTTCCCCGGCACAATGAGCCCGGGAGGGAGGGACGCTTCCTGCGGGGCGCGAGGGCGGGGGCCGGGGCGAGCAGGGGATCCCTTCCGCCCCCTCCCTCCAGGCACACGCCAGGGCCAGGCGGGTCCCCTGGCCCCCCGCCGACACCCCGCTGAGGTCATGGCGTTTCAGAGGGTGTGGGGACAGGAGGGGACCCGCGGCTTGGGGCAGGGTTGGATCCTCTGGGGCAGGGGGTCTTCCTGTAACTGCTGCCTCTGGCAGGGGGGGTTCCCTGCCCAGTTGCGGGTCCTGCTGGAGCTGGAGGGGACGCGGCTGGTGCTGGAGCTGGAGCAAAACTGGTGAGTCAGTGGCTGGCTGGGGTGGAGCAGGGGTGGAAGTGGGATGGGGGTCCCGTATCCATGAATGGTGACTGTAGGGTGGGGGTCCCATGGGCTCTGTCGCCATTCGTGGTGCACAAGGGGTGGGGGTCTGGGGGACCCTCTCTCCATTCGCGGTGCGCATGGAGTGGGGGGCCTCTTGTTGCCCTTCTCCATCCATGATATGTGCGGGGTGGAGGTCCCAGGGACCCTGTCTCTATCCAAGGTGCACCCGCAGCAGGTGGAAGGTACTAGGGTCCCCATTTTCATCAGTGGGGTGAGCTGGGGGTCCCTGCTGCGGGGGTGACATGTGCCTCTGGCAGGGAGCTGGTGCGGGGTGCCGGGGCGCTGCTCTACTACCTGCCCAACGGCACGCAGGTGACGCGGGAGGCCAGAGAGCAGGTAGGATCTGGGCACGTTGTGTCCTCAGCGGTGTCCCTGAGCAATCCCCATGCCCCAGGGGAATCCCAACACGGGGCTGGCTCCTGAGTCCCCCTCTCTGCTGCAGGAGCACTGCTGCTACCGGGGGACGGCGCAGGGCTTCCCTGGCTCCTGGGCCAGCCTCTGCGCCTGCGCTGGACTCAGGTGAGACCCTGGTCCCGGCATTCCTCGAGCCCAGCTCCCACCGTGCTGCTGATGCCTCCTCTCCCCTTCCCCAGTGGCCACCTCCGGCTGTCGGAGACCAGGAGCTACGGGCTGGAGCTGGATGCTGGCAGCCCCCCAGGGCGACACATCGCGTACCAGGCGCGGGAGGTCCGGTTGGCACCACGGGCCTGCGGGCAGGGCCCCCTGGACCCACCCCAGGCAGAGGCAGAGGAGGCAGAGCCCCCCTGGCCACAGAGGGTAGGTCACCCATGGGTCTTGCCCCATGGGAGAGGGTCTCTTCGCCCACGTCCTTGACCCCCTCTCATCCCCCAGGGCAAGCGGGCGGTGGCGGAGCAGCGGTTTGTGGAGCTGGTGATGGTGGTGGACCACGCTGCGGTGAGTGCTGGGCAGGCATCCCTGGCACAGGGGCTGCCCTGCTCCCCCGCTGGACCCCCCTGACACCCCTCCCTGTACCCCCAGTTCCAGAATTACCCCAACCTGCAACGTGTCCGCACCCGGACCCTAGAAATTGCCAACCAGGTGGATGCGGTGAGTCTCCATCGTGACCTGCCAGGCACCATCCAGCCCAGCCCAGGGCTTGGCTCAGCTGTGCCCTTGCTGCTGTGGGGCTGGGGGTCTCTGACCGCCCCCCCCCCCCCCCCCCCCATTCCCCCCAGTTCTTCCAGCCCCTGGGATTGCGGGTGGCCTTGCTGGCAGTGGAGGTCTGGAGTGAGGGTGACCAGTTTGTGGTGGGTAGCAGTGCCCGGGCTGCACTGGAGCGGTTCCTGCGCTGGCGCCGGGAGGAACTGCTGCCCCGGCTGCCCCACGACAATGCCCAGCTCCTCACGTGAGTGGGGGACGGGACGGGGACGGGGGCCAGGGCGTGCAGGCAGCTCTCCCCGACCTCCGCGCTCTGTCCCCAGGGGCACCCGCTTCGAAGACGTCTCGGTGGGGATGTCTGCTCAAGCCTCCATGTGCTCCCCTACGCGCTCTGGGGGGGTCAGCATGGTCAGTACCACCCGTGTCCCCCCCATCCCTTCACTGCCTGCCTGCCCTGACCCCCTCCCCCCCCCCCCCCATCCCACAGGACCACTCGGTCAGCGTCCTCGTCGTTGCCTCCACTGTGGCCCATCAGCTGGGGCACAACCTGGGCATGCGTCACGACAGCGCCGGGCGCTTCTGCGACTGCAGCGACCTCCGGCAGGACCGCGGCTGCATCATGGCATCACCCACAGGGTAAAGGCAGCGGGTGAGGCCGCGGGGGGCTGGGTCTGAGCCCCCTCCCCGCTACATCATCCCCCCTTCCTGCACCACAGGCTGACACCCGGCTTGAGCTTCAGCAACTGCAGCCGGCAGGACCTGGAGCACAGCCTGCGGCAGGGACAGGGCTGGTGCCTCTCCAACGTCCCCGAGCCCCGGCGCCTGGCTGGGAGCCCCCGCTGCGGCAACGGCTTCCTGGAGCCGGGCGAGGGCTGCGACTGCGGCCTCAGCGTGGTACGGGGAGGGGGGTGTCTGGGTGGGCTGGAGTCCCCTCTGCAGCCACCCCTGCTTCTCCTGAGTCTGGGGGTGGCCGTGCCGTGGCTCTGTGTCCCGGCCCTGCTGTGGAGCTGGACAGGGGGGGCTGCTGGCGCCACCCACTCACCACAACCCCTGTGCTGGCAGGAATGCACCGATCCCTGCTGCAACAGCAGCATCTGCCAGCTGGTGCCTGGGGCCGAGTGTGCCACGGGGGATGCCTGCTGCCAGGACTGCCAGGTGCGCGGGGACAGGCAGGCAGTGGTGCTGGCTCTCCAGCTGCTCCCCAGGGTGGGTTTCTTGGGGGTCCCTGTTCATCTGACCGTGTTTCCCCCCCCAACCCCAGCTGCGCCGTGCCGGATACCTGTGCCGGGAGCCCCTGGGCGAGTGTGACCTGCCTGAATTCTGCGACGGGGTCTCACCACGCTGCCCACCCGACGCCTTCCTGCAGGACGGGCAGCCCTGTGCCGGTGGGCGAGCAGTCTGCTACGGTGGGGCCTGTGCCACCTACGAGGGGCAATGCCAACAGCTGCTGGGGCCAGGTATGGTGTGGCTGGGGAGGGGGCCAGGAGCTGGGGCAGGGTACTGAGGTTTGCTGCATCCCCCGCCTCCACTGCAGGTGCCGGCCCTGTCTCCAGCTCCTGCATGGCCTCCCTGAACGCAAAAGGGGATGAGCGTGGGCACTGCGGGCAGCTCCCCAACGGCTCCTACGTCACCTGTGCCCAGCGGTGAGTGCTGTCTCCAGCTCACTGTCCCCCCATTGCCATCCCCGCCCCTGCCCCTGACCTCCCTCGGTCTCTGCAGGGATGCTGGCTGTGGGATGCTGCAGTGCCAGCGTGGCAGCACCCACAGGGACAGACCAGAAGGGTCCTGCCAGGGCACCCTCCTGCCTGGGGATGAAGATGTGAGTGATGCAGCTATGGTGCTGCCGGGCACTGTCTGCGGCCCTGGGAAGGTGAGCACCAGGGTGAACGGGAAAGGAGCCGGGGGGCTCGACTGGTGCTGACGCCCCGTCCCTTGGCAGGTGTGCCTCCAGCGCCGATGCCAGGACATTTCCACTCTGGGTGACCAGCAGTGCCGGAGCAAGTGCCACGGGCACGGGGTGAGCGCGGGGTCGGGGATGGGGGTGGATGCTGGAGGTGGGGACCTGCCAGGGGCTGAATCTCAGTGTCACCCACTCAGGTGTGCAACAACCACGGGCACTGCCACTGCGAGCGGGGCTGGGCCCCCCCAACCTGTGAGAGTCCCGGCGCGGGGGGCAGCCAGGACAGCGGCCCCGCTGCCCTGGAACGAGGTGAGGGCAGAGGCAGGCAGCCGCCGCCGCGCAGAGAATGGGGCTTTGTGCAGCTGGAGCTGGTGTGGGGTGCAGCGGGGGGGGGGCTGACGTGTCACTCTCCACAGGGGGGAGCGCCCTGCCCACCGCCCTGCTGCTGAGCGCACTGCTGGGGCTGGCCCTGGCACTGGGCCTCTGCTATGCCCGCCGTGCCGGGCTGCACAAGCACCTCTGCCAGCTCGGCAAGGGGACCTCCTGCCAGTACAGGTAACCGAGACAGCGGGGAGGGGTAAGCGCGCCAGTGTCGTGCATGCCTGCCGCGTGTGTGCACGCGTGTGCCGCGGCAGGGAGCGGAGCTGCCCGCCCGCATGCGCGGCGCCTGGCGGGGCGCGTGCACGTGCATTCGCACCCACACGCGTGTGCATGTCCTGTGGCGGCTGACAGCGCCGCGTGCATGCGTGTGTCCCCGAGCGGGGGAGTCTGTGTGCGTGCCTGTGTGCATCCCCCCCCCCCACACTCCCACCCTCCCCCCCGGCGCAGGTAGCAGACCCTGTCATGCATCGTCCCTCCATGTCACTGCGGTTCCTCCCTCTGTGTCGCTGCAGTTGCTTCCCCCCCAGCCCCAGGCTGAGCCCCCCCACTCTTCTCCCCACAGCGCTGAGACCCGGGTCCGATTCCTGGGTCCAGAAGCCCCAGACGGCTGGAGCGGGTAACGTCACTGCCGGAGCCTGGGCGTGGGGCTGTCCCTGAGCCATCCTGCTTCGCAAGGCCTCCGGTGCTGCGATCTTCCCCTGGCAGTGCCCGTGGGGTGTGGGGCAGCCCCGGGGTGCAGGGTGTCGCATCTGCCGGTGCTGAGGGGTTCGTTTCTCTTGGGCTTCTGCTGGTCTCTGTGTCTCTCTGCCGTGCGGGGTCCCCCGACTGCCTGGAGCGAGCGGGGCCCGATCCTGCCTCTTTTCTGCAGGATCTCACAGCCGGAGCCCCGGTCGGGCAGCCAGGGCCCCCCCGAGCGCCCCCGGCCCCCACAGTGGCGTCAGGCCACGGAGCTGCAGGTCATGCACAGCAGCAAGGTGAGAGCCAGGGAGCTGAGGCTGGAGGGGGCTGCTGGCAAGGGTGATGCTGTCGCCATGGTAACAGGCTCTGGTTGCCGTGGGTACCGGGGTTCGGTCTGGTTGTTGCCGTGGAGGCAGCCCTGGGTACCAGCTCTGAGCATCCCGCGTGGTTCGACTCGGCGGCACCCCGGGACGGGAGCAGCCTGGCACGGCCCTGACCGTGCGGCTCCGCTGCCCTGTGCCGTGCTCAGCACCGGCCGCCCAGCTCCGGGATCGCAGCAGCCATCCAAACCAGGGCTGCTGGCGTGGGGCCAAGCCTCACAGCGGGGTGTGTGTCTGTGTTTGGGACGGGGGGGGGGGTGGTTGAAGTCTTTGCTTTGCGGTGGGAGGGGGGTCTCTGCATGCTGCATGGCTTGCCCTGCTCCAGGGCTGCATGGCGCGCCTGCCCCCCTCTTCCCTCTCTCCGCAGCCGGCTGCCCTCAGCTCGGCACGGCCTGAACCGCCGTCCCGGCCTCTCCCGCCGGACCCTCCTCCCAAGGTAACCCACCGGGTTGGGGTGGGGGTCCTGGGCAGCACCTCCCTGGCCGCTGGCCACCGCTGCATGCCTGGCTGCGCACCAGTTCTCGGGGACCTGCTGCGCCCCCCCCCCCCCCCCCCAAAAAAAAAACCAAAACCTTCCTGCCTGCCGCTTCCTGAGTTGTCCCCCGGCTGTCTCACTGTCCCTGCTTTCTCTGCCCAGGCCCCCCCCTCGGACAGGCCGCCCCCCCCCACACGCCCACTGCCTGCGGACCCCGTGGCCCCCGGCACTCAGGTAACGGCAGCACGGTGGCGGCACCGGCGTGTGGGGCAGGACAGCGTGCACCGGGGCCGGGGCTTCCCGTGCCCCACCTTGGGGCAAGGGGAGGTGGTTGAGACACGCCCCCCCCCCCCCCCCCAAGCCCATCACGGGGGGGGGGGTTGGCCTGTGCCGGAGCTTTGACACCCTCGTTCCCCTGCAGCCCCCAGGTCCAGCCAAGCCCCCTCCGCCTCAGCGGCCGCTGCCCTTGGACCCCCCCGGGACTTTGCTCCCCCCCAGTGACACACCCCCCGGGCACCCCTATGTCACAGTGATTCCCTCCAGGTGAGCATGGGGGGGGGGGGTGCTGAGAGGTGCGATGTTGAGGGGGGGGCTACATGGCATCAGACTGGGGTGCTAAGGGCTGAGGGGGGGGGCACAGCAGGGGGTAAGGATGGGAGGCTGTGGGGTGCTGCGGGGGGGGGGGGGGGGGGGGTAGAGCTGAGAGGAATGGGGTGCCAGAGCACGGGGATGGGTGCTGCAGGGGTGTGAGGGTGGAGGTGGAGTGCAGGGGGGCTGTGGGGAGCCGGAGCACGGCTCAGTGTTGGGGGGCCATGGCGCGGCCCCCGCCCCATCACCTCCCGCCTCTCTCCCTCAGGCCGGCCCCCCCGCCGCCGGCGGGGGCCCAGCGGGAGGCCTGAGCCGCGGGCCGGGGCCGCCGCAGCGCTGGAGCCGCGGGGGGAGGCGTCGCCCCCCGCTTGTGTGTGTGTGTCGTTCCCCCCCCCCCCCCTCCCACCGCCGACGCCAATAAAGGGCTGTGAGCTGCCGCCGCGCTGCCCCCGCCGGACCGGGAACCCGGGGCGGGGGGAGCGGGACAGGCCGCGCCGTCCCGCGGAACTACAACTCCCGGCGGCCCCCGCGGCCCCCCCCCTCCGCTGGAAGTGGTGCAGGAAGTGGCTCCTGGCTCGCTACCGCCCCCTGGCGGCGACTGTGCGCTCAGCCGCCCCCGGGAGGGGGCGGGGTCTCCCCGGGAGCCACGTGTGCACGGGCACGTGCGGGAGCCGCCCCGCCTGTGCGTGGGCATGCGTGTGCAGGGACACGTGTGTGCATGAACACACGCGTGTGCACGAGCCCAGCCGTGTGCAGGGACACACGCGTATGCAGGATCCAGCCCCTGTGCACGGACGCAGTGTGCAAGATCCAGCCCGTGTGCAGGGACACACGTGTGTAGGAGCCACCCTGTGTGCACATAGCCATGTGTGTGCAAGGACACACGTGGGCAGGGACACACACGTGTGCAGGAGCCCCAGTGTGTGCACACGGGCTTGCATGTGCAGGAGCTGCCCTGTGTGTAGGGACACACACGTGTGGAGGGATACACGTGTGCAGGAGCGCTCCCTGTGCATGGACACACATGTGCAGGAGCTGCCCAGTGGGCGCACACACACGTGTAGGAGCCCCCCCATGCATGGGCACACGCATGTGGGGGAGCCGGCCCATGTGCATGGACACACACATGTGCAGGGACACCTGTGTGCCAGAGCCTCCCAATGTGCACATGGGCATGCGTGTGCAGGAGCAGCCCCGTCTGCAGGGACACGTGTGTGCAGGAGCCCCCCCCGTGCATGGGCACACCCGTGTGCGGGAGCCATCCCGTGTGCATGGACACACACATGTGCACGGTCACACACGTGTGCAGGAGCCGCCACACCTGCACGCACACCCCGACCAGCACCGTCCCACCCCACCCTCGGGTCCCGCCGCCCCTGCCCGGTGCCGGTACCGGCGTCCAGTGGGTGCCGATGCACGGCTGGGGGAGGGGTGGGCGCGGGGAGCCCCCGGTGCTGCCGGTCCCGGGTGCCCGGGCCGTGCTGGGTAGTGCATGTCCCGGTGCCCGTCGATGCCCACGGTACCGAGGCGGTGCCGGGTCGTGTGTGTGTGTGGGGGGGGGTAACGGGGAAGCCGGTCCCGGTGCCGGTTCGTTGCCGGGGGTGCCGGTCCTGGTGCCCGTTCGATACCGGGGGTGCCGGTCCCAGTGCCGGTCCCGGTTCGTTTCCGGGGGTGCCGGGTTGGGGCGGGGCTGCCTGTCCCGGTGCCGATCCCAGTGGATGCCAGGGATGCCGGTCCCGATCCTGGTGCCAGTCCCGGTTCGATGCCGGGGGTGCCGGGTTGGGGCGGGGCTGCCGGTCCCGGTTTGATGCCGGGAGTGCCGGTCCCGATCCCGGTGCCAGTCCCGGTTCGATGCCGGGGCTGCCGGGTTGGGGCAGGGCTGCCGGTCCCGGTGCCCGTTCGATGCCGGGGGTGCCACTCCCGCTCCCAGTGCCGGTCCCGGTTCGATGCCGGGTTGGGGCGGGGCTGCCGGTCCCGGTGCCCGGTGGATGCCGGGGGTGCCGGTCCCGGTTCGGTGCCGGGGGTGCCGGGTTGGGGCGGGGCTGCCGGTCCCGGTCCCGGTCCGATGCCCGGGGTGCCGGGATGAGGTACCAGGGAAGCCGCTCCCGGTGCCGGGGTGCCGCCCCCTTTCCCCCCCCCCCCAAAGGGTTAATGGCACTCGGGGAAGTTGCCGGGCGGCGGCGCGGCGCGGATTGGCCCGAAGTTGGCGGGGCGGGCCGGGCCGTGCCGAGCCCCGCCGTGCCGGGCCTCCCCCCGCCCCGGCCCCGGCCCCACCGCCCCCCGCCGCCGCCGCCGGCGGAGCCATGCGCCCCGCGCCGCTGCTCGGGCTCCTGCTCTGGGCGCCGCTGCTCTGGGCGCCGCCGCCGCCGGTGCGCGACCCCCGCCACCGAGTCCACTGGAACGGCAGCAACCCCAGGTAGCGCCGCCGGCCCCCGCCGCCTTTGTGCTCCCCGGGCCCCGCCGAGCCCCGGGCCCGCGCTGCCGGGAGGGGCGGGGCGGCGGGCGGTGGGCTCCCGGGAGGGGCGGAGCTGGCGGGCACCGAGCCCCGGCGCTAACCGGGCTCCCCCCGGTGATACCGAGCCGGGGAGTACCTCCCGGTGGTACCGAGCCACCGGGCACCCCCAGGTGATACCGAGCCGGTGAGTACCCCCGGGTGGTGCCGAGCCACCGGGCAGACCTGGTGGCACCGAGCCCCGGGTGGTGGCGAGCAGGTGAGTATCCCCCGGTGGTACCGAGCCGGTGGGTACCCCCGGCGGTGCTGAGTCCTGAGCTACCGGGCATCCCCGGCGGCACCAAGCCCCAGGGTGGCACCGAGCCGGTGAGTGGCCCTGGTGGTGCTGAGCCCCAGGTGGTACCGAGCCACCGGGCATCCCCAGGCAATATTGAGCCACCGAGTACGCCCAGGTGGTGCTGAGCCCCGGGCAGTACCGAGCCACTGGGCACTGCCAGTGGCACCGAGCCCTGGGGGGTATCGGGCAGGGGATACTGAGCTTGGGGTGGCACCAAGCCGGTGGGCAGCCTTGGTGGCACCAAACCCCACTCAGTACCAGGCCGGTGGGCAGCCCTGGTGATGCCACGTCCCCGGTGGCACCAACCTGCACCTAGCCCGGGTGCCCACGGTGCTGCTGGGCTTTGGGCATCCTCAGGTGGCACTGAGCCCAGGCGCGCTTGCTGGGCATGGGGCTGGTGGGCAGCCCGGGGGCACTTGTTTGGTGGGCACCGAGCCTGGGGGCACCCTTGGTGGCATCAAGCTGGTGGGTGGCACTGCCAGGGCTGTGGGTCCGCGTGGCGGATGTCCCCACTGGTGGGGGCCACCAGGCACAGCCCAGCCCCTGCCTGGCCAGCGGTGCTGCCCGTGGGCTCTGCCGTCATCGGTGGGCCCAGGTCTGGCCCCATCCCTCCTCCTGGCCTCCTCCATTTTAGGCATTTCCCAGCGTGGGGCTGCTCGGGGGGGAGCGGGGAGGCAGGGTTGGGGAGCTGTGCGGGGGGCCCAGGGGTCTCGTGCCCTGAGCCCGCAGCGCTGGGCTGGAGCAGGTGGCCACACGCTGGGCCGGGCTGGGGGCACCGATGCTGCCTTGCTCCCCCCTCCCCGGGAGCGGGGACCTGCGGATGGGAGATGTGGGAACCCACCACCCAAGGATGCCCTGGGAAATGGGGGGGGCTGCGCGCCCCTCCGCAGGGTCAGGGCAGGTCCCCGGCCCCCGGCAGCCCTCGGCCCTGCCTGGGCTCGTCCCGGCCAGCGTCGCCCGGCAGGATGCTCTGAGTCAGCGGGGAGCCTGCGCCCGGTCCTGTCCTCGAAGAGCCCCCGGCCTTGGGGGGCGGGGGGGTGGCTGCGGCCCGAGCCTCCCCGGCTCGACAGCGCTGCTGGCCCGGTGATTAATGTACTGGCCTTTGCCGCAGCTGCCAGGAATCTGTGCCTGGTGTAAACACTCCCTGTGCCTGCACCGGGGCAGAACGAGCGGGCTGGAGCCGGCCGGGGTCTCCCCGGCAGGACGGGGTGACCCTGCCAGGCTGGGCAGCAGCTCGGCAGCCCCATCCCTGTTACGGTGGTGCCGGCAAGGCCGGGGCCCTGCCAGGCTGGTACGTGCCCAGGGTGCGGCAGGATCCGGCTGGTTGGGAGATGCGGGTGCAGGTTGCTGCTCTGCCAGGGCTGGGAAAAGGGTTGGGGTGTGTGTGTGTGTGTGTGTGTGTTCCTGCTCTGTCCCCTGTTGCAGGCGGGCAGCACCAAGCACATGCATGTGTGTGTGCACATGTGTGTCTGCATGCGTGTGCACGCATGTGTGTGCCTGCAGAGGTGTCTGCTCCACCCTGGCCTGGCTGCACGCGCTGTTTGCACAGGCGTGAGCTCATGCCGCCGTGCCGGTGCCTGCCTGCCCGCGCAGGTACCCAAGCTGGGCCCCCTCCCCAACCTGCCCGGCCGGCAGACCACCCCCCCGTGCCCCCTGCCCCAGGGCCCCCCCCCCCCCAGCACCACGCCAGTGCAGCGGCAGGACGCGGGGTGGCCCCCCCGGCCCCCCGCCGGGGTGTCAGCACTGATCAGCGTTGGGGGCGGTGAGGCGGGTGCCTGGGGCGAGGGGCTTTGTGCCCCGGCTGGCGTGGCTGGGCTTCCCCCTGGCCACAGCGGCTGAGCCCATTCAGCTCCAGCGGCCTGCAGCTAATCCAAGCTGATGCCTGGTTGTGTGGGGCCGGAGGGTGCCCTGTAGCTGTTTTGGGGAAAAACCCTGGCTACCTGCTCTGCCCGGGGCAGGGGGCAGTGGGGCAGCCCTCCCCGGGGGACAGCAGGACTCCCGGCGCCCGCTTCCCGGCTTGCCCTGCCCGGCAGGTTCCTGCGGGACGACTACACCATCCAGGTGGCCATCAATGACTACCTGGACATCTACTGCCCACACTACGAGGGGGCTGTGCCCGCCGGCCGGGCAGAGACCTTCACGCTCTTCATGGTGGACCAGGAAGGCTACCGCGGCTGCTACGAGACCCCCGGCGCCTTCAAGCGCTGGGAGTGCAACCGGCCCCAGTCGCCCTTCGGGCCCGTCCGCTTCTCCGAAAAGATCCAGCGCTTCACCCCCTTCTCGCTCGGCTTCGAGTTCCAACCGGGGGAGACCTACTACTACATCTGTGAGTGCCCCTGGGGCGCAGTGGGGAGGGGGCACCGGAGGCTGGGTGCAGCCAGGGTCGGGGTCCCACTGGGGTTCAGGTGGGAACCGGGTTTGGGGCACGTGGGAGGGTCGGGGTGCACCGGGGATCTGGATGTGACTGGGGTTGGGGTGCATGGGAGGGTCTGGCTGCACTGGGGTTCTGGCTACAACCAGAGTTGGGGTGCGCAGGGGTGTGGGTGGCGAGTTGGGATGCAACCAGGGTTGGGGTGCAGGGGAGGGGGGGGGGATCTGGCTGCACCCAGGGAGCTGGATACAAGAGGGATTATTACACATAGGGGAGGGTTGGGATGCACGGCGGGGGGTCTGGCTGCCCCGGGGTGGGAGGGTGCGGGGGGTGCCAGCCCCGCAGGCCGCCGGGAGGGGGCACCCCAGGCCCGGGTCTGGCCCGGCCCGGCTGTTGCGGGGGTCCCTTGCTGGAGCCGGGGCGGGGGGGGGGGGACCCGCTGATGTGTCCCCTCTGCTCAGCTGTCCCCAGCCCTGAGAGCGCCGGGCGCTGCCTGAAGCTGCGCGTCTCCGTCTGCTGCAAAAGCACCAGTGAGTCTGACTGGGGGGAGAGGGGGGATGCAGCTGCGCCCCGAAAGTCTGGGGCTCCCACTGCCCTGCCTCTGGGACAGCCTGGTCCCCGCTGGGGGGTACTGGAGCCTCGGGGGCCACACCGTGTGCCCCAAGGGGAGCTGGTCGCCAACACCATCGGTGTTTGTTTCAGCCCCAGAGCCAGTGACGGAGGTTCCCAATTCGCAGCCCCGTGGGCGTGGGGGGCCGGAAGGTGAGTATAGGGCGGGCAGAGGGGGTGGGGGCTGCTGGGGGGGGGCCTTGGCTCGCCCTGACCTCTGCTCCTGCCCTGGCAGATGCGGTGCCCGCCCAGGGCATCGTGGCCCCGCTGCAGCCCCACACCCCGTGCCTGGTGCTCGCGCTCCTGGCCCTGCTCTGGATCTGACCCCCCCGGCGCTGCCCATGGCGGGGAGACGGGCTCCTCTGCCCCACCGCCCGCTTCCAGACTCTTCCTCCACCGCCATCCCCCCTCCGCCAAGCCCGTGGGGCAGCCCCGGGCCACAACTCACCCACCGGACCTCCACAGAGCCGAGCCGGGGCCAGGAGCTCTGGCCTGGAAGGTGAGAGCGGGGGGGCTCCAGGGCGGTGGGTGCTCCTGGGGAGCGGAGCCCCTCACTGCACCGCAGCATCCCCTGACAGGGCTCTCTCCCTCCCAGGGACCTCGCTTCCCGCCAGCATTGCCGCACACCGGCCCCGCCGGCCACCCTGCCCCAGCGCTGGGCTCCCCACAGCTCGGCGGACGCCTGCTCTGCCCCAGGGCCATCACCTCATCTCGTGCCTTCCCCCATGGACCCCCCACCCCAGGGGGCTGGGGACCCCCCAGGCCCTGGAGTGGGGCGGCAGGCGCCCGGCCCCCGCTGCTGCCTTGTCCTCCGGCGAGGACACACCGATCTGTCTGATCTGTCTTCTGGGAAGACGCCCTCCTCCTCCATGCCGTCACCGGCCCCTACGGTTTGGTTTTAACCCCTGGTAGTGACTGAGCCGAGCAATACAGTGTTTGCAAGATCGCTGCGACCTCAGACTGTGCAGCCCCCCCTCTCCCCTCCTCCGGTTTCGCGTTGCCCACGGTCCCCGTCCCTGCAGGGATGCTGGAGCACAGGCTGGGGCGGCCGGTCCCCGAGGGCGCTCGCCACCTCTCGCCACAACCTTTAAGGCCGGGGGTTTCATCGCAGCGGTTTGATATTGAGATGTCAGCTCATGTCACAGGGAGAGCTTTAATTACAGATGAGCTGCCTGCAATTAGCGCCTGGCAGCGGGACCCAGAGCCGGCCGCTGGCTCCTGGGACAGGACAGGGGCAAGGGGGCTGGGGGGGTTTGAGGGGTTGGTCACCCCAAGCCCCTGGCCAGGCACTGTGGTCCCACTTGCTGCCCTCGGGCTGTCCGCAGGACGGTGGTCCTCTGTCCATCTGCCCACTGCACTCCCCATTAGGATGCATGGCGCGGTAATGGGGCCGCGGGGGGCCGCAGTTGGGATGTCACCCTTTGCTGACAGGGCACCCTGGTCGCTGCGGGGGCCGGTGTCGTGGTACAGGTGGGTCCCAGCTGGGGTCGTGGCTCCGGTGCGGCCACGGGATGGAGCAGGCAGTGCCGTGCCCCAGGCTTGCCTGCCAGCAAGAAGGTTACTCAAAGCTCCTGCAATGCCTCCTGTTCCCCCACCCGGTGGGTGCAGCCCCCTGCTGCCCTCCTCGGGGTGGGGGCTGAGCTCCCCACAGGGCTGCCAGCAGCTGGGCCCCCACAGCCCCCTCCCCGCGCAGGCGTTGCCAGCCGCCTGCCGCAGTGGTGCTGGGCACGTCAGACAGGTTTTATGGCTTCTCGGAGAAACTGCTTGGCAAGAGGCTGAGCAAAAGCATCGACCGCGCCACGCCCCTCCCTCCCCCACCCCCCCCCAACTATTGCCTGCCCTTCCTCCCTCTGCACCCCACAGCCCATCCTCGCACCCCATCCTCAAACAGATAGGGGCACCCCACCCCCATGGAGGGCAGCAGGGCCTGACCCCAACACGAGGCCCACAATGGTGTCTGCTCTGTGGGACCCCTCCTGTGGGATGCTGGGGAGACTTGTGCCTTGTGGGACCCCCCCCCAATGTGGGGGTGACACCATCTGGGGGGTGACTATACCCAAGGGACCCTCGTGTGGGATGGTGGGTGCAACCATGTCCCAAGGGACAGCCATTTAGGGATGCTGGATGGGGACATCCCCCAAAAGACCCCCATACAGGGACGTCAAGGGGTGATGGTGACCTGTGGGACCCCCATGCAGGGATGCCGGGGGGTGCCCATCTCCTCACCCCAGTCCCCCAGGGCTTTTCCAGGTGAGGCCGAGGGGTCCCTGCGGGCACCCACGGGTGGGTGCGGGGTCTGGGAGCAGCAGGGGCCCTGTCCTTGAGCGGGGCTTGCTTGGTATGCGGGAGCCGCTGCCGGCTTCAAATCCCATCGACTTCCAATGAGCAATGCCATCAATAAAAGCTAATTGATGGCACGGCCGCTCCAAATCAGATTCCCCGTCCCCTGAATCGAATTGATGGCTCCGCGCCCCGCAGCCAGCCACGGCAGAAATTGAATCTATTAAAGGAATAGGCTCCATTAGCCCGTCCCTTCTGTCTCACGATCTCCCCACCTCGGGGCTCCCCCCCCCCTCAACAATGCCAGCCCCTCCTCCAGGTCCCCACTGCCACCCACACCAGCCAGGATGCTCGGGTGCCAGGACACCCAGATCCCAGTGGGGAAGGCGTGGGGTGAGGGTGCCTGGGCGCCCTCAGCCAGTGGATCCGTGCCCCACGGAGCAGCCCCAGGCACTGCGGGTGGGTGGGAGTTAAAGCTTTGGAAATTGGGAAGGAAAAATTTATTGCCAGGAACTGAAAACGATGTGAAATGGTAATAGGCAGCCCTGAGATGAAGAGGGGGGATAAAGAAGCGGCACGCCATGCCGACAGCCGGGGAGCCACAGCGGCGTGGCGGGAGGTGAGATGGAGGCATGGCACGGCCATGCCCAGCCATGTCCCTTGGGCTGTGGCACCAGCATGAGCCTGGACACGGCTCCGTGGTGGCTCCCGGCAGCATGCAGGGAAGCTCCTGGCACTGGGTTGCCCGCCCGGCTACACTGCTGGGGTGCCCCACCCAGCTATGTCAGGACAGGGGCTCTGGGATGCCCTGACACCCCTCACCACCCTGGGGTGAGGGTGAGGTCAACCACTGTGGCCATGCCAGGGGCAACCCCAGGACACAGAAGGTGGGATGTGGAGCCCAGCAGCCCCTCCCTGCCTCCCCAGGGCTGGAAGGGGGGAGCACAGCCCCCCCCAGGGCAGTGGGGCCCGTCGCTGACTGTCTCCCATGGGCGCAGGCCAGCAGCTGCAGCCCCCACCCAAGAGCTGCAGAGAGCATCCCGGAGATGGGAAATGGTTCCGTGTCACCATGGAAACGGGGCCACCGGCTCGCCATGCCGAGGGGACACGCCAAGCCGAGGGGACATGTGTACCGAGCCTCAAGGAGCTCAGCACTGGGTGAGCCAGGCACCGGGCACGATGTACCGGACACCAGGCACGGGCCGCAGGCTCCCCGGCACCTCGGGGCCACGCCACAGAGCCCATCACCCACCTCAGGCCTCCTCCCACATCACCCGGCGGTTGTGGGCACACGACAGGGTGCCATCCCAGTGTGATGCCACCCTGGTGCCTTGCCACCCCAGCCCGGCAGCTCTGCACCACCGCACCGGTGCTCAGCACTGGGTGCACAGGGCCAGAGCCAGCTGTTTCCCTGAGCAGCCGCCTGACGATGCGCATCAAGGTTATAATTTAGCAAAACACTCAGCAGGGGCTTTGGAGGGAGCTGGCCCGCGCCAGCTAATTAGCCAGAGCTGCACGCACCGAGCCCACACCTGCCATAGCAATGAGGGTACGGGCACCGGGCATGCCGGCTCGCACCGGCACGGCACAGGCGTGCAGGGGCTGTCACATCCCGTGGGGCTGGGTGCCGGGTGGGCACATGTGTGTCCGCTGGCCAATTCTCACTGCCGGGTGGGAGCCAAGGGCACCACCGCTGATCTCCGCTGGCCGGGGGGGCCTGGGAGGCAGCGGGGAGGAAGTGGGGGAGCGTGGGGTGCCAACCCGGGCCAGCGGTGGGCTCACGCAGCTGGGGCTACGGGTGCAGGCAGACGCTGCCCGCACGCGTCTCCATTCTGCGCTGGGGTGTCCGGCCATCCCTGCCTGTGTTCATCTGCCCATGCTGGGGTGCCGGCAGCAGCTCGGCAGAGCTGCCCCCCCCCTCCCCACCCTCCAACCCCTCTCCCAGCCCGCTGTAATCCTCATGGACAATAATCCTGCTGTGCCGAAGCTGGGATGGGCAGGAGCTGCCCTTGCAGCGGCAGCGCGATTCAGCTGCCGGCTCTGTCGGTGCTGCCAGCACCCGTTGCATACTAAGGGCCTGCGGTGCCGGAGCTGGCTCTGCTGTGGCCCGGGGTCCCTGTGCTGGGACCCTCTGGATCCCTGGGGACGGGGCTGGTGGCCCACGGGAGCCCCAGCCTGCAGTGTGGAATCTGGCCCCAGGCACATGGGCAGGGTGCGGGCAGGGTGCAGTCAGGGCTCCCGCCTGGGTTTTAAGCCTCTTGTCCTATTGCCTCTCATTGGTTTTAAGCAGAGACAGGTCTATCCTGGGACTTTGGGGCTGGCACTGGCCCAGCTGGCAGGAGGAGAGCGGAGCCACAGCTTGGCAGTGCCTGGGAGGGGGATTGGGACAGGAATGGGTTGGTGCAAAAGACCCCCCCCCACACCCCTCCCTCCTGGCATGCTGCGTCCTGGGGCAGTCAGCTGGTGAGGCCATGGGCTGGGGTGGGTGCCCACGCAGGGCAGCGTCTTCCAAGGGTGCCCGGAGTGGGTGCTGCGAGGGTCGGCAGTGGGGCTAGGTGCCAGTGTTTCACCGCAGCCCTTGTGAGCAACAGATCACAAAGCGCCACGGGCACAGAGCCCTCGCTACCCGTCTGTCCCCTCCAGGCATGTGTCCAGCTGGGAGGATGCTGGGGGGACAGAGGGACCCCGACACTGGGAGCTGCAGGCACGATATCCAAGCATGGGGCGGAGGCGAGTCCCCAGGGGGCTGCAGGACATGGGGGGCTGGCAGGCTCCTGCACAGGGGAGGTCCCTCCTCATGCCCAGGGCCCCCATGCAGGAGCCCTGCAGTGCCTCTGTGCCTGCTCCCCCCCCTCCATTCATTGATCCACCCCGTGCTCCTTTGATCATCAAGCTGCTAACGAGCTTCCCTGGCAAAGACCTCGTTAGCCATGGGAGAGCCCTGTGCTGCCTGGCCAGCATCTGGCTTCGCTGGGCATGGGGCTGGTGTGCCCAGCTCCACTCTGGGCAATCTCTTGGGTCCCTGCTGGTTCCAGCCCAGGGACAGGGACAGGGACAGGCAGGTCCCAGTGGGTGGCAGGAGCGTGGCACAGCCAGCCCATGGCCAGAAGCAGGCGGAGCAGGAGGCAGATCAATGCGCTGAATTATTTATCGAGGGAGCACGAGGCAATGGCAACACCCCGCGCTGGGACATGGGGGGCCACGCTCGCACCCAGGCAGGGACCCCCCCACACCCAGCCCAGACGTTGTAGCTGGGCACCCACTGCTGGGCTGCAGGGACAGTGCACCCACCCAGGGCCCTCTGCCACCCCCTTGGGTGGGGGTGCTGGCAGCATGGGGCACCCCACTCCCCCCAGAAACTCTCCATGCTCTGCCAGCTGTGCCAGGCTGTCCCCAGGTGGTGCCACCAGCATCCTCTGCCCTGTCCCCTTTCGGGGCACCCAGCTCTTGTCACTGTGGCATCCCCTGACTGGCAGCATGGGGCTGGGGTGGCTGCAGCTGGCAGAGGGACCCCCCCGTTTTTCCTGGGGTCCCCGCTGGGTTGCTGCATCTCAGGCGAGTGCTGAGCCATGGCCATCTTCGCCCCGCGCCCCCAGCCCTTCTCCCGAGCCTTTTATGAGCATTGCATTATTAAATCTACCCCGTGCCATCACTCATGACCAGCGT